TGAAAATCTGGTTCTTTAATAGATAGATAATTCATGATAATCTAACATGGAATATTGAAATTAATCACAGAAAATCGATTCGCTATTTTTTTTTGGGCGAAAATAATAGTCTGTTCATGCTTTTTTTAAATGTCACTTAATTTTGTTACGCTATACTCAGTTTTCAAACTAGCATTGTATATATACACATATATATATATGTATATAGAATTGAACATTTGTAATTCTTCCTTTCTTTCTTACTATTTCACTCTCTATCTACTTCAATTTCTTTCTTCTATTTTCATCTACCTTTTTTCTCTTCACTGTTTTCTCTCTCTCTCTCTCCTTTCACGGTATGTTTTTATTTTCTGCTTTTTTTTTTCATAGATTGGATAAAATTTGACATTTTATTAAAATGTATATTTATGTATATACATATGTATATATGTGTAATATTGTTTAATTGAATGGATTCCATAATATATAAAAAAAAAATACTCCAATGAATTGGCATCCAGTAATTCTATCTACATCGTGATAAAGATTGAAACGCAGATGATCAACATCATAACAGTAATTAATAATAGCAATAATAATAGTCATTGGTAAAAAGAGTTATAATACATTAACATAGTATTTTCTAAATGCAAAGAATTCTAAGTCATGAAATGTTGTATGATAAACACGAAACAATAAGAACAACAAAATCTCAACTTTATCATCAATGAGAATGATTCATAATTTCAGTTATGTTACACTGTTGGATACCGGCTCAATGGTCTAACGGTTGGGGCGTTTGCGCACAATACCGAAGGCCCTGGGTTCGAATCCTGCGGGCTGCAGGAGTCGTGGATGCGCACTGCTGAGGAGTCCCATACCAGGACGGAACGGACGTCTTCCAGTGCTTCCAGGTTTCTAATGGTGGTCTAACATTGATCGATACATGGTTTCAAAAATGTGTAACTTAACAATCTTTACAACCCCGTAATGCACATAAATTAATGTATGTTCAAAATGGTGTTAGTACATCGTTTGTAACACTTAGTGTAAGAGTAAACTATAAAAACTTTTTTTTTCAAATGTATCAAGGTATTCTAGTCATTTTTAATTGTTCACATGATTGTAGTCGAATTAAAGGTGACGACGACGTTGTGTCAACCAAAACAACCAGATTGTTGAGGTCGTATATAGAAAAAAACTATTCTAATAGGAGTAATAGTTAGTGAAGTGTAGAATATGATTTTAATATCCTCAATTAATTTGATTGATTATACTCACTTTTTTAAAAAATATTTTTCGGCGGTTTATACACTTTTTGAACATATAAGACTCAGGAGTGTTGTGTGAAAAAGTTTTATTCTACAAAAAACTTCAAGTATGTTTAATCAAGATCATGGAATTATCGAAATGATAGGAAAAATACTTTAGGTATGTTAATGTCAAGCTAACTAATTGTAAAAGTAAATCTCATGAATTAAGTAGTTAGATTCCATTGTCACTAAGATGGAATATGTTTTTTTCGTGCGTCTTTGTGTTGGGGATGTTAGATCTCCAGATCTCGCTTGATAAATGCCTTATTTTGGATTTTACGTCTGCGAGCATGGGCTGATCAGTTGAACTTGAGATTTCATTTGGCACCAGGAAAATCCATGGCTGTGATTGGCTGCTGTGTAATTTAGTGTGCTATTTTTATGACTGTCCCAAGGACGTTTCTATGATGTATAAATAAACGAGATTTGTGTGCTTGATTGCACTGTGCTTGCTGAGTGTTTGTAGGATATAATTTCTATGCTTATCAAGACTTCTCTTTAGCCGTTTCAGATTAAGGTAGCCTAGCCTACCTGGACACTGGTTTATTGTCTTGTTTCAAGCGTACCTAGTGACGGACCTAACAATTTGTTACGCATGCACGTAAACAAGTCATTTGGTATGCTTGAACTATTACGAGTTTACCTTAGTCAGAAAACGAGAGCAAGGATCGGGGATCCGGCGACATGACAGGCTACTTTAATCCGATTATCCCAAACTCCTATTGAGTAAAAGAAGAAGACTTGATATGAAGTGGAACATGTATTCTACAAGTATCCAGAAAGTACAAGGTCCGAGTGCAAAAGAGAATCAGGATGCTGGACTAGGGATCCGGGTCGTAAAACGTTACAGATAATGCGTATTTATAGATTTAGGTCGAATGGGAAACGGCATCGAAGTCTGTGAAATTGACAGTGAAGTCGACCAATAGGAAACAACATTTAAAGTATGTGACATTGACAGCTAGGACGACCATAATAGTGACCAGTAGAACTTTACTTACAAATTATTGTCTTAGGGTATTTGATGAATATCCTAACACTCTCTTTATTTGTAATGATGAGTTGTATCTCAGTAGGAAAAAAAACTGTCGAAAGTTCAATCACTAGAAACTTTTTGAACTTAGTTTAACCGGTCAGATATAGAGAGATATATCAAAGTGACTAGTTAACATGCAAACTTGTCCTTTCCAGTTTGCTAAATCAAATGACATCAGCAGTCACAGACTGAATTTATGTATTGAAAAAGAGACCAGATGTTAATACAGAATGTGAAGGCACAAATGTTTCTTCGTAGAATCTTACAACTTTCTTTTTTTTAAACATTGTTGATTGTATCATTATGTCAGTTGCTTTTCGACGTTTTATACTTATTATTAATCAATATACTGTTTTATATATTTTGACTTATATCATTCTTCTTATTATTATTAATATTATTATGGCTTCTTCAGAACATAGCCGTCTTGCTCATTTGCTCTTCGTTAACTATTATTGTTGAAAAAATGTGTGTATGTAACAGTTTTATTTTGCAAGTTAAAAAGAGTAAAATTAATTTAGAAAGAAAGATTTTTTTTTTAAAAAAACAACAACTGAAAATTGTATCACTTGTTGTGATTGGATAAATCCAGTGTAGCATTAACTATTTGAATTCATTGTATTGACTTCATTTTTACAAAGAGAAAACACTATTAGTTAAATAGAAACAATCATGATTTAAAAACCAATTGTACCAGTGATTGTTTTACTGGACTTTCTGTTTATTCGCACTTTTGTACACATACTTTCCATATTGCGCGCATGCCATCTCCCTTTTACTGCTCAATGCATTTTCTTTGGAACGGTTTCAGTGATTTTGTCAATATCATGAAATCGCCAGCAAATATACTCCTACATCTGGACTATCTCTTCTTCCCTGCTTTTGGTTCACAACGGAACTAGAACGTGATTAGTTTGTAGTAGAGTGTTCACAGTCAACCTCGACTTGATGAGCTCTACTAAAGATCGATTATGACTTTTATGTATGGTCTAAGAGCATGACCAACAGCTTTAGCATATGTAGATAAAAAAACTTTAAACTGAAGTATATTCATTCAAGGTGAATATGAGTAGAAATGCGATAGATAATACAATCTTTGAGATTTCTGAGCGATTTTCGATCATAATAATCACTGGTTCTATCATTCGAACGGTAGTTTATTTTGTTGATAGTATGTATACCTGACGCATGATTAACCCTTATCGAATCAGCCTATTGTATTCACTCTGTGTTCGTCAGGAAAAAGGTCTATAAAACCTGATACAATCTTATAAAAACAGAAATAGTAAATGGAGAGTGTCATATGTTTTTATGTAATTCGTTTATTGATAATGTAAGTTCCGTTGATATAAATTTAGATTGACAATTGCTTTTTTTGGAGCAATTTTAACTTAGATTAATTGGTAGTTTGTATTTTCTTCTAAGTTTAATAAATAGTTTATGAAAAAAGTTGAGAAAATTTCATATATATATATATATATAGTTTTTGTAAGCTGAGTGCCCGCTTGTTTACATTCAATGACCAATCACATGCATTTTAACCAGACATCACATACTCAATTCAGGCTGGTCGGATCAATACACTCTAAGGTGACAGAAATAAAGATGGTGTAGTAAAGTCAGAATGAAAAATATCACTGCAACGACTTTACACAGATTTTACGTAAAAATTATTTTTGTCCAGTAAAATTTGTCTAGACAGTTGAATATGGTTTCATCATGATTCGTGAGCATTTTCGACAGATAATTCCCTGAGTTATAATGATAAACTGTGAGCAGTTGCATTTAAACATGTCCAGGATGATCTAGTTATCCATCTAACTTATTCAGAGCATATCGAGTGGAGAAGTTTATTAGGAGATATAGAGAAGATTTCATTGTGACTAAATAGGTCTTGTGTGCTGAAACAAGTACGAGGGCTGATTTCAGTTACCAGCGGCCCGAACGGCGGAATATTTTCTTGAGGAACCGGAAAAAGTTCGACTAGAGTTAGTCCATGAGATCTGAAAGCGTGACCGCTTAAGGCCAACCGAACAAATGCGCCCTCACACCTTAGGTTAGGGCTTTTAGCTTTACTGTTCTTTAATCGGACATGGTAAGACATAAACGAACGTGTGTTCTAGTGAAAAACACTCGGTCTAATCATCACGATAGATAAGGCTGCTCACCACATCAAGCTAGAAACTACTTGAAATACTGATAGGGAGTAAAGTGGTTGAGCGTGTTGACCGCTTCACTTATCGCGGGAGTATGATCAGTGCTGATGGCCTGGTGACTGACGAAATCTCAGCGCGGATTGAGAAGGCTCGACTGGGTTTTCCCAACTTGTGTCACTTATATAGCCTAGGCGACATATCCGTTTGCTAACCAAAGGAAGAGCACTAGTAATTGATTAGTTCACCTCGCTCATTATTTGACTCTCCTTCAACTCAATTACAGTTTAGTCTTAATTAACTTGAGTCATTTCACCTTATTACCAGCGTTTGTTTTCTACTTAACACTTATCCTCAACCCTACTATGGTCATCTGCTACAGACAGACATCGCTGCAGATTATAAATTGTCATTAATTTACGTCAAAATTACAAATTTTCCTTACTAAAACACAGCAACAATTCAAGCATTTCAAAGAAATTACTAATTATTCAACGAAACAAAACACACTTCCGTAAATTTTCTAAATTGAAAAAACAGTTAAGCTTACTCATTAATTTGTAGATAGTTGTGAACGTGAAATCTATCAGTGAATAATAATAACAATAGATTTATTGACAGTTAATTATTTAGATTTGTCATCATTTCAAGGGAAATATGTCAATAACGACAACATTTCTTCTCTTCATTTCATCAAACATAATAAGAATAATGATAATATTCATAATAATAATAATATTAATAATGTGATTGGATTTTCTATATGTACAGATGAAGATTACAGATCAATAAGTAGTATGCAAATATATTTGAAAAAAAATGAACCGGTAAGATATAAATATACTGAAAAAAAATTAGAAAGTACTACATAATTGTCCATTCAAGCAGCAATTCTATTCTGTAACCTCTATCACATTGTCAACAGAGGCTTCAGCAAACGTATTTCAGCTGAATGACTTGATTCAAGAAGGTGACGTTCACTGGTTGATAGTTAGTTGTTCTGAAAAGAAAGATATCAGTAATACGTAGTAATATATTCAATGTGAAAATCACGTTATTAATCAGCATATAAACGTAATATGCATAATAATTATACAGTACGATGACTTGGATAAACCATGGTTTAGCATTGTTTATTGCATGATAGGTGATGATATTATTTCAAGTAATTTAGGTCAAGTCCACCATCTAATTTCCGTTTGATTCATATCGATACGACTTTGTCATGTCATACGGATAGATTTTATCTTTCCTACTGCATAGCTCAATATTCGAGATATGACTGGACAAGTAGATCGTTTTTAATTTACGAATGCATAATAATGGCGATAAATTAACACTAATTTTAAAACTTTCAATAGCTCTATCGATAAATTATCAAAGCTACTGCTGTATAATCTAGTGAGATAAATTTGAGAAAAGGTTCAGGGCTATGAGGGGTTCAGAAGATTAAAATTTGAGAGAAGACAAAGAATGGATCCACTTTTGCCAATGCAACAGTCAGTGGTAGAACATATGAAACAGTATTTTATCAGTTGATTTGCCACCCCGACCTAGTATTCGTTACCCAACAGCACTGCTTACTCAATTGTCCCGGGATAAACGAGCAGTGCTTTGAAGACACCGATGATCAAATACCAGTAACCTACAAATATCCTCGCGTCTTATTGATCATGTTTCAGCCCCGTATAGTAGGACGAAGCGAACTGATGCCCAATAGACTCGTCCTTTGGTTAGCGAACGGATATCTCGCCTACGCCATAAGTGACGGAAGTTGGGAAAACCCAGTCGAGCCTTCTCAATCCGTGCTGAGATTTCGTCAGTCACCAGGCCATCCCTTATGTCTTACCATGTCCGACCGTCCGATTAAAGAACAGTAGGGCTTAAAACCCCTCGATGTGTATTGCGTCTACGAAACACGAATACAGGATCTGAGCGAAATCAATTATTCATACTACCTTGTAGAGATATAGAACGGTCTCGGATTACTTTTCGTGTATCTGGAAGCCCCAATGCTGCTTCCCGTGACCTCACTGGTGGACACATAGTATTAAAATCCTAGGACAGAACTAGCTATCTCGGAATCGATCCCAGTAGATAGTCGTTTTTGCGCTGTCCGACTAAACAGGACAGTAACCACTCGGAACGATGGGGGAACTCACCTCAGCCTCTTCGTTTATCTGCCTTTGCTCCGAATGACTGTAATTCAGACGAGGTAAAAGGTGAGTTTCACACAAAGCTTTTGGACCTCCATCAAAACGTTGAACGCTCTCATATAGTAATAGTGGCTGGTGATGTCAATGCACAAGTAGGTAGACTGGAAGAAAAGGAAAAACAACTGGGAGGATCTTATGGGGTCGCGGCCCAAAGAACAGATAATGGCGGCCGTCTGCCGTAACCATGCTTAGATAACTACCTATTTCTGGCAAATACTAATTTAAGCACAACGAAAAACATCTTTCGACATACCGATCCCCAAAATCGACTCAACGCTGGACACAACTAGTCCATATCGCTATCAGATGGAGAGGCCCGATAGGAGACTGTAGCTCGTTTTGCAAAACATGTTAAGATTCAGACCATGCTCTAATGAGGACGCGTATGTCTGAGTCTTACTTGACGTAGGAAAGGCATCGCAAGAAAACCTCTTGGGGTTCTACATAATGATAGCAAAACTAAGAATGTATTTTAGGAACAACTAGAAAAAGTTAAGCGACCATGTAAATGATTCCCATGAGGCAGCTTGGAACGATATCCAAAAAGCTATGGAAACAGTAGTGATATCTGTCAGTAAGGTAAACCGTAAAGTTAGAGATAAACCTCTGATCTCAGTAGTATCAGCCGAACTGATGATAGATGCTCGGAAACGTATACCACCTGGCTCTAAACATGACGAAGAGCAAATTCAGCTTAAGCGCAGCCTGATAAAAAGCTTACGCAATAATCGCGAACAGTGGTGGTTAACGAACGAAACAGCAATCGAAAAGGCAGCAAGAATAGGCACCAATAGACAACTGTTCCCCTATATCAAGGAATCCATCTGTTAGCGAAACTATCTCAGAAAAGGATGGTCGTATTATTCATTTTCTACCCGGGATATTGGATCGACGGGAAGAACACTTGTGGGATCAAGTCGACCGGCCTTCAGCCTTCAAGTTTGGAAAACCCATTCAAGCCCTCTGTAACAGTACTTTCATCAGTTTCATCAGTCATCAGGCTACCAGCACGGATCAGATTCCGATGATAAGTGAAGCGGTCAACACGCTCGACTACATCATTCCCTGCCACTAGTTCAGTTGCCGATTAAAGTTAATCCTGAAGCAACATTTTGCATTTCGCGGTGGAAGTGGATAGGACACACACTACGAAAAGCACCTCACTGCGTCACAAGACAAGCCCCCACATGGAACACTCAAGGTGAAAGGAAAAGAGGAAGGCCAAGGAACACATTACGCTGAGAAATAGAGAAAGATATGAGAAGAATGGGCAAAAATTGGACAGAACTGGAAAGTGAAGCTCAGGACAGAGTTGGTTGGCCAAAACTGGTGGGCAGCCTATGCTCTATTGGGGGTAACAGGCGTAAGTAATAAAGTAACATTTTGCATTTCGAGGAGGAGAATCGAATCTCAAGCATGCTTGCTCAAGGTGATCAGTCTTTTGTCAGTTTTCACCAAGTAAAACCGTATCATATCCGCAATTTAAGTCAATACGTGAATCTTCCGGCAGAATTTCAACTCCTGAACAGTCACACAATGAAAAAGTCGTCTCTAAAAGTATTTCAATGAAAAACTAAGCTAAATAAGAGTGAAGAAAGTGGACATCCCTGACGAATACAACTTGAGTTAATCAATTTTGATCACAGTTCGCTGTAAGCTCTCACTCGATCTGTAGTGTCCGAGTAGAGAGCCTGTATAAGGTTACTGTATTTCTTTGGCACTCCTCTCGATTTTAGACACTGCCACAGAACATCACAATCAATAGAGTCAATCGACGCCTTAAGGTTGGAGGATGACACTATTGTCAGACATCGAATAGGTAGTTGTGTTTTACGATTTAACGAAGTGTGAATTCCTAGTCTAGACATTTACGTCCAGATCTGAAACCGGCCTGGTTTTCTCGAGTCTGTCTTTCACGAGCTTCAATTAGTGTTTGAAGTATTACTGAAGTTAGTATTTTAGGACATTATATTAATGAAACTGATTACCCTGTGATTTTCACAGTTATTATCATTATTCTGAAGTATTTACAATTTAGCAAAACTCAGCAACAATAGATTAGAATAAGTGGAGGATTAGTTTAACAAGTTGTTACTTTATTATATATGTATTATTTATTTAACTCATTTAGTAACTACAAATTAGTAAACCCGTTTTCGAGATACATTTCCAAGATAAGGGCTGGTGATGCTACTAGACTGTTCAAACCGAAATTGGAGCTGAGTTTAAACCTATGACTGAGAAAAACACTTAAACCTAGTGATCCAATGATGTACTACTCTATAATGATTATTCGTATTGAATGACATGAACCGAATGCTAATGAAAGAATGGGTACCAAATTTATCAATATATTTGAAATTTACTCAACTACATCACACTAAAATCAAGAATATGCTACAAGAAAGAGACGTGAGGACTGATGATTGTGCTTGTAAAGTGGCATGTACCTACTGTGTAAAATTATGTATAAGTTTTTTTCTATCCTTTGCCTTGAATTCAAAGACAAGTCAACAGACAGCTCTTACTATTATTATTATTATCATACTCAATTTAATTTTATGACTTAAATAGCATACAATAATATTTGAAATGATTGATCACACAACACGCCAAATAACAAATTATACTTCAAACACAATCATAACATAAATGATAGAAAGTGAATAAGACAATAGACGACTAATAAGCAATAAGTAGTGGACAGTAAAATGTATAGTGACAATTAATCATGTCAACAGAAAGTTCACAATAAGAGGAACATGGAAATGTAACAATACAGTTATCTACTGAGAATTAATCAATCGGTTACAACTTAGAACGTCGTACGTACGTACACCAGTTCAAGTTGCTATATAAACTTGGCACAGAGATGCAAATGTCACTTCAAATCCCATAGTCGTAGAGGTAGTAGAAGTATTAACAGTAATCAGATAGGTTAGGGTCAGCAGATATTATTCAAGAAGTAGAATCTAGTGAAATAAACTTAAAAAGATAGAAGTGATGAGGAATTAAGTAGGTTATAATTTCATAGAACACAAAGAGTAAATGCACCTGTGTCATTGCAAACGATTTTGAGCCATGTCATTCAGGGTCGCTAACCATCGATTATTAATATCTCGCGGACCCCAACCACGTAGCCTACATCTATCAACATGACTCAGTCCACTTGTCAATGACTTTATGGATTGCTGCCATGTTTTGGTCTGGCCACCCCTAACTTTCTTCCAACCTACTCCTACACTACAAAACATAGCTTGTCCAGGAAGTCGGTGGTTAGGCATACGCAGCACATGTCCCAACCACCTCAACTGATGAAGCTTTATTACTTCATCTATTGATCCGCCATTCTTACCTAGCAACCGTTTCCTAACAACAGCATTGCTTACTCGGCTGTTCCACGATACTCGAGCAATGCTTTGGAAACACTTATCATCGAAAATCAGTAACCTACGAATATCCTCTACTCTGACTGGCCATGTTTCACATCCATATAGTAGTCAGTCAGTCAGTTGCAACGTAGAACTTCGTACGTAAGTACATCAGTTCATGTTGCCATACCACATTAGCACAGAGATGCAAATGTCAAATCATATCCAATAGTGATAAAGATAGTAGAGGTATTAATGGTAATGAAGAAGACTAGGGTTTGAAGATATTATTCAAGAAGTATAATTCAGTGAGATAAAGGTAGAAAGACAAAGGTAGAGGGGCTGACCAATCCAGAAGATTATGATTTGAGAGAGCGCGACGAATGGATGCACTTGCGCCATTGCAAACGATTTTGAGCCATGTCGTTCACGCGTTTTCGAGACGCAGCATACATCGGTGGCGCGAGATTCTAAAATCCTAGCTAATGATGCCTGTTGCCCTATTTGACACAATGTCCGTACATTAAATGCACCAACATGTAGTTTAGAACGGGGTTTAAGAAGACTAGGAACGACGTTTTGCGAACTCGTATCGTTTGCATTAGCTGTGCACTGTGATAAAAGAATATGAGAAGAGTTAGTCGCGGAAATAAGAGATGTATTAGGGGGTGTAGGAAGGATTTGATTTTGAACAATTTGGTCTCGTGTGCTGTTACGGGTATGAGGGCGGTTATCACTTGCCGGCTGCCCACACCGTGGAAGTTCATATAGTAGTATCTATTAAGAATACAACAAAAGTATAAGTAATAATAATCTGAAGAAGTTTTGAAGGTTCCAAATTTTTCTATCGTTCACCCTGTTTATTTATAACAACCTATACCTTAACTGAACTACACTGACTACACCACAAAGAGAAATGAATAATGAATTGGATAAAAGATGTCGTGCAATACAATATGCAATACCAACACAACTATTGAGTTACCATTGATTATGAACAAAAGATCATGGTTAATAATGCAATGTTGATTTTGTTAGTTTACATGATTTTAATACAATGCAGTGAATCACCGAAACAAAACTATTGTAATCGAAATCGTAACAATAATAATAATAATAATAATAATAATAATAATAATATCAATAATAATAATAATAATAATAATAATAATAATAATAATCATAGTACGACTTGGAACAAAACAAAACTATCCAAGGTTTTTTCTTCCTAATCACAATGATTCACTATGCGCTACATCAGCGCTATACCAGTACATATAATCTATCTGTATGTCAAATCAAATAATCATAACTATCATAATCCAGTGAACAATCAATGTTGGCAAGAAAAAAACCAAACAAAACAAACAAACCAACTGAATTCTACAAAAAAACAAAACCAGAATAAAAAAAATTGGAATTATAAAACAAGTCGAATTGTTTGATAGAATTATTGTTACATATTTCCGATGTATACACATACATACATACAAATACATATACATATATGCATTGTATGACATTTCTGTTTCGTTTTGTCAATAATACAATAATACAACGGTACTGTGGTTTTTTTTTTCTGCTTCACCTAATTGTATGTGTGTGTAATCATCATCATCATCATCAGCAGCAGCAGCATCATTTGTCCAACAGTAGATATAAAATAAAAAGAAAGGGTTGATTGAACTTCATAATAAGGTGGTATTTTGGCTAGTCCGTATGATTTGATTGACCCAATAAATAAATACAAGTAATAAATTAGTAGTATCAAGATAACAGGAATGTGTTACTGAGACTAAGTCTACACACACACACACAGGCGTACACTTGACAAGAAACTATGATTCACCTATTCATTTTTTTTTTAAAAAAAATTTAAGTTAATGAATGACCGACACACTAGATAGAATAATAAGAAATGGTACAATCAGAACTACTAATGCAACACACAACTATGGAGGAGGAGGAGAAGAAGAAGAAGAAACTGTAATGGTAATAATGGTAGTTAAGAAAAAATGCACATATAGATGATAGAGGTAAGCATCAAAAAAGTTACTACACTTTACAAGTAAAATGCAAATAGGTTCAGTGAAGGGCAATCAAAACGTAGAAAATCAAAAAAATGTGAATGGATTTTGGCATCGAAAACTAGATGCTACGCTTATTAAATGGGTTATTCTAACTTTTGGGGGCGGATCAATTTACTTTGTTCTCTAAGACATTCTCCACACACACATTTTGACCTTTGTCTGCAATCACCTTACAACATTGACTGTTTTTATACGAGCATGTGTGTGCATCAATTACTCGGGTTTATCACATCTTATCTTATCTTTTACCTTATTTATATAGGGAATCACGCTTTATCAAAAATAGAGTTAGCATGTGTTTCCCTTCTATAATTTGTTCCGTTTTACTTTCGTCTGCCTGATTTTTCTGTTCTACTTTACGGGTGTGATTCGTGACCTTCACGAGCAGCGGAGAATCACTAATATTTGATCATATCTTCACAGGGTTGTTTGAGCATGTTGGAACCTTAGAAAGACCAATTTTGTGAGGAGATAGAGGGTACTAGAGTGAAATATTAAATTGATTGGTAAAACTGTAAAACTTGATTGACTGATCGATTGAAGAGGTTAGGCAATGCATTATGTATGGCCAATCACTAACCACTTGGATGTTGGAAAAGAACTCGTAGGGGAAACCAATGAATGGCATAAATCTATGAAGTCATTAGCTGTTAGGCTGAACAATGTAGTTATCTATCATATCGAAGATTAGATGAGCTTTCCTAACTAACCAATAAGATATATGACTAGGATTTTTATATTCCCCTAAGTGAAAGTTTTCAGTTAGCCCATAAATTATTGTTTCATGTTTAATAGGTTACATAATTGTCATTAATTAGTTAGTAGACCTCAAGTGCTTGGTTTTAAATTCATATCATACTTTTTTTTATTTTGCTGACTCACTTTTTCTTCTAGAATCATACTGTTTATTTTGCAAGTCATTCGTGCTATCATTGATTGTTTGACCAATTCAACTAAGTTGGGAATTTTCTTGGTGTCATCTCGTTATCCTAACATAGTGCAGTATATCTTTGGTATATAACAGGTTTAACGTTGCCTATAACTGACTGTAGACAAATTATAATCAATCTTATGTTAACATTTGGTCTAAAATATAATTTATTCGATGTTTCCATCAATCAGTCTGTAGACTTTATTATACGGTAAATCTAAAGCAACTTCTATAGTCAAAAAAAAGTATAAGTTATCGCCTAACCCCACAAAGAGTAGGGAAACAGTTACATTTTTAAATTTAATAGGAGTAAACATAATATTTTCAAAAAGGATAATATACATGAAGATGTTAAGAGTTCTTATGCTACTTACTTGATTTTATACTATTTTTCATGTAAAATTAAGTAAAAAAAGCCGCCATCGAAAATGATGTGGAACCGGTGTACAGTGATATGACTTGTGACGCAACCAAGTGTCTGAGCATTTTATTTGGTTGTCAATAATTCAAAACCTACAAAAAAAAGGAGTTTAACAAATATCTATTCAACAACTTATACATACATAACCAAAAGACTGATAGGATTATAAAGAGAGAGACAAAAATACAATACTTACCATCCTCAGATGTTTGAATTCAGAATTATCAAGTACAGCCCTACTCTACTACATCAACAATAGCATAATTAGTGCTAACATGATGGATTTTCTGTTATTTCCAGAAGCATAAAAGTATGGTTTAGCGATTAAGTTTTGACTATCTTTCCTTTTTTTTCATTTTCATTTTACCATATTGGAGAAACACACATGATCAAAAACAAAAAAATTTATCTTCTAGTACAAACTTACGGAGAAACTAACATCTTGCCATTTTATTTAATCACATCAATGAAAATAGTTCAGTTGGAAATTACTACTATCATGTTATTTGAGTTGAGAATGTCGATTTGCATAGTTGCATTCAGAAACAACGTGAAGAAGGTTACAATACACTTAAAATATGAAACTTAAAGAGACTAATTCTTGAAAATGCTCTCATGTAGCCACGCACACAAACCACGGGACAGGGAAGTAATACTCAGAGCTTTCTCACAGCGTGGGTTATCAAAAAGGCGCCTAGTATTATTAACATGGTAAACTTGGTGTGTATATTTATATACCAGTCAGTCAGCTACCACGTAGAACAGAGAAATAAATTGGATTATAGACGTATTATAATCTACTAGTTTTAACCGTTCATTAAATTGTTCCATCCTAACAGAATGTAGAAACTATTTGAATCATTAATACGCTCATGACAAAAGATTTCTTGGAAAATTCGACCGAAATAGTATACAATCATATACAGACATGCATCGATATGTAATTATTTAGGTCACAGCCTCAAAATCTCATAAAACAATCAACACACTGACACATTCTGATCTTTTTAGGCCATTATTATCAGGCGTCAGTTAACAAACTATTGTTAGGAATTCTCAGAGATAAAGTTTTCAACTCTCTCTCTCTCTCATAATTGATTAGTTCACCTCGCTCCTTCAAGTCAATTACAGTTTAGTCTTAATTGAATTGAGTCATTTCACCCTTTTACCAGCGTTTGTTCTCTACGTTAACACTTATCCTCAACCCTACTATGGTCACCTGATACAGTTAGATGCGGCTGCAGATTCTCATCATTAATTCATTCTGTACTTTAACTGATCACATTTATCTTTCACTATTTTATGCTTTATTGACACAGTTAAGATTAATGCTACATTCCAAGCTACGTTGAATTATTAGTACTCAATATTCTGCTGAGGAATATGTTACTTCAGACAACAGTTTTCAGGTGGCATTGTCATCAATCTTACATCAAACCTTAATTTCTAAGAAATTACTAATTATTAAAAGAAACAAAACACACTTCTGTAAATTTTATAAACTGAAAAAAAACAGTTATGCTTACTCATTAATTTGTAGATAGTTATGAACGTGAAATTTATCAGTCAATATAATAATAGATTTGTTCAGTGAAATAATTAAGTTCTTCACAATTATTTAGATTTGCACTCATTTCAAGGGAAATATGTCAATAACGGCAACATTTCTTCTCTTCATTTCATCAAACATGATAAGAATGATGATAATATTCATAATAATAATAATAATAATAATAATAATAATAATAATAATGTGATTGGATTTTCTATATGTACAGATGAAGATTACAGATCAATAAGTAGTATGCAAATATATCTGAAAAAAAACGAACCGGTAAGATATAAATATACTGAAAAAAAGTTAGAAATTACTACATAATTGTCCACTCAAGCAGCAATTCTATTCCGTAACCTCTATCACATTGTCAACAGAGGTTTCGGCAAACGTATTTCAGCTGAATGACTTGATTCAACAAGGTGACGTTCACTGGTTGATAGTTGGTTGTTCTGAAAAAAAAAGATATCAGTAATACGTAGTAATATATTCAATGTGAAAATCACGTTATTAATCAGCATATAAACGTAATACGCATAAAAATGATACAATACGGTGACTTGGACATATATATAGATATATATGGGAGAGACTAATACCAAAAGTAGTGGAGAATCACGATTAAAGAACCTCACCACCGAATATTCTCAGTTTTTGATCGATAATCATTACTTAGCGCGATGATGTATAATATATATAGAGTATTCCTCATTTGTACCGATAGGTTTCTGACTAAAAACTCACAAGGATTAAGTTAACTGTTCCTGAGTGAAGTGATCAACATAATCAACCAATTCCCTTTCTATGATTAGCCAAGATGATAATCTTAATAATTTAGAAGTCTAGAAGTCTTCGTTGGCATATAGGCATTTTGTGCGGATTGCTTTGATATTGTCACCATAACACAAGTTTACGTAGAATATGGCTAGCAGAGGACTCGTCGACTGGATGTACCTGCACTTCAGAGTTCACCGTAAGGCTTAAACCTAGTAGATAAGTGTATGGTGCGACGGCGATTGAGGCAAACGGCACTGTCAACACCAGCTCCGACGTGTAGGCAAACCCAGCCGACTAGTCATAACTAGGACGAAACGAGCGTCCTGTATTCGATTGCCAGCCATATTCTATTCACTTTGTGTAAAATCATAAATATTAATGTAATAAACAATCTCTATATCAAACATTCCATTTTTGATTGAAAGGCTTAACGATGCGTGTTTGTATTTCTAGATACAGTAGATTTTCATAGTTCATTTTGGAAAAGCAAAAGAGCATCAACTATTGTTTCCACTGATTTTTACCACTTAAAATAACCGAATTAGTACTAAATACCAGTGTTTAATAGGGATTATGATTTGTAGTTGCGTCTAACAAGAATAATGACATAGGAGTAATTATGTCAATAGCTATCAGGCATCTCTGTTGACTGACTCCTTCATTATCTGGCAGCGGAGAACGGCACTCAAACGAGACAAAAACACTGGCAGTATACTTACTGGAGAAGGTGACATTAAGAACATTTATACAAATAGCATTCACCCTGCCCACAATGAAATACCGTACAAGGAATAACATCTATCATATTATTGTACCTTGATTTATCTAAACAATTTTAGCACACAAATTAACTAGACTAATTTTTTCCGAAGGTTGATCTTTTACACAAATAATAATAATAACAATAATAATAATAATAATGTGTGCATAAATGAATGGATGTATAGGTAGACAACAAGTCGCACACATAAATATACACCTTACTAAAGAATTTAGCTTTTTGAAACTAATAAATTTTTTTTTCTTCATACCAAATAATAAGACATTATTATTAATTTAAGGAATCAACAGTTAGTTACACTCTACTAATCTAAAAGTAATATAAACAGTAATGCAAATTAATATGGACATAAATCAAAAAAGTACAAATAATCTTGATGTTGCTTTTATGGTTTATTGTGTATCAAGTGTACCGATATAATGATAATTATAATTTTAAAATAACGGACAAATTTGTAACTTGTTTCCTTTATGTGATTAGCATCCAGTATTTGATGATAATCATCATCATCATCATCATAGAGTGATGACTGAGAATTAGAACAAAATCTGTGATATAGTTTATTGACTTTGGGTGAATAATAATTTAAAAATTTTCATTGATTACAAGTGGAAGATAGATGAAATATTCATAGGTAGATCATTGGATAAGTTACTTGTTGTGTGAGAAAAATCTTTTTAAATCTACTGTCAATATAAATCTAGATGGGATAATAGGATCACTCTACTACTACTACTTACCTACCTACCTACTACTACTACTAGTAGTAGTACTGCTACTACTGTGGTTTGATTAATTATGTGATGATTTCAAGTAAACTACTGCGAATAGCGAACAGAAAACAATTTCTTCATTTCTTTTCCCAGCTATTCTTAGCTCCTATGGAGGAGATACTTGAATTTTATCTAGAAGATACATTAATTCCATCAAATCCAGTCGATTAAGTTCATAAGTGAAAGTGAGATGAGGCGTTTGGCAGTAAGTCATTTTCCACAGTTGGTTAAATTAATGTCATGTCACGGCCACCTTGTACATCACCTGGCTATCGTTCATTTGGACGAACTTTCAACCTACTGATGTAACTCGGTTATTTCGAATAAACACGAGGAAGCTAATTTCAAATGCTGTATGTATCAGTGAAGTTTCTTGAGTAAAACTCTCGGCAAACATATTGAGAGGAGTACATCTTATTCAACGAATAGTAAGAAGTGTTGATCTGGTAATGTTTAGTTAGGGTTGATGTAAATAAATGAAATTTTGTGGAGTTTTCCCTTTTCTCTAGATTACAATCGTACTTTTTATCTGAATGTAAATTTAGCGCGCGTTTGTGCGCTGTCAAATTAAGACAGATTTAAATCACATGTAACATGAATCACGACTAACTGTCCGCTTCAAATGTATCTGATATAAGTCAACAACAAAAATCTTAAGTAGCTTCATGAATGATATTACTAGCTAACACTAGTACAATGAAGAAAAATCTTGGATAATTTAGAAACATGTTGCCTGAAATCAAATAGGCAGTGCTAGTCAATCAATACAGCCATCACTGTGCTTCGTTAGCTTTCGTGACAAAATGGTTTATTGACAAACTATGCGGTTTATCGGTTTATTCGAGATGAAACAGATTTTACATAATGAATAAATGAAATCAATAAATGACTTGACTGGAAATACATCTATGTATCTCATGCTTTTCAAGCACCACAATAGTTGATGGTAACATTGGAATGGTTGTTGTATTTTACTGGTAAAGGAAATGTTAGATTGCTGAGTAATATTTGACTAAACAAGCGCTGTATAACGAAAGTCAATCAGTTGTAAGGTAGAACTTCGTATGTACATACGTACATCAGTTCAAGTTGTCATACCACACTAGCACACAAAGAAGCGATTGTCAATTCAAATCCTATATAACGAAAATAATGCTTCTAAAAGAAATGTTTGGTTTTAATTGAAAAATTTCAGTTTTCAAAATCTAAGAGAATTTAACAACTCAGTACTGAGAGAGACTCAATGAAAATAGGTATGTGTATACTTTGCAAAATCGAGTTAAAATTCATCAGTCAACTATAATAATTTAAACGTAAACTTACATAATATTGTGTTCTCTCACCACCATATTAGATGTTATATAGTTGATTGCAGGAAATATATTAGCTGGTATGTTCAATTTGTTAACCTTGATAGTCTTGAGTTTTAAATGACACAATAGAAAAGAAATTTAATGTACCCTAGGAAAATACGCAACCACGAAAAATAATGTGATTTTCCAAACAAAAAAAAGGTGACAGAAAAAGTTTTTGTTTAAAAAAAAGTGTTAAAAATTATGTCCAATAGCTGGGTGGCTGGCTGGTTGGTTTATGCATTGAAATTGAGAAAATGGCAACAGGGAATAATCGTTTAAAAAATTTTTTGTTTTGGTGCTAAATATCAAACAAATAAAAATAAAGTGGTGATTAGAAGCAAACAAAAAATAAAGATAAAAATAAGAAGGAAAGTCGACTAAACAAATAGTTAATGAAAAATCGGAAGATAGCAGTTTTAAAAAAAAAATTACATTCTACAAAAAAAAAGGAATAATATATTATCAACCAAAAGTTGTCATCATTAAGAAGTATACACTTCTTGTTAGCTGTTGTTGACTCTCATGTATGTCTGCATCACTGGAAATCGTATTCGATAATCACTTTGGGTATAATAAAAAGAAAGTCTTTAAATAATACAGACATTAATCCATACATGCAGATTAAATTAAATGTATATAACCATAAAACAACAAACAATGTAAACAAATTCTAAAATGTGAATAAAATGTAAATACAAAATAAGAATGAGGAAGCCAGTTAATTAGCGCAGCTGCATACTACAATGGTACTTTTTCGTTCTTCATAATGAAATGTATGTTTGTACAAAACACGAAAAAGGGTCGATGTAAACGTGTTCATTTGTAATTAAACACAAATATATAACCAGTGTTTTTGAAAGCAAAGAAAATAGGTATAAATAGATAAATAAATGAATTAAAAAAAACACACTCAAATGCATATCTTACAATTTACAGTAGTCACAATAAAACTGAAAACAAATAAAGTGAAGCGATTACTTTGTTTTGTCTTCAATGATTTTTAAGCTATTATAATAGTTAACATGCACAGATAGATTATAAGTCATACAATGCTACTAATACTACTACTACTACTACTGAGTATAAAGAACCTAAATATAATGACTGATTGTTAACTTCACATGTTATAAAGTGAGGTATAGATGGAAGAATTAAATGGAACAAATGATTACTATTCTTTACGGGTGTACTATTCATAATGGTATTTTTAAAATAACATTTATATGATGTCAAGTAAATTTACAGATGAATTAATGATACATAACAATAGTGAAAATTAATAGCATGATTAAATAGATATTCTTCTTTTCTTGTAGACTTTGGAAGGAGGAGCATTGATTAAAGATATTGACAATACATTGGTCATAATTATAGTAAACCTAGGCCAGAATTAGTGGGCACGACATTTTGTGCATTTGTATTGACCAGACCAGATTGTAGGCCAACATTAATTTGAACTGGATTTGGACCGGTAGCTAGCCAATTAGGTTGGGAGGCATAACTCACAGGAGTTGACGAAATATCTGGTGGTGCAGTTACTCCAGACGGTGCGCCTCTCGATGCCCATCCACTAGTAGTTGTCGTTGTATCTTGACTGAAAATATACGGTTGTACTGGATGAGATGATTGTACTGTACGTGTTAACAAGGGAACAGAACCAGGATTTGATGTTACACCGGTTGGTAAAGCATTCGGTTGAACGCCTCGTCTAGCAACAACAAGACCGGAACGTGCACTTGGAGCAGTTAAATCAATATTTTTGTTACCACAACAATTACAACGACGAAAAACTCGTGCGAAGAAACGTTGCCATGATACAAGTGTTTTACCACTCCATATCCAGATACCACTTGTTATACCAACAATCAATGTCATCAGATATTTAATCATAAATAATTCAAATTCAGGCTTTTCTAATGCAGATATTTTGGAAAATATATTTTCAGTAACAGAAGTATCAGAATTATCTGATCGGGATGTTGAACCACCAGCTTCAACTAGTCGTTTGAAATGTCCAGGACATATAGAATCGGCTAGCTGATTAGGATCGACTTTACGGCATACTTCAGTTGTATACCATGTAAGCATCCATTTTTCAGACATTCTGGATTCATGTAAATAACAGGCGATGACTACTAATGCTGGCACAATGTAAAGTAAACTGAATACACCGATACGCATAATTAACTTTTCCAGGTCATCTGTTTTTGAACCTCCAGTTTTTATAATTGTACGGATTTTAAATAATGATACAAAACCAGCAAACAGGAAACAAGTTCCAATCAAAAGATACAAACATAATGGTGCAATTAAAAATGCTCTCAATATAATTGGATCTGTTAATCCGGTAAAGCATACACCTGAGAGTGGATCACCATCAACTTTTCCCAAAGCTAATATTCCAATCGTTTTAGCAGCTGGAATAGCCCATGCAGCAAAGTGTAAATACTGTGCATTACGTGATATAGCTTCATGTGCCCAATGACATTTAGCAGCTAAATACCAAGTGATTGTTAAAACCACCCACCAAATAGAACTAGCCATTGAAAAGAAATAAAGTAACATGAATAAAATGATACATCCTTCAAACTTTGTTCCCTGAGTAACTAATCGTGGCATTTCAATCTGACCACTAAGAGATTGTGGTGCTGGGAAAGGCCCAGAACAAGCGACCTGAAAGGAAAAAGAATTACAGAGTTTTAACACGCAAATTTTACACAGTGGTTGATTATGTTCAAAATATATCTTCTGAAAGTTGATACTAAAGAGTTTGGTATACAAATAGTCTTAATCCACTTAGAAGATAACCATTGGAAGTCACATTCCAGCATTGGTAAATTATCTATATGATGTTATTAAACAGTGGACACTATGCGTAAAAAAAATTAAAGGCATGTCTTTAACAAAGCGGTAATCTAACAATATAAAACCACACAAGTAAAAATGTGCATTTCTATTAATCTATAGACTAAATAATTTAAGTCTAGAATTTGAACTACTGAAAATTAAGTTTATTGTTCCATTATAAAGTCAATGTACCTTAGTTAACCGTCAACGACGTAGGGTCGGATACTAACGGACATCCGGATAGCAAAAGGGATAGGAAATTAGCAGACTAAAAAGTAAAAGTCAGTCAGTTAGTTGCAACATAGAACTTCGTACGTAAGTACATCCGTTCAAGTTGCCATACCACATTAGCACAGACACGCAATTGTCAATTCAAATCCCATTGTGGTTGAGATAGTAGGATTACTACTGGTTATGGAGAAGATTAGGATTCGAAGATATGATTCGAGAAGTATAATTCAGTGAGATAAATTTAGAGAGAGAAAGGTAGAGGTGTTGATGAATTCAGAAGATTAGGATTTCAGACAACACAAAGAGTGGATGCGCCTGCTCCATTGCAGACGATTCTGAGCCATGTCGTTTAAGGTCTCTAACAATTGGTGACTTTCGTCTCCCGGACCCCAACCAGGTGGTCTACATCTACCAACATGACTCAATCCAGTTGTCAGTGACTTCATGAATTTGTGTCATGTTTTGGTCTGGTTGCCCCTAGCTTTCTTCGAACCTGCTCCTGCACCACAAAGCATAGATCGTCGAGACAGTTGGGCATTCGTAACACATGTCCCAATCACCTCAACTGACGAACATTCAGTACTTCATCTATTGATCTGACTTAATGAAGTGGTACAACCAATCGACATGACCGTCCCATGACTCAAACTGGTTATCATTAGTATGAAAATGTTACTCGAAAATAAGGAAATTTCATAAAACGGGTTGCAGATGATTAATCTTACTGACCTACGAAACCTTATTTGATTGGTGCTGCTATAGTAGTTACTAAAATCAACGATTCGATGTTTTTATAACAATAGTTATAGTAAACAAATTTTCCTAGTCGCTAATACATATATCATAAAAAACATACTGATTCTAAGTGCACATACTGAACAACAGGATTAATGACTCACATCATTATTTAAAATAAAACCTGCAACATATGTAAGAGCCACCATTAGATAACAAGCTGACAGGAATATAATCGGTCTTTCGGGATATTGGAAGCGAGGCATATCAATGAGGAAGGTGAGAACTGTAAATAATGTGGAAGCTGCGCATAGGCAACTCCAGAGACCAATCCATAGGCGAGAAAACTTCCTGGAAGAAGAATCACTGAAAAGAAAATCACCGCAGGGAATCCCACAGTCTTGAATAACTTGGTTTTGGCCCATTCTTACACGGAATTCGAAACTTAATGGAACCTAAAATTTGAAGTATATATTTCGGGATGCTGTATAACCTACTCTCATATGGACAGGGCACACAAACGAGGGTACCTTAGAAACTCGTTTTTCTGTCTTATTTTCAGCTATACACAAAGAATCCTCTGGGAAACGACTACAGTTCATGATTTCTGGCCACTATGGAAAAAATAAGAAGCAAGTGATAATTACTTCAAAGTGGAAACCCCGCATAAGTGGTTCACAGTCTTTACGGTTTTGTTCACACAAAGATCGACAGGGAGGTAACGGCTTTTTCATTCCAGTGCAGACAGGGAAAAATAATGAGCATAAAAACAACTTCAAGGAAGAACTACAAGATGTACGAAGTAACGGTGTATATTGGCCAATTTCTTGCGCGGCATCATCTTGGGTAGCATGTCCCATATCATTAGGGAATATTGTGATATTATATGGTAGATCCTGGCATGCCTTTATACGTATAGGTTCACACTTCGGCGTTTCGGCGTACGGGTCTTCCAAGCCTCGCTGAACATAGCAATTAGACTGAGATAAAACGTGAATGATAACGAGAATGGGCACCAGAACAAAAGACATTTTAATCAGTAATGGCGCCTAAATGATCATTTGACTAACGCCCCATTAGTATTGTAATTGACTCTGAAAAACACATGCAACACGAAGCCAAAATGAAGAGTTAACAACGTACTTTATTTCTACAAATTATTCGGAAAAATGTTAAATAATAGTGAATGTTTATTTGGTTCCATGGAATGCACATTATATCCAATGTTTTATATAGTTGTGACTCACTCGTATAAACCAACTAAACGCCTCATTTTTGCACTCCTATAGAACTTTGTTATGTCAGATCTTTATTGTTGTCAAGTGTAGGTGGCTAGGAATCTTGACTGTACTAATTCTATTGTACTTTGTGGTTGCAATATTAAATATCTTTTTCATAAGCTAGTATAAACTAGTTTATTTCTTTGCTTTCGATTCTTGTTCTTTCGGTAGGGTTCCGGGTATTTGACAGTGTCCAATGGATGGTGTTCTAGCCACTAGACAGCACTAATTCTAGTCACTTGATAGCTGTTTTTCAGTTTGTATGTCCCGTGATTTCAGTGCGGTGGAGTTTCTTGATACCAACAGCTATCACATCACCAGGCCAGAGATCAGTCACTTGCAATGCGGGGAATAATAAGGGGAAGAGTCTGATGCTAATAATAATAAGTGTTTAATCTAGTTTATTAATTGTTAGCAAAGATTGTGTGAGAGGACTGAAGTGTAAGCGAGGGAAAGGAAACAGAGATAATGTGCGAGATAGATGCACTTAATGATCTGAGGAAATGGTTGTAATAACTACTAGTAAGTTTTGAGACATCAGTCAGGCACAGCTGGTCGAAACGGGAAAAGATAATCCGTATGTGAGTATGTAATTATCAAGTCTCTTAAAGCTGCTCACTGGTTTCCTTGTTCGCGATTCTTGTCCTTTCGGTACGGTTCCAGACATTAGGTAATTAGGCTCATTAAATAGTATTATTTCTTTAGTATAAATGTGAAAGTAAGTCGTTATAGGGTTGTGGAAATTGCTGAGTTTCAATGAAATCATGATTTGATTAGAACATTGATAGAAACCTGGAAATAATGGGAGCCCGTTTCGTCGCGGTGTGTAACTCGCGTGCAGGCGATGTGAATGTACACTGCTGACTAGCCCCACACTAGAACGAAATGGCTGTCCACTGCTTCAAGGTTTCCGACTGAGGTCTTAAATTGATTGAGGCATGATTTCAGGTGAAGTTTTTCTAGAACGGTGGAGTTGCATGCATCAGAAGTAGGTTTGTTTTTTGCGCTATGAACGACTCTGAAAGTAGAGTACAGAGGAGTAAAGACAACTTTTACGACGAATATATAAGAAATCCACGCGACTGATGTGGATAGGCTGAAGTTGAGTCATAAGATATAGACAAGAGGAAGGTGAACAGGGAGGTGCTAAAAACGACAATAATAGTGGCAAGAGTAATGACGACAGTAATGAGAAGGGATCATGCATTAAGCACTATAACTCCAGAAAAGCTGTGAATGGGTTATTGGTCGTTGAGCCTCGTCTTAGAGCTGTCCAAGGGCAGGGATGTGGGAACTATTGTGAGTGAAGCCGATATTTTATTCGAAAAGTTTGATTCCGCATGGGTATTGTCTTTCTGACGAGCACCTAGTCGTAGATTGTCTCGTGAATTGAGATGTCAGGGTTCGGGTAGAATGTCTTACTTCAGTGGTCACGAGTGTTTGATATGTTGTACATCATTATTCAGTCAAATCTTGTTTCACTCGTAGTTTAGAGAGGACGATTTGAAGTGGTGAAGCCGGTCCTCTTGGAGTTTGTCCTTGAATACTACGACTAATAAGCATCGACTGAACTGACTTCTTTACCGCAAACAATAACGATGAACTAATAAACGTATTTTATGACAACACAAATGAAATCTTCAATAAATGCGCACCCTTAGGATCCAGGAGTCCTAAAGTTTCTAAGGACTTATATGTGTCAGGTCATATACGAAACCATCTTTGAAGACATGCTTCCAGACTTCATAACCGTAATGACTTCGATGACTGAAATTTGTTGAGGCAGAGATAATACGTACTAAACAGGCAATTGCACAGGAAGAGTGTGCTGTACAGATGAATAATGAGTCCTCTGCACTTATAAAAATCTTTCTAAATAAACTTAAATGCTCTAAATTGAAAGGAGGGAGTGTATTTATTCAGGACAGTCAAGTGTGTGAAGGCCCTAAACGTATCACAGAGCTGGTTAGCGAACATTTTTATGCTACACTGACAAGCGAATACACAACAAATGAATCACACCTGACCCAAATTCCTTCCTGTGAAGTCCTCAGTGTAGACTTCAGTGTATAAAATATTTTTAGGGTGATTACTACACTAAAACACTTTTACATTGAAGGACCAGATGGTATATCAGCCAGCATGCTGAAAAACAGGAGCAATGATCTCTGTGTTATTCTTCTTAAACCATTTACCTTATCGCTATCTACATAGTTGTACCCTAATAACTGGAGGACTACACGCATCGCCCCACAGTTAAATCTGGGCCTACAGTGAATGCTGAAGATTGCCGACTGATAACCATTACCTCAGTACTATCTAGGGTGATAGAGAAAGTAGTTAAGGCAGAATTAATGCAAAATCTACGTAATAACAATCTGATATCAACCTTACAGCATGGGTTCTTGATATCCAGGTCATGCGATAAATGCCTGCTAGATTATTCCAATCATATCATGCAAAAACAAGACGAAGGGCTTCTAGTATCAGCCCTATTCTTCGACTTTAAGAAGGCTTCCGATAAGGTTCCACACAAAAGGCTTTCCCTTAAACTAAAGTCATTCGGAATCAGTAACCCACTATATTCGTGGTTTGTTTCATTCCTAAATGGTTAAATACAATGGTTGCCTTTCATCACCAAGACCGATAACCAGTGAGGTTATCCAGGGAAGTGTATTAGGCCCACTCTCGTTTCTTATGTAATACTGTAAAATTTGGGAGCGCATACATATGTGCGGGTGATCTCGAAACATTATAAGGCTACAAACATGAAGATCTGGACGAAATTATAGCCAGAATTCAGAGTGACGTTGACAACGTATGTGCCTGGAGTGTAACATGGCAGCTACCTTTTAACCACAACAAATGTGGCATCATGCATTTTAGTAAGCATCACCATAAAATACCACTCTCTTTACAAATATGTAGGGTTCAGACACTCATATCGGCGCATGACCTGCTTATTCCTTACTCTGAAAGCCTAAAACTTGAAGAAGATGCCTCTACGATTATCTCTAAATCTAGACAACTAATGGGGTTCATAAATAAGAGCATCTTGACAAACGAGGCTAAGCTTACACTCTTCAAAATGTATATAAGGCCCTCACTTTAATATTGCCCACTTATTTTTTTAAACATGACTATCATGGACAAGATACGAGTATAAAATTTCCAAAGGAGCTTCACCCGGCGACCGCTCGGATGGAGCCATAACCTCAACTACACAGAAAGATGCAAACATCTACCCTTAGAACCTCTATGGCGCCATCGGTTGAAAGATAACCTAATACTTCTCTGTAAACTGATGATTGGTTTCGTGTTTGTAAAATATTACCCACTTATGAACCACAACACTGCTTGCAGACTTAGAAACAACGCATATGCACTATTAACAAAAAAACAAAAAGTCATTGCGATGTGATTTCTTTGTAACACGATACAGTATGTTGTGGAACGGATTACTAATTAATGTCCGTATCTGTGACACAATCACTAAGTTCAAGAAACTAGTAATACCGTTGTTAGACTCTACAGAGATTTATCGACTATTCCCGAAACTCAAATGAAGTCCCGAGGCACTCTTTGATGGTCCAAAAAATATTTAGAATAACCTATGAACATATTGTACCCACATTACCATCCATACAGGTATAACGAAATGATAGACGAATCCCACTATTTCTACTAACAGTAAAAGGTTATGCCTTCTAGGTGCTACCCGTGACATTAACAGTTTCCTTGAAGTTTAAATCCGAATAATTATTTTATCTATAACCGAACTTTCGGCTCTTATTTCTAGTAGACAGATTAATTAAAAAACCTGTAGATGCTGACCAACTACTGTCAGTTACGCGGAACTCAAACTTCCTGTATTGTTGTGAGTTTCTTCTTGTTCCCGTATTAACAGTTTGATAGGTTTTTATTTCCCCTATTCATTAACATCCAAACACCTTGCATTCCCACCTATTTGTCACCTTGCTCATGAATTTTCAACAGTATTTTTAGTCTTTTTTTCTTCGGCCTATCCATCCTATCTCCAAACTACCAATTAATTGACACATATCTTACAATTTATTCCATTAGTTAACTTAATAGCAGTGTGATATGCTATGTGGATATTTAGCCGAACATACAGAAGTCAAAGTTATCTGGATTGCTTGTAACATGGAGATAGTAGGGAAAGTGTATTCCAACAAGGTGCACAAAAATAGAGCCTAGACTGGAAAACACTATTTAAATTCTGCCGTCAAACGTAATAGAGCCTAAAGTTACAAAAGGACGGACGGTTGTGTATCCGACCAGCTTTCATGACTGTGCAGCTATAACCTCAATCCACCCATGTCTGTGGGGCAAAACATTGTGTTTGCTTACGGCTCCTTACGATGTAGCAGGATATACCTAATCAATGATATTGATGTTACTTTTCCACGTCAAACAAGTCTACTGCTCACGTCAGTAACCTAGCACTAATTTCACTTTCTACCAAGAAATTCTATAACTAGTAGATTAGGACAATTATGGTGAAAAACTTCTTGAGCTATAGCATTACAAAAACCAATAAGTGATATATCAGGGAAGAAGCAGATCACTGTGCTTCATTACTATATTCTGCAAATCAACATTATTCCTGATGGTTTAGTTCTTCTGAATTTCCTCTATGCATACGATGAGTGGCCCGTTTGTTATCTTACTAGTGACTTGTCTTCATTGACCTACATAAGTGCAGGTTTATAGGTAGTGTTCTAATATAAAAAAGGTCTGAGTAATCATACATTTGTTTTGTCCAAGAATATTTCCCCTTCTGCTCCTCGCTCCTTTCCCTTTATTTCGCCTTTTCAGCACCTCATTTTAATCCTTAAATATTAGTCTGGACATTTGACCAAGACTTGGTTACTTTACCTAGAAGCCTGTAAATTTGTTATCCGACGAATATCAACAAGACGTTCGCACATTTATCTCATCAGTTCTTGTTATACGCAGACCTGGATTTATCTTGCCTTGGTTTTCAGCCATTGGCGGTTCGTAGTAACGTAACCATCGTAACTCGCGACAACTACCGCAGAGTCTGTAACATTATGTGTAATTTTTATATAATATTTTGGCCATCTATATGAAGTCAATATATCGTATGAAATACTTACGTAAGTAAACAACCTTCTATGGAAAATGTTAGCAATTTTAACATTTTGATCTTGACTTTAAGTTGACATGCTTCTTGTAACATGTTTTTATTTGATAATATAATTGATATTCTTCTTATTATTATTATTTCCACGAGTTTTATTTTACCTGATTTTCCAGCTGTTAAAGCCATCGGCCTATGTGGTATGCTCAATGCAATACAGTTAATTGTCATGGATAACAGAGTGCGAGTCTTAAAAAAACTGTACTCATTTAGGATGTAGTGACGGGACCATGTATAATGATGTAAGCAGGAAAGTGTAGGAGCATTAAAGAAGTGGTTAGCTTCCATGATACTACTAAGATAAGAGAGAATGGTATAGGGTTCTTTAGTATGGACTTTAGGCAACCTGCGTCCTACATATCAAGTGTGAGACAGTCGACAATCCAGGAAGCAGTGAATGGTGTTGAGTCTCTCAATTTTTGGTCGGTTGTATTTGTGTCTGAAAGCGAGATGCTAGGTAATGAAAAGTCCTGCCTAGGTTCATGGTTCAAGTCTGGTGTGCCTCTAGAAAGGTTAGCGTATGATACAGATTGATTGATATTATTACATAAATCCATTTTATCATCTCGAGTGGCGGATTTAGATCATTTACAGATGTTGTAAGCATCAGGCGAAAACGTCACAACATTGTGAATATATAAATATTTTGCGAAATAAAATGAAAAATAGGAATGAATTGCGTCGCTATTTCATAAATGCTTTGACTGAAATCTCAGCCATACTGTACAACTAAACAGGAAACTGGACTAATTGGCATAAAGTGAGTAAAGTGGACTGCGTTTCAAAATTTAGACACTCAGAGGATAGAGATCCAAGTACAGGGAGCTGACAGGTGTCAGCTCGGACTAAAAGATCGTCTCGGATTTGACTACTTGACATGTGTTAATACTGTTTTAGACCCAACGGCCATATTGAGGCAATCGAAACAGAACGTACATATGCCAAGTGAGGCTGATCAGTCGCAGTTCTAAGCATCAGCGGAAGTATTCAAACAACCAATATAATTGAATGAGACTTCATTCGATTACACAAATTGGTGGCTACTTGAACTTGGAACCCTTAATATTATCCAGATAATCAACGGACATACTTTGCTTTTGGCGATTTTATTACCGTGAGTGTGAGGCACTGGGTTACATCTATCGCATCCCTCGCTTTTTGTTTTGAAGGGTGGTTTGATGATTCTTGATCCATGAGATTCCTAACCTATAAGTACTTTCTGTGTTTCTTCGGACAGCATCACTGCGACTCCTTGTGTGTGAGACATTTTCTTGATCATAATTCAGGTGCAAAGGCATCTATCTAAGAGCTAAGCCTCTGAGTTTCACTTATTCATAGAACCTCATCATTGTATCGTTTCACTCCTTCAGCTGCTTGGATGGTTCTTCAAGGCTTCCATAGTCTTTCTAATCTCATACAATGCCTGAGCGTTCCATGAACCTGTATCACCCTGGTTGGGAAAAGAAGAGTCGGACTTATAACTTCCGAAGGAACTTGGCCTTCACTTCTGGACGTGGTAACTGTTTTAGATGAAGGCTTTTGAACTCTAGGAAAGAGTTCAAACGGTTGAAACGATTTCTTGTTGTTAGCGCTGTTTCAGTAAGATTGTTTTTCGCGAAACAGGAGTGCTCACTCTATGTTAAACCCATTTCTTTCATCTGGGCTTGGGATCGACAGCAACCCTAGAAGGGTTCGATAAGGAGCTAGTGTCGAAAACTTTTGCTTAGCTTCCCACTAGTGGGAAGGTGATAACTATAAGATGTGACAAGGAAAAAACGTTAACCTACTGTGTGTGTATGTTGGATGAACACTCTCCCGATCCCATCAATGTCTATAACTTACGGAAATATCTTTACGGGTTCCTAAAACCCGGACTTTAAGATTTAATCATAAAGAATTTCGTTTATTTGAGATGTAAGAATGTATTTATATGTATCAGATCAGTTTAAGATTGCATAATCTGCAACACTGTATTTATAGTTCACAAACGTATTGCTGCCTTGAGGGAATATTGAGTATTGTTTAAGTGGAGATAAGCTATTTTCAGTTGCGCACACTTAGAATCTTATTTTCTGCGGTAAGTATAGGGTGCCAATGTGTACACTATATGTATATGTGTACCGTTTCTTTTAAACAGCTTTTCTACGCACATATAATTAGTTATCCCAATGTTTAATAATTTCCGAAGTGTTTTCAAGAAACATACTTATTTAAATCTTCATGTTAGTGTTTTTTCTCGTCGTTTCTAAACTGCAATTATTTATAATTACTCGTTGCTTTCTTTGAGATTTCGCCTTGATAATGTTTTTTCACTTACATGTAAAGCAACATTTTTTATATAGTCTTTCTGAGCGGTTCAATGGATAGTTGACCTATATAGTTGTACCCATGTATTTACAAGGTATTAACAATATCATTCCATTACAACAAATATCGCGTCTTAATTATCTAAAAGTTCAACCACAACTCTGTGGGTATTGTATTGTGCGATTCCTAACTGACGAATGACATTAAAACTGGTGTGAAATTACTATTTGTGACATGCCTACGTAACATGTCCCAACCACCTCAACAGATGAACATACACTACTTCAGTTGATCAGCCAAACTTACCTGGTATCGTTTTCATAACAGCAGCATTGTTAACTCGATTTTCCTCGGATGTACGAGCTATGCTTCGAAGACATCTGTGATCGAATACTAGTAACCTAGGTATATCCTCTACTCTTACTGGCCATGTTTCACACCTGGTCAGTGTCATATCTTGTTGCTTTGTAGGCTCACAAGTTGAACTAACTGCATTTTCTTGTTTCGAAATTTGTTACGACAAAATTTTTGAAATAGTTGGTTCTAATGAGGCTAATTCAAATCTCTGCAAACATTTCCTTAAAACTGAAACATTCCTAAAGTTCAATACAGTACGTCCGACGTCTTTGACAGGGAGATAATACTATCTTCATACTAGTCCTATATAATGATTACATGTTATTTAATTACAGCCACCAATCAACCACAAAATTCGGCGAAATATCAGTTTTTTCTTTTCGCTTTTACAGGTGTGAACCACTCATTCTTCAAGAAGATAAAATCACGCAATTAAAGAAAGATCACTAAATCAGTACAAACTTGCTTTGTAATAAATTAAATTGAATATATTAGAACTCAGGAGATATCTCTTCGAATACTCTCATCTATACACCTAAATTAAACTATACAGTTCAACTTCCAGACGTATCAGATATGCAACGTTTGTCGAATTCCATCCCTCAACATTTAAAGACGATGTTCAAAGATCCTATGACTTTTCTGAAACCTCTGTCTATAGGGTAAGTGCAATACGAACTCAACAATCCCTCGGAAACCTCTATGGTTTAATTAAACGAAATCAAGTATTCATTCATGGTGTGTGAGATTTCATTCAGAATGTAGCCAATTTGATCACATGGTTTAATTACTTTTGCACCATAAAAACTTAATTGTGTGGTCCGGATTAAAGATTTTTGGACCTCCTTTCTTCTGTTAGCGTTGAACAATCAGCCGATATAGTACGTTTGGGCCATTTCTATTGGTAAGGCTGACTACTACTTCAAGGTAGCAGCTACGGTCGGAATGAGGTGGTAGTTCAAGCTAATCACTGTTATTTACTAAAAGCTTTGTTTTCATCTAAGAGGTTTATAAATCGCGTGCTGTTTTCATTGATAATATTTGTTGTACTGTTAAGTAAAGCAGTCACAACAGTTTGGTAACTCGGAAAGTTTCAGATCCTTTTGTTTTCTTCAATTTCACAGCGGTAATGTAAACATGAATGCCTGCATTGTATCTTACGTCTCAAGACGGACAGTGAAAATATATACTAGGATGGGTGACAATGGAACAAGTGGTTTGTTCACTGGTGAACGTCGTCCCAAAAATGATGCTGTCTTCGATGCCCTTGGGGCAGTTGACGAGCTTGTGTGCTGCATAGGCTTGGCGTCAGCACATATTCACGATCATATGTCCAGACAGCTTCTGGGATATGATGTTCAAGCTGTTTTGAAACAATTAGAGCAAGTACAATGTCGTTTAATAAGTTTATCGTCTTCAATAGCCACACCTCTTCCTCGTCCTGATGACCAAACCAATATTTCGGAGCGTCCGAAACGGTATAAGCATGTGACCTTTCCAGAAGATGTTTCAACTGAATTAGAGCAGTGGATCGATAATTTGACAAATGTTTTGCCACCTCTGAATGTCTTCATATTACCTTCGGGCGGAACTCCTGGAAGTTCTTTACAACTTGCGAGAGCTGTTTGCAGACGAGCTGAACGACATGTGACCAACATGAACTTCCAACACGAATTTCCTGTTGTCGAAAAAAGTGTAGTAAAGTACTTGAATCGTTTGAGTGATTATCTGTTTACCGCTGCACGATATGTTACCAGTGGCTTAGGATTTACTGAAAAACGTTTCTACCGCCTAACATAATCTCTAAAAACTAACTTTTAAATCTTAATTTATTTAGTAAACTATCCTTTAGACCTACCCTTTTTAACTACTTTCAGATGTATTCGTAAGTATCCTGGTGACGAATTGGGACGTGGTGCAGGCAAGGTGTTTAATTTTATTTTACGAGTTGTTTAGTTTGATTTTTTACTTTGTTCTCTTGAGATAATCTTTTCTTTTGTACTAACTAGTTTATTTATAACTTCACTAATAGTCAATAATTTTGTAAATTCCTAATCAGTATAAACTTGTTGCTTGTTATTCTCCGGTATGGCGGATTTAGTCTGACAACAATGAATTTGTCTTCATCTTTTGAAAAATTACAATACATACATTTTTGTTAAAATGGTGAATATGCGTTTGTACGTACTCAGTTGATATATTCAAATTGTTTATTACTTAGTCATCTTTAAAGCTGATCTAAATTTATATTCGACAGTGTTTATCTAGTTGAGCAATGTTGGCTGGTGTGCGAAGAGATTTGAAAGAAGTTAGAGACGCTCAGATCAAAAGTATTACATCAATTCATGTTCATCAATACACGTTCGAGGCCGAAGACCCCGAGCTCGATTCCCAGATTTGGGTCCGTGAATCCTCAATGCCAAGTAGCCCTTATGCTAGGACAAAACAGTTGTAAAGTGCTTTTAGATTTTTAATGATTGTCTTACTTAGATCAATTCATTATCTCAATACAATACACAACCCCATACCTATAATTCATAAAGTCATCCATTGTTGGTCTGAGCCGCGTATGCAGAGCTGCAGATTACGTGATTGACATTCATGAGATAAGCCCATTCAATAGCTACAGACTTTAAATGACTTGGTTAACCATCAGTCGCAATAACACAAGTGCATTTACCTCTTTATCTTCCTATCTTTATTTCCGGTATACCTCCGTGCTTATCACTCTGTCGTTTCGAATCTTAATCTTGATGTTCAGTCTTTATTATCTTCTTTGTTATTAAATTATTTTGATTCTTTTATTATCCATCTTTTTAAATTCATCTCGTTATGCTAATGTAACATGAAAACTTGGATCAACAAATCTCTATTCCCAGATTGTTAGTTATAGCTAACTAGTCAACTGTGCAAAATTATTAAACCTTATATAAAAAGTATGACCGAAAGCGAAGTCAATAAACCTCTTCTTGATATTGAAATTACATCAAGCTAGTCGAATAGCTGGTTTATTTCCTATAGTTTTTGTGATAAAAAGGCATCAATCATATTAGTATAGCGGCGCATATGCAGCGATAACGTTACTTGAGTTTCGAGAATTAAACCTTAGCAGCCTTTCTTTTTAAGTTCTGCAATTGATAATAGTAATTTCGTAGTGTCTATTTTCTAAATTTCAGCCACTACGTCATAGGTTTGTATCCTCTTCCAACTAATTAAGGTTTGGTAACCAGATGGTATTGCCAGCCATCAAAATTAAAGTATGGCTCAAGGCTAAATTCAAGATTTACGTAAAATTCAAGTTGTGGCTTACATTGTTTACGATAGAATGTTTATAGTATAGTAGTGTTTTACGCTAGACACAATCTGATAGTTAAATAATGGGGCAAGGTGATCATCATCAACCGTACACTTGATTGAGATAAATTAAATAGTTATCCTCAATACTTCGGTACTGTTGTTAGCTATTTGTTGTTATTTTTATTCCGACATTGAGTTTATTGGTTGGGGCATCATATATATTCAGATTTCGTTAATACTGGATGTACAATCACTTTACTAACCATAGGTTATCCGATGATAACCAGTATAATCGCTCCGTGTTAACTTTTAACAAAAAACTTAATGTGATTATAAAGTTAACCAATACTATACAGCTTCAGTATTTTTCAGATAAGACGGACCCTGATTCATTGTTTTTGTATGGACGTTTGAGGATTTCAAGCTACTCTAATTTTGATTTAATTTAACCTGATAAAATTAGAGATCCTGAATGGTGTGAGCCACACAAATCATATTTATGTACTGACTGAATTACTGTTAGAAGTTTAAACCGAAGCGAGTGGTTTGCCTAACAGACTGCTCCACTAGTCAGTGGAGAAACTTTATATACCGTCTTTAGTAGCTAGCGACTCAAATATATTACGCCATTCATTCTCTCAGAACCATGAGACCCCATGGACACCTTTGCTTTAAATTCAATATTTCCCATCTGCTACAGGTGAGTCTTTCTCATTCACCAACTTTGTTTAAGCACCAGATCTTCATTTTTCTTTGTCATTTTCGTAAACCACTCTGTGATTATTAAAATTTTCAGGGTGACAATCATTGAAGGTTGCTTCATGCGATAAGTGTTCTCTAGTTGCTTTAGTCTATTTTATGTCTATGATTATGATCAGTTAGTTTTATTTAAGCAATTATATAATGGAGGAAATTTTGGCTAGGTATCGATATAAAAATGATTACATGTGCCAACATTAATCTCTAATTGTCTTTGTTAAATAGCCTGTTTATTTAATGACTGATCTGTTAGGTATGCCAGTCCTTTTCTGTTCCTTAATTCTAAACATAACCTGTGTGTAGGGTCGTGAGTTTTCTATCATATTCTTTTGTTCTAGTTAATAAAAGTCTATTCATACACTTGAATAATTAATCAACAACTAAGCCAGTTTGGCTAGAAAATTAAACAGTTTCCTTATGATCAAACGGTTATATGATTTTTGGTTATCTTGTGTTCTTCAGGCTATGTAGTTTGTGGTGGCGAAAATTTCATTGTTGTCCTGATATCTTACTGCTACATGAAAAGTGCATTAATTAGGGCTGCAAATGTCATCTATCATTTTGAAAATCTTTTCAGTCTAATATGCTTCTACGTGTTCTGAAATTGGGGAATACTTCGTTACTTTTGCACAGTGAATAGGTATTAATTCAGTGCTTATAAACAAGCCTATAAATATGACTCAGCAATAATATCATACAGTAACTGTTTGTTCAAAGACTATTGTATCATTCATACAGTATGATTATGAACTAAGAGTTAATTAAATTGATTTATTTAGTGTGTAAAGTATCTATGAATCGTAGACACTAGTTATGTATAACCAATTTAAATGGTAGTTAGTAAACTATCGAATACAAACTAGCTAATAAAACTAGTGTATATCAACACCATTGTATTTGTATCCATCTTCGTGCAACAAAAATGTTGAGTCTATGTGCAAGATACTTAGCAAAAGTGGCAAGTCGGTTGATGAGCTTTTGAAATTTTATCAGCTGGGTTGGCTGGTAACTGTTACGTACGCCTTATCACTATCTGCCCCGAGCAATGATTTTTAGTGCAGAAGTAGGTTGAAAGAAACCTAGTCGAGGCTAAAAGAAGACTTGGGATCATTCCATGAAATCATCGACATTTGAACTGAACCTTGTATGTTGATCTGGATGATCTGGTTAGAGTCCGCGTTATAATGATGGTCAGCGATTCGGGACTGGGTGACAGTCCAGAATCGCTCACAAAGTTGAGGATTCATTTGCTCTTTATCTCCCTTTCTGCCCTTATTTCCAATATTCCATTTTACATTCCTCAGTTTGTCTTTTAAAGTGTATTCTCAATCTTCACTCTTATTACCACTGATACTACTTTATTTCTGTTTTTCTGTCCGTCCATAGTCGCACTAGCCTGGTATGACGATATGGAACAATGTACCTCTGTGTCAGGCTCTGTACTGACTGATCTGCTCTAAGATTTTACACCATTGAATCTGTGCTCAGTTTCTCATCTCTTCATTTAGTTGATCGATTTTCACTGCTAATTAACTACAAGCTAACATGAATGGTGAAAGCTGTGGATAATAGATAATTAGGAAAGTTACAATTCTTACTCTATATAGGTTTGGCCCGCGCAAATATCCTGATACGGCCGAAAGTGGGCAGAGTCCTCTCTCATATAGCCACAAAGATACTGCCAAGAAAGTCCTACTCACTACTTTCTCGTGGCGAGGATGTTCATGAAATTGAGATGACGAAAAATTTATATCCGATCGAGGCTTAAAGCGGGTTGGTGGGGACGGAGGATTCGCCCAGTGTAGTTAGAAAGCCCTGATCCCAAACCAATCTGCACATGGGCTCCAGTATTTTGAAGGAACAAATGACGTATAAAACTATTGTTGGTCACCTACCATGAAACTGTGACTCTTAATGTTGCTCCACTGCCTTTCGAACTAAGCCTGTTGGTCAAAGGTTCATGGAGTGATCCTCTTAATGAAAACTGCCTGTTTGGTTTGGGCATCCTTACAGTATCCCAATCCATTCACAAATTAATTGATTTGTTTAGTGCATAAATATTTAGGTACCCCTTTGTACTAATATTTATGTGTTCAAATGAAAAAGCACTAGTTAAACGACTAATGATTACATTTTAACTGTACAGTAATAACACATTTACACTGTTAGTTAATTAGGATTTATCTGCACTTGTTAGCGCTTGATAAGATCTTTGAAGGCAACACAAAGATAATTTATAGTATAAGGTACATTATTTGTTCTCATATAAGGAAAAAAATTCAACTGAATTTCTAGATCATGGTTATTTAAACAGAATCATTAATATAATGTGATGATGATATCCGCTTATCTCATTGAACATAGATTTAATACATTAATCTATGTTTCATAATTTCCTATCAAGGGTGGTGGTACTGGTGGTTCTATTCGTGATGCTGGTGGGGCATTTGGAAAACTCGAAGCACGTAATGAAGAAGAATACTTCTATAAATTAGTAAGTAATTCATTGTTATATGTGTCACATGTATCACACCTATATGCACTACACTTCTTCAACTTCACCACATGTGATTGACTTTGGTCAGCATAATTTCAGTTTCGTGGTATTGTCCCATAGGGAATCTGTGGGACAAGTTCGAACGTTTCATATCTTCTTTTTCGGTTATAAATAATCATTTTCATCAGCAATGTGGATATGTGTGGTACACTCTAATTTATTCATCATTATGACTTTATTCCTACACTTGATATTTCTAGCTTATTTACGAATATTCTTACGTCAGCCGGCCTGGTGCAATATGTTTTTGGGATGATAACCATACCAGTCACCTGTGTAATTAAAATAGGCTCACAATATGATTAAATTTAAGTAGCGATTACGGTCTCATTCATTCTTCATTTTCAGTTTCCCGTCATTTCCTATTCTTCATCCTTCCATTTCAACTGCACTTCTCATGTTTGGCTTTTAGCTGCAGCTGGTGATTTCAGAGAAAACTGTTTGAAGTGTGTCAGTCGTTGCTACTTCGCGGTTGTTTACATTGTCAGAGGATACTTCTGAAACCTGATAACAAAATTGAATTGGCAGTAGTCATAGAGAACTGGGAGCGTACTGAAGACCTCAAGCGTCGCCTGGTATAGCAAGCAGTACGAGATCTTAAGTTGGGTTCCCTTAGTTTGACTGCTCTCCCATCAACTTTTCTAGCATGATATCAAGGGACAAATGCCTTGGTCGAAATAGCCTTACTTTGGTCATTACAGAATATGCATTCCCGTTCACCATATCAAAATATCAGCTAACTTCATTTTGGCAATTTCGTCTGTCATTGTGTGTATGCCAAATTTATGATAATTTCTACCGGTACAAATCCGTTCCAGGTCTTGTATTTTTTCTGACCTCCACTTTTTGTGTTCTCTCTCTAATTCTAACCTTCTGAATTCCTCATAATCTCCATCCTTCTCCTTCTAAAGTTATCTCACTGAATCATCGCTCCCTAATCTCCATTACTGCTAATACTTGTACTATCGCTACCACTATGGGATTTGAACTGACAGTTGCGTCTCTGTGCTGATGTGGTATGGCAACTTGAACTGATGTACTTACGTACTAAGTTCTGCGTTTATCTGTCTATCTGTCTGTCTGACCTACGGATCTCACCCTAAGAATTAATCAGTTGATGTAAGTTGGTAACTGATATAGTGAGCCAATCAGAAGTGGCCAAAAGGATACTATTTAATGATAATCAAAAGTATTCTTAAGGACAAATGCATATCATTCGTCAAGAAAGTGATTCATTTTTTAAGGGAGAAGAATGTATATATATATATATAAATGGTGTTCATATATATGTAATTCGGTAGCCAAATCAACTTTCGTTTCCGCTCTTACCTTCTGAATTATCTTTTGTTTATTTTCTAGCAACAACATCAATTACATGAATTGAAAAAACATTTAGAAGATGAACATGAACGTGAAGTGAAAGAGATCAAACGACTTGAAGTAAGTAGTGCTATTCTTATTCAATAAATTGTTGTTTTATACGAAGGGCCGGTACAAAAATTGAAGAGGAATAATTTGAATCCAATACAATTCACAGATTTTGTACATCTTTCTTGTAAACATTCCTGGTGTTTTGTGGAACGAACAAGTAAGAAATGTAGGAATTGGAAGTTTGGTATGAAAAAAGATGACAACTCAGTTGATGAGGCTGTGAATTTTTTTTATCTACTGGAGTTTTCTGGAAATACATTACCTCCACTCAATTATGAGTGAGGTAGGTGTAGGCTGGAAAAAAGCTTTGAGGTGGCGGAGCCGAAATGTAGTTTCAGTCTACGAAATCATTGACTGTTGGACTAGCACATGATTAGTAAATTCAGGGTTCGCACGATCAGCGGTTGATGATGTTGGGTAACATGACTCAGCACCAGTTGAAGTTGAAGCTAGTAGGGTCAGCCAAACCTAAATATGGCAGAAATCCATGAAGTCACTGTCAAGTGGACTGTATCATATGTTGGTAGATGCAGTCTACCTGGTTGGGGTCCGCGAGACGAAAGTCACCGATGGTTAGAGACGTTGAAGATTGAGAAGTGGACGAGCGTTTTAGACTCTGATTGACTGATCACTCAATATATCATAGTCTCACCATTTCGTTCTTTATTTTACTTGTACGCCACTTCATTTTGTCAATCAATGTTTCTTATTGTTACATCTTTAGTTAGACATTATCGTAATTAGTTTATTTTCTATTGGTATAAAACTTTTTATTTTTGATTTTATGTATATCCGTTTAGGAATCACTCAAAAAACGAAAAAAATTACTGGCTGATCTTGAAAAAAAGCGTTAATTGCCAATAGGAATCAAGTCGAACGCGATCCTTTTCATCAGCTTGTTTTAGTCTGCAGTTCAAAGTAGAATGATATATTGTTTCTCTGTCTCTCTCTCTATGTGTGTGTGTGTGTGTGAATGTGTAGATTTTCACATATCCAACAGATTTCTGTACTAGTCAGTTGAATGATGATAAATTTTTAAATAGTCACTAATAATTTTGCTGCTTATTCTGTCACTCTCGTTGACTTAGTGTGTTCGATCAGTTCGATGTAATACTGGCATTAATTTTTTTATTGAGAAAAAGATAGAAGAAGGACATGAGTATGCGCTATGCGATTCGAAAAAAACAAACATTACCAAAATTGTGATGCAAAAGATTGACAGCTGAAGTTTTTTGCATAATTTTCAATGATTTTTTATAATCTACCTCACAATAATAAATGCGTAAATAATAACGAAATTAACTCAGGTAATTTATTACAACTCTAACTGATGATGATTAGTTGTGAATCTCACGGGTATTTATAGGAAATTCAAGTTTCAGAGTGTAACAGAACTTTTGTTAAATAATTCTCGTCAAGATTTTAGAAAATGTTTCACTTTGAAGTGGCCCGCGATCTGACTTCAGTTTGAACGAATAGTCGAGTATGGGATAAAATAAATCTTCCCTTCGATTTCTGTATATTATGCATAGACAAACTCTGTTTGTGTTATGGTAGTGGTAAGAAGTCAAATACGAATTCAATCCGATAAGTCTATTTCATGCATCTATTTAAACGTACAAAAGTGAAATGAAAAGCATACAAGCTGAACGTAGATGAGTGAGCCAACTTCATGCGATGAAGCATCACTAAGTTTTTCCCTGACCATGGCTGCTACCTTGACGTGGTGGTCGGACTTGTCTTTCGTGATGACCCGACCGAGCCATATTGGCGGGAACACACGTTTCTTTAGGTCCTACCATCCCAGGTAGGTCGATTGGAGAACGGTAAGACAAAGCGCAATAACTGAAGGTCTGAGGGCGGAGTCGTACTGCTGACTGTAGAGGGGTGTGACAGCAGTAAGTTGTTTCTCTCCACAACCAGCATCTGCAGCGATTCTGCCTTCTCACAAGGAAGGAAGGAGTTAGAAACTGGCCACCCTAAAAATGTCGCAACTCACCCTACCTCACGGATTTCTGTTTCCGGCTGTAAGGCCTTTTAAAAAGACCAGAGCCAACACTCCAAAAACTTTACATCAAAAGGCCGTGCATGACCGGCTTCAAGCAGTTGTCCCTCGGGCTCTGCGACCACGCTTTCAGGTCTCTAAGACCAACACTAATCCAACTTCCCTTTCAGGTTCCTCAAGAAACACCCTTCCACAGTGTGGGCAGTCGGTAAGTGTCATCCGCCCTCATACCCGTAAAAGCACACGACTAGCTAAGTATATATAATCTGATATATATACAATAAGCGAAATAAGTATGCACACAAACTCGAATCACAACAAACAACATTGTGAGCTAGTAATTGACAAGGTCGAAAGACGTGTGAATAATGTCTCAAGGAGAATATATTAGTTAATTTGTCCAAACAGTTGGACAAGCCCTATGGGTTCGACATATTATTATACCCAATACAATCTGTTTTTCCTTTGTATTTGTTGTTTTTCGTATCAGGAGTATAGCATAAAATGGATGAATAATACATTTATTCCCGTAACAATTAATATTTAGGTCACAAACTAGTCACAACTGAAATGACTAGTGAGTAAGAAATGCTGTGGTTTTTCGTTTAGTTAGTGAATCTTTTCTTCAAGTAAGCATGATACAATACATGCAGAGATCTAGGTAACATATGAAGACTGATGTTTCGTAATTTCGATAAATTCGTGATAATGTACAACCATCTTGACAAGTAACTGCAGCTCATTCAACTTCACTGAGCTTTGTGGATCACAGCTCATTACAACTTCGAGGATTACATCTCACATCTAGTTCCTAATGGGTACATGATTTTTAGACATTAAAAAAGGGTTTTGTAGAGATTGTTAAGTTTCGTGGTTTTTAGTATTAGTTAACTTTGGTTAGATAACTATTAGAAACTAGTATTTCTGAGGTGACCCCAATGTTTCTTGGTCTTTTAGTTACAGTCAGTCCATGTTGTAAACAATAAAACTTAACAATCTGCACAAATCTTCCACATAACAAAATAACATGTGAGGGTCGGTGTACTTGTGTATGTGATTGAGGTCTTCCGCATATATTGGAATTGAAATAGCATATTATTTCTGATATAATTAAAGAATAATTATAACATTTTAGTATGATGAGAATAATTATATGTTTGGGGCACAGTTTTGGAGGTTTGCGTTTTTACACATTTGAAATCATTAATCAGTCATCATTGTTAGACCACCATTAGAAACCTGGAAGCACTGGACGGCCGTTTCGTCCTAGTATGGGACTCCTCAGCAGTGCACATCCACGATTCCTGCTCCTCGCAGGATTCGAACCCGGGACGTTTGGCATTGTAGGCGAACGCCTTACCATCGGACCACTGGGCCGGCATCCAACGGTGTTAATGTCTAACTCTGATTGGCCGTCCAGTGCTTCCAGGTTTCTAATGGTGGTCTAACAATGATGATTGATTAATGATTTCAATTATATGTTTATTATTAATATGATTTGTTTTTTTGCTTGATTTATCTTTCAAAAGTATGTAATTAAATTTCGCACATAATATAATGTATTATGATAGACTGTCTTTTCATTACCACTACTATCATAATAATACATGTTTTTATTCTGTTCTGATTGATTTTGAAATATAAAACAGTATGTGGTGTGTTAATTTAGCTGTTCTCTCTCTAACTGTTCATCCGTTTACATAATCTTTGTAATGTTAAGAAATGATATATGAGGCTGACCTACTAGCTCCCATACGATAGATAATTAGTTTGAAATTGATTCCGTCATTTGTAATTCTTTACTGAATACACATGAAATTGCACAAAACTGGGAACAGAAACTTAAGAGATTGCATTGTGAAAAAGGAAGTAAAAGAGACAATGAAAGTTGATCAAGAAAAATGAGTAAACAGGAGATATGTCTGTGTTAACAATACAACTAAGGACTTCTTTCACTTAAGTGACTTTTTATCACTTTTATGTAATAAGTAGAAGGGAATCACGGAAATATCGCATTTAGCTTCTATCTTGGGCTGTATTTACTGACATCAAAAACCTCTAGGTTGTACCTAACGATGAGGTACTGCTGGACATGTCATAAACTGACCACTTATCTTTTTCATGTAGTGTTTGAATGTGGTGATACTAAATAACTTGTCGCTTTTCTCAAGTGCGTATTACCCAACCTCCTATACTTATGTTATCGCTGCGAACGATTATCTATTGTTTATTTATTCCCCGTTCGTTCGAACAAGCGGTGCTGGAATGAGAAAAAGGGTTCAGTTTCTGCAGTTAGATTGACTGTGATGTTAGCAAAAATCTGCGATCTGGATGTAATCTCATTTGTCCGATCTCAATCACTGATGATTCCAGTCTATAAGAAAAGACAAGAGTCCTCTTGTGACAATCACAGAACCGTCAGTTTAACTAATATAATGTCTGAAACATTAGCTTCACTATTAACTCAACGGCTTGTGAAGAGCAGAATCGAGAACACCAGGCTGGTTTCAGACCTGTACGTGGATGTATACACCAGATATTCACACTTCCTTAGGTCCTACGATATAGACGCACATTCAGACGTCCGACAATAGTCGTATTCCTTGACTTTAGGGCGTTTGGAACTTAGTGCCATAACTAGGCGAACGAGACCATGAGAAGTAGCAGTCAACTCTCGAGATACTTAAAGTGTGAATTCTCTTGGTCCTTCGTGGACTTAGTAAATGACCACATTTAGATCTTGTTTATGAGTTTCAGAGATGCAGAATATGCCAGTGGCATGAGTCGTGGCTAATGAAGTGTGTTGTACGTTTCGACATACATGTAGAACATAAGAGGCCTTGATATAGTTCAAGGTGTGGTTTCCGAAGGCGGAAATGTAATGCTTGGATTTAGGTCGATATGATTGGTGGCACATCGAGAAAAAGCTATGAAACTATCGAAAAGTAGGGACAGGCTAATGAATTTTAAGAAATGAACAGATGTGATTTTGTCTGGGGGGAACGAGATCCATTCGTTCTTGACTTCAGACTACAGTATCACCTGCCCTTAGATCCTAAGTTGTTTCTTTTAGTCTGATCCTTCCTCAACTGGTCTTCCGATTCCAGGGTGTATAGTCCGATCACATATAGGTCAGGTGATGTTGATCACATCATTATGATTGAAGAATTTACTCACTAAACTTGAATTTTTTTCGTGTTTACAGAATCAAAAAGATTATGTTTGAAGGATCAGAGCCTGGTTGTGGAGCAGGAAAGGTAATTTGAAAATAATTCTCGCTATGAATATTGTCAAAAAATAACATTGTTCATTTTTTTGACTAGACAACAATAGGTTTATCAATTTGTGTTTTTATTTCGACCAAAGAAGATTCTGATAGAACAGTGAGAAGACGTAATTGATCTGAAAAATGTGATGTATTTGCGCTATACATTTCGAACAATCTGGTCACACATATTTACTTGTCAAGGCATTTTATATGAAGATGAATAAAAGGTCAATTAAATAAAAGTTCAAATAGACATAGGGTGATAATTGTAAATAAAGGAGAGAGAAAATTAACGTAATATGAAAAGAATAAGAAGGGGTAGGAAAATTGTCACATTACCCTAGGCTTAAAGATTACCAAGGTAAATTCAAGGTTATGACAAATTGTTTCTGCACACATAAAGGGGGTTTTAATTTTCTAATAGCCAAGGCCTCCATAAACCTCAAAATTCGTCCTTCAACATTTCTATACAATGTTTTGAAGGCTGTCTTGATGTCAATCTTATGCCCTGTCTCAATTATGTGTTTGGCGATCGATGAACATGGTTTTCTATTTCCAACGTTAATCGGCTCATCTGACGTTAACTGATTTTGAAGCCACTTAGGTACATGTGGACACACATACATAGGGAGGAGTAATCGGACTTTGCAATCAAGGGTTGTGGAACATGTACCTAAGTGGCTTCAAAATCAGTTAACGTCAGATGAGCCGATTAACGTTGGAAATAGAAAACCATGTTCATCGATCGCCAAACACATAATTGAGACAGGGCATAAGATTGACATCAAGACAGCCTTCAAAACATTGTATAGAAATGTTGAAGGACGAATTTTGAGGTTTATGGAGGCCTTGGCTATTAGAAAATTAAAACCCCCTTTATGTGTGCAGAAACAATTTGTCATAACCTTGAATTTACCTTGGTAATCTTTAAGCCTAGGGTAATGTGACAATTTTCCTACCCCTTCTTATTCTTTTCATATTACGTTAATTTTCTCTCTCCTTTATTTACAATTATCACCCTATGTCTATTTGAACTTTTATTTAATTGACCTTTTATTCATCTTCATATAAAATGCCTTGACAAGTAAATATGTGTGACCAGATTGTTCGAAATGTATAGCGCAAATACATCACATTTTTCAGATCAATTACGTCTTCTCACTGTTCTATCAAAATTTATAAAAGGGACTAATTGTTTCAAAGAAGATTCATCGTCGAAATCACTTTTTGTCTAATGAATTTTAGGACAATACGCACTTCCTCCTATTTTAACTTACATAATACAAGCAGTTGACTTAAAATGAAATCAAAGTTTTGGAGAGAGTTTTCTGAGATTTTAATAGACAACATTTCAACTGTTAAAATCGATGCATAAAAGGCTACTCGATAGATGAACCACAATGACACAATGTGGCTGTTTACGATAGTGTATGACTAACTTTGGTCCGTGATTAATTGAAAATCAAAGACTAGACTACTAACAAGATGAATGATGTTTTATGTCATACAATAACATTGTTCACTACAAAATATAAGCTGAAAACAAATATGATAAAATCCACAGGCGATTGGATTAAATTAGCATATAGGTCAGTCATTTTCCAAACAATGAAACATGACTTAAGTCTAGTAGGTGGATATTATTTAACAATTACATCTTTGAACAAACCAATTCATTATTTGTTTTAGGGTGGTGGTGCTGGCGGTTCTATTCGCGAAGCCGGTGGTTCACTAGGCAAAAGAGAAGCTACTTTAGAAGATGAGTACTTCCGACGTTTGGTAGTGATTTGTTAGTCTTCAAATATTCCCTTTTTTTAGGATAAACAAAACATTGAAGCATTGAAGGAGAAACTCAATAAGGAATCTGTTGGTGAGAAACAATCTTCGGTAGGTGGGAAATTAGTGCTTACTATGAAAAAAGAAAGATTAAACATTTAATATCTAGATGAGGCCGTTGTTGTATTTAAAAGATCTTCGGAAACATTGTAACATTTGTGATAGTTGAGCTTTTCACTAGTACACACTCATGCCTCCATAGGGGATTAGACCTTTACTGTAGGTTAAAATGGTCGAACTTTAAAATAGTTCACACTTGCACCATTTACACTTTTATTCTACTCCCAATCATTGTGGGTGGTCTTTCGTTCTCTCAATCAATTTACTGATATCAACTTTTTCGGGTTCCTACTTATACGAAAGAAAATGTTAGAGTAATCATATGCAATATTGATGTTATCATATTCACATATTCGTTAAGCAATCACAAATCTTCACAGTTGAAATCACTAACTGACCGTAATCGGGCCATTTATAAAACTGCGAAAGCACTGAACGACCGTTTCGTCCTACTACGGACTCCATTTTTTGTTTACAAGGAGAAAAAGTAAGTCCTAAAATTATTGAGAGAGATAGGTAGATTGAATACATTAGTAGTTAAACTGTAGTGAACGAGAACACAGGTTGGGCAACCGAAATTGTATTTAGCGAAATTACAGAGTTACTCAGTAAAATTGGAAATCCATATGGTAAATCGTTAATTTGCAAAATATCAGCTCATCCTATCGAACTGGACTGTTCCTGATGCAAAACATCAATCCAATGTCACTGTTCATGCGTTTCATACAAATTCCATTGTTTTCTAACTCTTCCTTTCTTGATCTTCCCCCATCTTCGGCTGCCAGACATTACGTTGACGCTCACGTCATATACTACTTATAAGTAGCTCACACCACAAAACGACTGAACAAAATATGTCAATCATAAATATGCCCTTCATAAAACTTGTCACCGATTTCACTTAGCAAACAATGAATTGCTATCCAGTGAAATTGAAGACGTAGCCATTCGCGATCTGAATAATTCAATGATAATATCCTTGATTCTTAGATTTGTTCAAATCTCATTGGATTCATTAGTCTATTTCCAAATCATCGATACTTCTTGTTCTAGTGAATGCTAACTACTAAGACATAAACTCATATCAAAAGCAGATCTATGTAACATACAAACTGTTTGATATTAATGTACTAAACATTTGATTTTCTGTAACTAGAGAAATAATAAAATGTTTAGTGTACAATTAAAATTTTTTTAAAAAAAACCCTGATCTAGTTATTTTTCTCTATTTTTTTTCATTTTTTTCATACGCATTCAGAAATCCAATAGTTAACGAATGGATGATTATCGCGTTATTCCTTATCATTTAATTTCATTCATTAATGGCTAGTTTATATTCTGGAAACAAATATATTCTCTCATAACTTACGACAAGCAATGTCTTTTAACCGTTTAATCCAGTCGATTATAATGAATATAGAGCCCCAAACGTTATGTATGAAAAAAATACTGGAATTCAAGACTGAGTTTAAGGAAAAAAAGTAAATGCATTTGTGATAGATTCTGAGCAATATCTCCCATCCATAGTTTCATATCCATTGATAGCGATTATTACACTGATCTATCCACATGACTGAGATCGACTGTCATTAACCTCTTGGTTTGCATACTCCTAGCTATCCAATCTACTACTATTACAACAGATAACTTTGCCCGTCGATGTAGGCAGAACACTTTGGGGAGCAGTTCAACTGGTCACCAGTTTCCCACAATTTCCCGCCAAACTGAATGGCAAGTTAATGTGAATCTTACAACGCCTAATGAAGTTGAAAAGGGACAGATAGCAGCTGATTCTGAAGGATTGACGCCTGAGATTTTTAAGGATGGTGGTCCAGTTTCCGCAGTTAGATTGACTGTGATCTTAGCCAGAATCTGCGATCTGGATGTAATCATATCTGATTGGTCTCAATCACTGATGGTCGCAAAAGCACTTTTGACAATCACAGAACAATCAGTTTAACTAATATAACGCCCAAAATGTTAGCTTCGATAATAATTAGATCCCTAACTACAGCTCGTGAAGAGCAGAATCGAGAACACTATGCTGGTTTCAGACCTGTACGTGGATGTATACACCAGATATTTACACTTCACCAGGTCCTAGGATATACATTAAGAAATCCAACAACAGTTTATTTCTCGACCTTAAGTCGGCATTTGACTATGTTGATCGTGAGTTTCTGTGACAGTTAATCATTGAACTTTGTACCGAAAATGTAAAGTCTCTCTGGTCGTTCACTACTGGCCGAGTCAGAGCTTATGATGAACTCTAATTGGAATCGATGACCTCGAGTGGTGTTCGTCAGGGCTTTCCACTTTCTCCATTATTATTCGACTTTATCACTGACATGCTTTTAGAGTCGACAGTTTCATCGTTTGACTTTTCTGCAGTTGATCTTCTGCCTGGAGATCCAATTATCCATTTAGACTAAGCATATGATATGGTTCTGTTTGGTGAACACTGACCAAATGCAGAGTATTCCGACCACTTTAAGCAACAATGCAAGCATGTTTAGGGTGAGATTCTCCACGTACGTACCAGGTTCTACGTGGTAGCTGACTGACAGTTGAGGAAGGTTCATCAGCTTTTTAACCGATTTAAATTCACTGCCTCGTTCTCTAAACTGAACATTGCTGAACTAATCGCCTTGTGATAAGAGTAGAGCGCTTCGATGTACCTATGATATAGACCTACAGCTTGCGCATCTGTTCTGTTTTGAAAGGCGGTGTTTCATAGAGATAGAGTTATGCAGAAAGACCTTAAAATCAAAATACTTCACTTTATATCCTGAATTTCAGTCACTAATTCAACGGGATCTACTGAAATGAAGGCTGTTTACGATTGACCTTGGGAAGTGCGGTCATTCTACCAGGTCGTCAAAACCATCCCCTATCTAGTCTCCTTTTTGGGTATTTCACGATGTACTACTCTAAAGCCTGGTCAACTGGGAGTCTACAGCCGCCCCAATAGTTTCAACACTACCTCGCTCACAATCAAACTCTATCTGTCGATCTAACTGTGCTTCATCTGTTGTCATTGATAGCTTCTTTTAAAAAGATATTTCACTAAATATGTAAGAAGTGAATAAATGAGAATATTTACAGTTCGATTGTTTTGTGAACGAGAATCTAATTTATGATGATATTGATGTCAGTACTTTACAAATATAAACTGTCACTCTGTTTACCTTTGAATCTCACTGATTGAAATAAACCACTGTGTTTATGGCACACATTGAGGAGGGCGCTTAACTGTGTCGTCACAAGATAAGCCCTCATTTGGAGTCCTCAAGGCCAAAAGAGCAGAGGAAGACCGAAGAACATATTATGCGGACATGAGACATGAAAAGAATGAACAGCAATTGTAAAGAAGTCTAGTACTGTGTAGGTTGGAGAATGATGGCCGGCGGTGTAACAGGCGGTACTAAGCATGCTTTTCGCCTTCCATTCTACTAAATTGTTGATGAAATCTGAGAAATTTATATGATCAACTACTGTTTCACCACAGTCATTCATGTGACAACAAGTTTAAAAAGTATGGTCAGTAGAGTTAAGTAGATTGTGTGTTATTGCTAAAAGTGCGGGTAATTTGAACGGTGATGTGAAACAACAAAGTAAGTAACAAGATCTATAGTTTAAATAAAACTTTTAAGATTATCAACCATGCTTAATTGGATGTTATAACAAAACTCTAAATGGTTCATAATCTCTGTTAAAACAATTGATTGAATGTAGATCAAACTGACGACCCGGAATCAATACGTTAAAAATCTAAGTAATCTTATTAGTATATTGATTATCAAATTGTAGAGTATTACTGTAGCGAAGGATGACACAGGTGAGAGCAACCGAATTGTATTTATCTCTAATTACAGAGTTAATTGGTAAAATAGGAAAACCATATCGTAAATCGTTAATTTACAAAACATCAATCCATTGTCTGACATTTAACTATTCATGTGTTTCATACAAATTCCATTGTGTTCCCGTTCTTCCTTTCTTGATCTTCCTCCATCTTCTGCTGCCAGACATTACGTTTTTCCTCGCGTCATATACTACTTATAAGTAGCACGCACCACATTACAACTGTGTCAGATTGGTTATTCAGTGATTCTGTTAAAAAGATAAAATCAATAAATACATTGGAAAAACCAATAATTCATAAACCCAATTACATTTTAAAGGTGAAACACACCCAAATTCAACATACAAATTAAATTGATTTTCTGAGATATTAGTCACCTTAAACTTGTTTTTGTCAAATGTTGTAAACTTATTTAGATTGAATTCTTCTGTACAGTGTTTTTTTTCTTTTTTCAGTTCTCTATTAAATTATTCAATATACAATTTGTTATTTAGACTTTCATTACAATTTTTCTTTCTTTGTGTTGAGTTCAATGATATACCTGCTGCTCTCATGATTCATAGTCATTATATTTATTAGTTAGTTAAAATAACCTGAATTGAAACAGTCTTGCATATTAGAAAAAAAATTCAGAATGGTAAATAATTAGTTTAGTGTAAAAATCTATTACAGATAACAAACAAACAGTATGTCGGTTTGATTCACTGTACACATCATAATCTAGAAGATTTGTTTAATTTAATATAAAACGAGCTATTATGTATATGCACTACAAGCTTGTGAAGATTGTTGAGTTACACATTTTTGAAACCATGAACTGATCAATGTTAGAACACCATTAGAAACCTCGAAGCACTGGACGGCCGTTTCGTCCTGGTATGGGACTCCTCAGCAGTGCGCATCCACGACTCCTGCACAGAATTCGAACCCAGGAATGCTGAGGAATCCCATACCAGGACGAAACGGCCGTCCAGTGCTTCGAGGTTTCTAATGGCGGTCTATTATTGATCGATTCATGGTTTCAAAAATATTATGTATATGTATAGTTGAACTAATTTGATATATTTTTAAGTAAAATATTATACACTTTTAATGTCAACTATATCTAATAAGCGTACTTTTGATTATTTATGACTGTGAATATCATTTGTAACAACTCATGATGCCTAGTAATTTCGCTATTCAATCAGCATAACAAAATGATCAAGTTCAGTTACACATTATGAAAATGAGCATTGTCAACAAATCGATAAGACCTACTATCTGATATTTTGTTTCCAACACTGAAGATTGAGTTTATCAACGAGCTAATTTAATTATAGAATTATATATGGATGGTCGTTTAGTTGTCTGATTAGTAGATAAACTTAAAAACGTAAGGAAAATCGCGTACTAATTCTTCTGTTAGCCTTAAATAATCACTCCCACATTTCTAACTACAACACTAAATGGAACCAATTCTGCATCGAGGATCTAACTTAGCTCGAACAGCATAAGTCCTAAAATTATTATTCATTTTCAATGATGTTATTATCAATACCATTATTATTGGTAAGACGCCCCACCGTCTCTGACACCTTAACGTTTTGGTCAGGTTTGCCTATGGATACGATCGAAGTGAGCAACATTGGCTGGTACGTATGTTCCATTAGGTCATACAGTGCCAGGCATGTCAATTGGAGAACGATGAGACTAAAAGCAGCGACCCAAGATCTGAGGACGAAATAGTAAGGCTGACTGTAGACGAGTGTGGTAGCAGTAAGGTGTTTCCCTCAGACAACCAGAATCTGCAGCAATGCTGCCTTCTCACGAGAAAGGGAGGGGTTAGAAAAGGTCAACTGTACAAACGTCACAACCCACCTTACCCCACAGACTTCCTCCTGTGATAAATCAATTTGGAGCGAGGAGCTAACACTTTGAAAACTTCTCATAAAGAAGACATGTGTGACCAGCATCACGCACTTATCCCTTGGGCTCTGCGATCACGCAACCAGATCTCTGAGACCAATACTAATCCAACTTCCCTTTCAGGTTCCTCAAGAAAAACCCTTCCACGGTGTGAGCAGCGGGGAAGTGCTGTCAGCCCTCACACCCGTAACACACACGAGACCAAATTGCTCACAATCAAATACTTCCTACACCTCTTAGTAAACCTCTTGTCAACACCATTAAACCTTCTTTCACTCGTTTGCCACCTCACAACGCTGAAGCAAATGTTTCGAGTTCACGAAATATGATTTCCGGCCTCCGGAAACTCAACTCGAAACTACATGGAGCTCTTAATGGTCGAACCTTACCCAAAAAGAACAACAGGCTTCCTTAGCTAGAACTCAAGAATCTCCAACCATCCATGTATGCTGCGTCTCCAAAACGCACATACAGGATTCGAAGATAATCAGTCATTTGACCTCTTCTTGTCAAGATAAAGAACCATATAGACTTACACTTCATGTATCTGGAAGCCCCAATGCTACTTCCTGTGGCCTCGCTGGTGTAGATATAGTATTAAGTCCTAGAGCAGAACTAGTTTTCTAGACTCGATCCAAGTATATAATCGATTATGTACTGACCGAATAGTCGGGACAGGACAGGAACAACTCGAGAAGGTAAGGACACTTTCCGTTGCCTCTTTGTTGTTTCTGCCTACGTTCCCACTGACTGTAGTTCAGACGAGGTAAAAGGTCAGTTTCACACAAAGCTTTCGGACCTCCATCAAAACGTTGAACGCTCTCATATAGTAATAGTGGCTGATGTCAATGCCCAAGTAGGTAGACTGAACGAAAATGAAAAACAACTGGGTGGATCTTAGGGTGTAGAGGCTCAAAGAACAGATAATGGCAACCGTCTGCCGCAACCATGCTTAGATAACTACCTATTTCTGGCAACTACTAAGTTTAGCACAACGAAAGACATCTTTTGACATACCGATCCCCAAAATCGACTCAACGCTGGAGACACAACTAGTCCACATCGCTATCAGCTACTGATGGAGAGGCCCGATAAGAGACTGTCTCTCGTTGTGCAAAACATGTTTAGATTCAGACCATGCTCTAGCCAAGACGCGTATATCTGAGTCTTACTTGACGTAGGGAAGTCATCGCGAGAAAATCTCTTACGGTTCTACTTAATGATAACAAAGCTAAGAATGTATTTCAGGAACAACTATAAAAAGTTAAGCGGCCGTGTAAGTGATTCCCACAACGAGGCAGCTTGGAACGATATCCATAAAGCTGTGGAAACAGTAGTAAGGTAAACCGTAAAGTTAGTGGTAAGCAGTGGATTTCAGTAGCTACTACCGAACTGATGGATGCTCGGGCACCCATTCCATCTGGCTTTGAACATGACGAAGAGCGTAGTCAACCTAAGTGCAGGCTGATAAAGGCCCACGTAATGGTCGCGAACAGTGGTGTGTAGCGAAAGCAAGAGCAATGGGAAAGGCAGCGATGAGAGGTAACAATAGGAAACTGTTCCACCTTATCAAGGATACTGGTACCAGGAATCCACTTGTTAGCGAAACTATCTCATAAAAGGATGGTCGCATCATTCATTTTCAACCCAAGAGATTGGATCGATGGGCAGAACACTTTAGGGATCAGTTCAACTTGCCTTCAGCCACACTTCGGTTGACCTTGATCTCCAGTCATCCAGAATGGCAAATCAACTTAAGTCTTCCGACTCTCTATGAAGTTGATAAAGCTATAGTAAGTCTTAAAGGAGTGAGAGGAGCCGGTCCTGAAATGCTAATTCCTGGTTCAGTTTTAGCAGTTAGCGTGACTGGAATCTTAGCCAGAATCTGCTATCTGGATGTAAACCCATCTGACTGACCTCAATCACTGACTATCCCAATCTATAAGAAAGGACTAGACTCCACTTGTAACAATCACAAAGGGATCAGTTTAACTAATAAACCGACCAAAATCTTCACACTAAGTCAGGTCCTAGGAGATAGACACATGTTCAGACGTTCTACAATAGTAGTATTTCTCAACCTTAAGGCGGCACTCGACGCCGTCGATCGTGAGGTTCTATGACTGTCTGTCATTGAAAGGCGTATCAAAGAAGTGCATTAATCTTATACAGGCTTTTTGCTGGAACGCTACTGGCCGAAAGGGATCCTATGGCGATCTGTCATCATCAATTACTTCAAGTGGTTCGTCAGAGTTGTAAACTTTCTCAATTCTTGTTTATTTATGTCATTGATGCGCCTTCATGGTATGAATTCTCAGGAGCTGAACCTTTACCAGGAGATCCGTTTGTTGACTCAAAATATGCCAGTGACATAGTTCTGCTAGGTTAAAACGCAGTCTTCTGACAAGCCTAAACAACAATACAAGTATGCTTGCTTGTTTATGGCGTAGGTGAGATATCTGTCCGCTAACCAGAGGGTGAGTCTACTATGCCACCTTTCGCTTCGTCCTACTATATTGGTGTGAAACATGGCCGGTAAGAGTAGATAATATTCGTAGTTTACAAGTTTCCGATCATAGTTGTCTCCGAAGCATTGCTCGTATATCTTTGTACCATTGAGTAAGCAGTGCTATTGTTAGGGAAAAGGTACTGGATAAGGTTGGCAAATCAATTGATTGAGTAGTGGAGCTCCATCAGTTGAGTTGGTTGGGATATGTGTTACGAATGCGCAACCAACGACTGCCTCGACAAGCGATGCTTCATGATGTAGGAGTAGGCTAGAAGAAAACTAGGGCCGGCTAAACCAAAACAGCGCAAATCTATGAAGTCACTAACAAGTGGACTGAGCTATGTTCGTAGGTGTCGACCACCTGGTGAGGGTCTGCGAGAAAACAGTAACCGATCGTCAGATGATACCTTGGATGACATGGCTCGAAATTGTTTGCAATGGCGCAGGTGTATCCATTCTTTGTCTTCGCTCAAATTCTTATCTGAATATCTCATCACCTTTATCTTTTTAAGTTATTTCACTGGACTATACTTCTTGAACAATTATCTTTTAACCCTAATCTTTCCGATTCTTGCCCATACTCTCTTTACCTTCATGGGATTCGAATCGATAATTGCACCTTTGTGTTTATGTAGCATGGCAACCTGAACTTATTATACGTATGTACAGAGTTTTACGTTGTAACTGACTGACTGACTAACTGACTATTGCTAAGAAAAATACATATTTTATTGCAAATAAGCATACAAATTCATTGAATGAAAGAGTGACTATACATAATGCAACCCAAATCAAAAAGCTGGATGGAATAATTTTTCTACGCTTTTGGATATAACACACGCAGGAGACACAATTTTCAACGAGTTCAAAACATACAACATCTAGTAAGTAGTATAGCATAAAAGTAAAAATAAACATTGACATGATTGATTCAATGTGTGTGTGTGTGTCTGTGTGTAAATTTGACAAATATATGATTTTAGTCGGCAATTGAACGTAAATAAAATTTAGCCGGTGATTATTATTGCATCATCAATTCATGATTAACAAGTAGAGTAAAGTAAAATGCAAGCAGTTTTTTGCAATTTTAAACTATATACATGAATAGAATTTTTGTTGCTCTCAAAACTCTCTACTACTACATTAAAAAGAAATCATTTTTTTTTAAAAGAAAAAAAAAACTGTTACATAAATAAATAAGAGGAAAGTCAAATCAATGAAGAGATTACAAGTGAGTAAAGAATCGGATAAGAAAAAGTAGTATAAAAGCCAATACACATACACATGTGATCATCATCACACTGGGACTTCTTGGATAAAGAGATGATTGATTTTATATTTACTATTGTTCATTTACACAATTTGTAATTGATGACCATTTAACATGGAGTCCATTAATTCAGATGAATTAGTATTATTATTATTATTGTTATTACTATTAATTTTATGATTATTGATTATGCTATTTGGATCAGGGATAATTTTCTCATTTAATGATATTTCCATTTCTTTCTTTGTTTCACCATCTTCTAGGTTTTGCTGGTGTTGTTGCTGTTGTTGTTGTTCTTTGTGTTTTGTCGTCAGATCGAATTGACGTCTTTGAAAGGAAAAAGCAAAAGAAAAGAAAAAGTATGTGTGTATATGTGTGCCACAGAAAACAATTAAATCATTAAGCTAGTTTGTTTGTTAAGGTTCACTTTTTCTAACCTCTTACCTTCTTTTTGTGAGAGAGGGCAATTTCGAGGCAGATGTTAGATGTTGTCCAAGGGAAACACCTAACTATTGTCACACACACACGTCTACAGTCAGCATTACGAATTCATTCTCGGATCTTAAAAGTTACTGCTTTTAGTTTTACTGTTTGCTTTCTAATTGACATGTCTGACATATTAGTGTTATAAGGCTGCTACGTATAGCTATTCAGTCCTAGCGGCGTCCAATTCAATTATCCCAATACGACCCAAAATGCTATTTCCAAATCTCCTATATATCAGAACGCAACACAGTGGGATGGAGTTGTTTATTGGGTCGAGAACAGAAGAGAGGTAGGCAGGAAGAAACGGAATCGGAATCGTGGAGTCTAACAGACAGTGCATATTTATACATTAAGGTCGAATAGGAAAGAACATCAAAGTCTGTGACATTAACAGTTTAGGACGACTCATGGGAAAGAACACTTGAAATGACATTGACAGTCCGGATGACCAATAAGAGACAACATTGAAGTATTTGACTTTGACAGTTAAAACGACCATAATTTGACAAATAGAAATCGACAAATAGAATTATACTCCCAAAAATACTACTCTTAGGATATTTGGTGAATATCCTAACAATTAGGATCTGAAGGAACATATATTCCAGCCAATATTGCTCAGCTGGGTCGTGACGATAGGAAAACTTGACCACCACGTCAAGGTAGCAGCTACATTCGGCAAAATAGTTGATTACACTGAAAATAATCATAATTTAACCACTACATATACAAATGGAAACTTTATAACACCAGAATGAAATGAACAGTTTTAGTAATATTGATTATAGTCTGATTCTTAAGTTCTGATCACGTTGTACAAATGAAGTTGTATCGTATACAACTAGTAGTTTTCCTTATGGAATCTATCATAGTTTTATTCTATATGATAACCGCAGGTTATTAGTATTAAACCCTGTCTGATATATACGTAACATTAATTTGTGATTTTTCAGCAAGGTGCATCTGCAATATCCATGCGATTTAAACTCCTCATAATATTGGAATCTATGTAACTGTCAAAATTATAGATGTTATCATTCAGTTAACGAAGTCTTTATTAATAGGTAAAAAGTGAAATTGTTTATTAATTGATAAGTTACAGAAATATCCAACAGGCTTAAATAGCTCAGTGGAAATAAATTTGACTAAGTAATTTAGATTAAGATCTCATGGGGAAAAATGTTTCCCATTAAGTTGTGGAAATGCCTTTCTGAAGATTGCCGACCAGTATGAAACGTAGGTCATATGCTTCTTACCAACTGCCACCTGAGTTGAGAGCATAGTGAATTCGGAAGTAAATGATTTATCATTTGAGGCAGGTTTCAAGTCATCAGACATTTCTTGTGTTGGCAAATTAAACTACTGAAAAATATTTAAGTAGTTAAGTGAATTGGAGTCAGCAGTGACAAATGAACGGAGGCGTGATTTAATGCGTTCGTTATCCAATAAACAAACGTTTATGAAATTATGAAAGCATTGAATTTCAATGAAATCCGTACAGAGAAGTAGATGTTTTATAAGGATTGATGAAATATTAATTAATATCGATCAATGAGTGGTGAGTAGTGGTGATGTTTCAATTAATGATTCTTGGGATACGTGTTCAAATTTTCTAGACAAGCAGAGTACAGTGATTTAATTTTTAAACAACCTAACAAGAATAAATCTTAGATGAAACAAAACATTTTGTTTTTAATTAATTAGGCTAATGAATCGAATTCATGAAACACTAAAGTTTCAGATAAGAGTACATGAGTTATTATTCTTTAATTTTTAAAATAAACTTAAAGAATGTTATTTTGTACGAAATTTCATGCTCCATAAAATAAAAATGAGGTTATTAAGTGATAGAGAAAGAACGATGGGTATGTGTACAAATTGGTGTATGGGAGTGAAATAATGGCAATGACAGTGAGAGAAACAGTTCAGTTAAGGAAAATTTAAATCAGAAAGAATCCTTTCAGTTAGAGAAGTCCCTGTTACTTATGAAGTGAAAATGAAATGAAGTTACAGCTGGATCGTCGCTGGCTTTTACTCTGACCCACTACTTTTGATAACTTCTCAAGCCAATTAGTTACATCATCTTTAGGACCTCAACCAAGGAGTCATGAAGGATCAACAGATACCAGGCCTGTTCAGCTTTCTTTCATATCAAACATCACAAAGGCTCCGAAGATGACCACTCTACCCTTTTAATCATTTCTATATGCTAACTATCAAAAGTGAGGTGCAGGTTAAACCTACTTAGCCTATAGAAACACAGTGCTTATAAGTAGGACTTCTCGCAAAGCTGTAAAACACGTAGCTCCCCATTTTCATGGGGTCTTGTAATAGCAGTCAGTGATCATTTGAACTGTTCGATGGGTCGATAGCTAACCCTGAATCGAGCTCGATTTGATATTTAGTTGCCACAGAAGCAACAACTAATTTACTGACATCAACCGTTGAGGACGATGAATGTTTCGATCACTGAAATGTCTTGAACATGGGTCTCGGATAGATAACAGACACCGATGTTAAAACTCTCCACAGACAGCCAACCCTCTATGTCATTCAACCTGCATTAGTTTGTGAACGTTGAAAGGGACCAGTGGCTTCTGAATTCGTATTTAGTGGTAGTATTCGAACTTGTCATTGTATGATTAAGATATAATGGGATTGAATCGAGTGTAGTACAATACACTGAACTGCTTTTTGTCCTTGTTTTCTGATTTGCCACTGAGTTAAAAGGTACTCAGAGAGCAATAAAAACGTGAAAGTATTAGTTTTAAATTAGTCATTATATTAAATAGTAAGTTGCCGATCTTACTAGTAATATGGATGAACTAATCGGTAGCCGGACTTCATAAAGAAAGAGAGAGATAGAAATCATACTCTTGGGGACGTTAGATCTCCCCAGAACTCACTTGATAAAGGTGTAGTGAATGAGAACACAGGTGGGGCAACCGAATTGTATTTAACGAAAATTACAGAGTTACTCAGTAAAATCGGAAAACCATATCGTAAATTGTTCATTTGCAAAAGATCAGTTCATCCTATGGAACTGGACTGTTCCTGTTGCCAAACATCAATCCATTGTCACTATTCATGCGTTTCATACAAATTCCATTGTTTTCTAACTCTTCCTTTCTTGATCTTCCCCCCATATTATGCTACCAGACTTTACGTTGACACACATCATATACTACTTATAAGTAGTTCGCACCACAGCACCACAAAGGTCCTATTTTTGGATTTTATGCTTTAGCGCCTGGGTCGATCAGTTGACCTTGAGATTAGATTTCCTACTCGGAAAATCTTTAGCTGTTTTTGGCTGATGTATTATTTTAGTACGCTATTTTTTATGGCTCTCAAGGGCGTTTCTATCATGTATAAATAAACTCGATTTGTGTGTTTGTGGTCCTTGATTTTGTTGGTGCTTGTAGAGTACACTTTCTACGTCATATAATGACTTTTTGATACCGTTCGTTGGCAGGGCTTTGGAACGCTTGAATTAGAGTAGCCTATCGTGTTATTGGATCATTTGTCTTCGCTCTCGTTTACCGACTAAGGTGAACTCGTAATAGTTCCAAGCATATATCAATTGTCAAGCATAACACATACAACTACATTCTCGTCGTCGTTACGACCTAATCTCACACGGGACACAATATCTACGCAGACAATCAATCTGCATTTTTTTTCTCCAATATGATAGAATATTAGGAAAAAAAAATCAAAACAACACTGCTTACTTAGCTAACCACCAAGTAATAGTTGATCCAATTAAGCTGATTATTTTCAATGCACATACAGTACCAAGCCAAATAAATGGTAAACCTTCTAAATTATACTCTAAACATCCACCACCAGCTGTTGTTGTTGTTGTTGTGGCATACTTTTGATCGAAAGACATTGTACTGGCAGTTGTTGCAGAAGACGACGAGTACACTGGTGACAATATTGACGGTGACGATGCCGACGATGTTGAGATGGATGAATTTTGCAAAGATGGTAATACAGTTGTTGTTGGTAATGACATAAGTGATGATATATTTCTATTCACTAATAACAATTCATTATTATCTATCGGTATAGATGAATAGTACTGATCTACAGGATTCGAACGATATTGACAAGCTAAATCGAATAATTGACCGAAATATATTGGTGCTGGTATATAGGCTATGGATAAAAAACAAAACACCATTAGATTCACTGATTTGACAAAGTGAACATTTCTATCAATTGTTGTTATTGATAATAATGGATGAATATAAATATTTCCTCTTTTTCAATGACATACTACTATGATATATAAAAACGGAATCGAGATTAAAATTACTAGTCATTCAGGGTATGAGTGCGGTTGTCACTTCCCGGCTGCCCAAACCGTGGAAGATTGTTTCTTGAGGAACCTGAAAAGGAAGGTAGATTAGCGTTGGTCTGAACGACGTGCGAGCGTGACCGCAAAGCCCAAGAGACAACTGCTTGAGGCCGGTCACGCACGGCCTTTTTATGTAAGGTTTTTTGAGGATTAGCTCCGCTCTTGAAAGCCCTTAGTGGGCACCCTTACTCAAGGAGACGGAAATCCATGAGGTAGGGTGAGGTGTGACATTTTTAGGGTCGACCTTTTCTAATCCTTCCTTCCTTGTCAGAAGGCAGCATCGCTGCAGATGCTGGATGTTTGAGGGAAATACCTTAATGCTGTCACACCACTCTGCAGTCAGCAGTACGACTTCGCCCTCAGACCTCGGGTAGCTGCTTTTAGTCTCATCGCTCTGCAATCGATCTGCCTGGCATGGTAGAACCTTCAGGAACATAAGTTCCAGCCGATATAGCTCGGTTGGGTCATCACGATAGGCAAGCTCGAAAACCACGTCAAGGTAGCAGCTTCGGTCGGGTTAAAATTACTAGACTACTAAGTAATTGGTTGATACAATATTTACACAAACTGGATCTTATTGTAAAAGTAAAAATTTCTATCTGAGGCACAAGCTGAAAATTTAGCTGGACTCAATTTCCCAATGGATAGTACATTGACCGTTTGAAGTGAAATGTAGGCACTGGAGTGTAGTAGGTAGCATATCTAGCTGATGAGTCTCGAATTGAATGAAACTCTTTTCTTGAATACCACCGTTAACCAGTGTCCAAAATTGACTAAAGCTTGTATTGATTGCTTTTAAGGTGAGAGTAAGTAACAATTTGAAGATTTATTAATTGATAAAAATGTTAAAAATGATTGTAGGTGAATTTCAAAACGAATTGTCCAGTTTTTAACAATGATAATGTGTCAATTGATGATTTGAAACCAATTTTTTTTTTACTTCAGAGTAGATTAGTTTATTTAACAGTCACACAGTTAAAATATATCAGAACTATCACAATGATGAATTTTAGTTAGGAAAAATTATTTGACAGTTATGAATATCACATATAAAATTTTTGAGTGAATGGCCTTCTGGGTAATAATGAAAAAAAGATGCAGTGGTCAAATTTCATCTATCTACATTAGTCAGCCAGTCAGTCAGTTGTAACGTAGAACTTCGTACGTATGTACATAAGTTCGTGTTGCCATACCACATTAGCACAAGGACGCAGATGTCAAATCAAATCCCATAGTGATAAAGATAGTATAGGTATTAATGGTAATGAAGAAGACTAGGGTTTGAAGATATTATTCAAGAAGTATAATTCAGTGAGATAAGGTTACAAATACAAAGATAGAGGTGCTGACGAATCCAGAATAATATGATTTGAGAGAGCACAACGAATGGATGCACTTGAGCCATGTCGTTCAAGGTCTCTAACCATTGGTGACTTTCGTCTGGCGTACCCCAACCAGCTAGCCTACATCTGCGAACATGACACAGTCTACTTGTCAGTGACTCCATGGATTTCTGCCATGTTTTGGTCTGACCGCAAGTGATAAAAAAGTACACACTGAAATCATCAATCAATCATTGTTAGATCAGCATTAGAAAGCTACAAGCACTAGACGGCTGTTTCATCCTGGTATGGGACTCATCACCAGTGCACTTTCACGACTCATGCACCTCGCAGGACTCAAACCCATGACCTTCGGTCCTAACCTCTGGACAACTGGACCGGCATCCAACTGTGTTAATATCTAACTCTGATCAATCTAGGGATGAAAAAAACTATCTGATATGTATTCCATTTTTAAGTGATCAACATGAACATCAAATCTTTCAAAAAGGACAGAAAAGTTCAAGAAGCGGAAGTGCATAGAAATATTGACAATTCTTGCTTCAAGTTACAACATATCAATCATACTAACAACAACAACCAAAAAATAAGAACGTTTCATTTTGTTTGTTTGTTTTTTTTCAACAGTAATATAAATAAAATAAAATGAATTTTTATTCTTTTCTTTTCTTTTTATTTTCTTACCTAATATTTTGACAAAGAATATTTGTAATCCAAGTGCAACGGAACTATCTTCTGATGCAACACAACTGTTAATTGTAAATGAACAAAGAAATAACAATCATACTGAATAGAATAAGAACAAATAATGTATTGATAAAAAAAAGCATTTGAAAAGAAAATACCATTGATTGTGTGTTATATCTTTGCTTTGTTAACAAGTACAGACTAGATTGTTGTGGATCAGAGTGTGGTTGGAGGTGTTGAGTGATATGGATGACAGTCGATTACAAATGTATTACGGGATTGTGAAGATTGTTAAGTTACACATTTGAAATCATGAATGAACGATCAATGTTAAACCACCATTAGAAGTCTGAACGGCCGTTCCTTCTTGGTATGAGACTCAACAGTAGTACGCATTCACGACTCCTGTACCTCGCAGGATTCGAACACAGGACCTTCGGTCTTGCGCGCGAACGCCTAACCTCCGGACCACTAAGCCGGTATCTACCAATGTTAATGTCTAGTTTAGATCATCTCACGGTCTTGCGCAACCTCGTACATTATCTTCGGTAGTTACTGTTTACACCCGAACAGGTTGGACTTCACTGGTCACGACTTCCCATTAGAACTCGGAGAAGATTCCTCACCGTGAATTGGTCAAAGTTAGATATTAACACCGTTAGATACCACCGGCCAAGTGGTCCAGAGGTTACGCGTCCCGGGTTCGAATCCTGCGAGGCACAGGAGTCGTGGATGCGTACTGCTGATGATTCTCATATACCAGGACGAAATGGCCGTCTCGTGCTTCCAGGTTTTTAATGATTACAAATGTACTCTCAGCTCCAGAGTATTTCCATCATACATCCACTATTTTTTGGGGGTTTTTATTTATTGAATCCTTTCGAACAATTATTCGTAGTGCTTTCAAATCTTGTTCATCATCTATTGATACTACACTATGCGGATTCTTATCTAATTGGGTTTTTATGGTTAAGATAGGTTGGGTCAATCAATGTACAAAAGTACCAGATCCGATATTGATTAAAACCGATAAGATTAAATTGGAGATATGTGAAAAATCAAAGTCAATGGAATGACATTGTCATTGGTTCAGCTTATTGAAATCAAATGGTATCGATTGTAAGTGATAATACTTCCAATTAATTAGCCTCCTCTATGTGCATTTACACATTCAACTGCTCCTGTGAAGATAGTTCTGTTGGGTGTACTACTACCAGGTAATTTAACTGACGAATGAGAGAAACATCTTCTAGTATGGTTTAGAAAGGGACAAACAAACAGAAGACACAGCTCTATCTTGGTATACTTGATTGATAGCATTCATAATACGCATAAAACTGAATCATTTCGAATGATCTGTCTAATTATTTACATATTTCTTATTACGTAATGGTTAATAAAGTTTTGTAATGATTATTTCTAAGTAGAATTTATCCACATTTGACCTACTATTTCGAATGTTGAACTATTGACAAAAATTTTTATTATCATATTGTATTTTATTATTCTTACGATTATCAACTTGTACTTTTTTACCTATGATGTGTGTGTGTAGTGACGTAATCTAATTCATTTCATTGTAATTAATGACTCATTATAATAAATTGCCTTGATTGATTTAACATTTTCATATGAAAAAAAATTCATGTATAATTATGCAGTATATAAAGCCTAATGACGAGCTAATTGAAAACAACAATATTGTTCAGTTATATAAGTTTTGTTCTGTTATTCACAAAGGGAATAATACACAAATCATACTGTGGTGTGAGCTACTTATAAGTAGTATATGACGTGAGTGTCAACGTAATGTCTAGTGGCAGCAGAAGATGGGGGAAGATCAAGAAAGGAAGAGTTAGAACACAATGGGATTTGTATGAAATGCATGAATAGTGACAATGGATTGATGTTTGCAACAGGAACAGTCCAGTTCGATATGATGGATTGACATTTTGCAAATGAACGATTTACGATATGGTTTTCCGATTTTACTGAGTAACTCTGTAATTTTCGTTAAATAGAATTCGGTTGCCCCCACCTGCGTTCTCGTTCACTACAATACTCCTACATGCTGTACAGTTTGGGCATAGTTTTACAAATAAATGTGATTTACATTCACATCTTAGAAATTCCAATTTAAAATCCTAACATAATTGAACAATCATTTCAGCTTATAGAGCATTTGATGTTAACTAGGGAATGAATGTTTAGACAAGCAGTTAATTTTTAATTAATCAGATGAGTGTTCAGGTTGCATTATACTGAGAAAGCTCTTAGCCTAGGAAGAAACAGTTGTCTACGTTTGTTTCCCTTGATTCCCACTTTATGGCAGTGAAACACGGCCAATCAGAGTAGAAGATATTCGTAGGGTTGTTTGAGTTCGATCATAGGTATCTTCGAAGCACTACTCGTATATACTGGGATAACCGAATAAGCAATGCTGTCGTTAGGAAACGCGTTCTAGGTAGGGATGGCAAATCAATAGATGAAGTAGCGAAAATTCATTAGTTGAGGTGGTTGGGACATTTATTACGTATGCCTAAGCACCGACTGTCTCGACGAGCTATGTTTTGTGATGTAGAATTAGGTTAGGGGAAACCTAGGGGTCGCCAGACCAAAACATGATTCATCCATGAAGTCACTGACAAGTAGACTGAGTCATGTTGGTAGATGTAGGCTACCTGGTTGGGGTCCGCGAGACGAATGTCACCAGTGGTTAGAGATCTTAAATCACATGGCTTAAAAACGTTTTCAATGGCGCAGGTGCATCCACTCTTTATGTTCTCTGAAATTCTAACCTTCTGAATTCTTCATAACCTTTTAAGTTTATTTCACTAGATTCTACTTCTTGAATAATATTCTCGAACCCTAAACTCTTCGATTACTGCTAATACTGTTACTACCTCTACTACTATTGGATTTGATGTGACAATTGCATCTCTGTGCTAATGTGGTTTGGCAGTTGACCTGATGTACGTACATGCGTACGAAGTTCTACATTGCTGTTGATTGATTGATCGATTGACTGTTACTTCCATCAAATCCACAGAAATAATTCCAATCAAAAATAACTTTATTGAGAAGTAGCAGAGTTGATGATGTAGAGTTAAAACTTCATTTGCCAAGCTCATCTACTCACTACTGAGTTAAGCTTTTGTATGTGCATTGGGAATACAATATATAGCAGTGGAATATTTACTTGAATAAAATTCTTTGAAAAAAAATATTGACTACTTGATCTTAGATAACTTAATGGTTTATTCGTTTGAAATTTTTAAGCCTAAAAAGGTTAGGTTATTTATTTTTAAGTAACTCATTTATCAAATACACAAATTTATATACATGAATTTCAGTCCTATTCTAGGCGTGAAGGGGATAACAAGGTTACTATCCAGCAACCCAAAGAAAAGTAAACGGAGAGTCGGACTTTGTGATTTATGTACGACTTAATAATAGAAAGTTTACATATTTTAATGATTAAAAACAAAATTATCGATTATTTCACGTCAGTTGCACACTCACTACTTCATTTTTAGTGGGACATAGATTGGATTAAAGCATGATTTATGTTGCTGCACACTGATTGGAAAATTCTCATCCAATCAGTGCTAGTCAATACGTGGAGAACATTCTACAAGAAGCTTCTCATGTGAAAACTATTAAGATACTAACGTTGTTCCTATTCTGCTTTCCATCTTCCTTTCATTTAACCTTGCTATTTGGAATAGAATCTCTTCCCCTATTCAGCCGTGTTCTGATTTGTAGGCTTGTCGAGTGGATCGATGTCCAAGAATACTAAAGCAATAGGAATAGCTGAATTCTACTAAGAGAGAATTAAAATACATTCGTTTACACAAAGAAAAAACATCATTAATTCACTTGCCTCAATGTAATCACATTGCTTGGATTTTGTAAGATACCAGTACAAAGAATATGTAAGAATAACATGGCTAAAAATAAACCATACAATGTACATTTTAGTTTACATCGACCAGGGTAAACTTCACCAGAATTATTGACCAATAAGAATTCATTATTTATTCCCATTGTTGATGATGGCAATGGCTGTGATGCTGATGAATAAGATGATGATATTGATGAGAGTAGACCAGATGGATTAAGTGCGGACGGAGTTACACATTGACAATCAGAATATTTCTAGTTATAGAGAAAAAGAGAAGAATATTTACAGTTTACAATGTTTAGTATAGTGCTGCCCTTACAACAGAGGTGTTAACAATTCAACAAGATAAAGTAATCATTTAATGAAGTTACTCACTAGTGAACTCAGATACACATTATTTGGTTGAGATTTGTGAGATTGTCGCAACCTATGGGTTGAAGATGGCAACAACCTTCTATGAGAGAGAGAACAAACCAGATTCCAGTAGAGGAAGAAATTGAGGAAAAATCTCTGGGAGTGGATAGGACACATATTGAAGAAAGCATCCAACTATGTTACAAGGCAAGCTCTCACTTGGAATTCTCAAAGCCAACAAAAAAAGACCAAAGAACAAATTACGCCGAGAATTAGAAGTAGACTTGAAAAGAATGAACAGAAAAATTGGGTGGAACTGGAAACGAAGGTCCAGGACAGACAGAGTAGGTTGCAGAATGCTGGTCGGCGGCCTATGTTCCATTAGACGGGTGACAAGTGTAAGTAAGTAAGTAAGTATGGTTGGTGTTTAGTGATATGGATTTAGTAAAAATAGCAATAAACCAGATGCATTTACATTTTTGTCTTTCCCTAGATCTTATAATTTTCTATTCTATGGATTTATTCTTCTCTGACCACTGATACACTGATACGATTATTAATTTAACTACATCAGCATTCGTATTAACAATTCAATTATTCTATACTGCTCTAGGTATGATATAACTTGAACAGATGTACATTTTTGTTAGGTTTATACGATTGACTGGTGTAGTACAAGTAAAAATAAATAACTCAATGTTATCGTAATAGAGAATGACGATTTTTCACGTCACATACAAGGAGAGTTAGTAATCAACGGTAGATTTAAAGTATTAACCAGAACTGACAGAAAAAGTAGTTATGCGCTATTATCAATAAGTAAATAAACATAGAACTAATATACAAGATGAAAAAAAACAATATTAGTTATTGGTTGGACTGACTGATTGAAATTATACAGAATAGAAGAAGTACACTATAAGATACAAAGATTTTTGTGAAGTTAAAAAGGAATTACAAATAATTCAAAAAAGTGTTCAGTTCAAATGATTCTAATCTCGTGAATATACTATTAGTAGATACCACTACTATGGGATATACTTGAACTATTACGAGTTTGCTTTAGTTGGAAAACGAGAGCGAGGATCGAGGATCCGGCGACACGACATGCTGCTCTAAACCGAGTGTCCCAACCCCCGTTGAGTGGAAACAGAAGACTTGATATGAAGTAGAACCTGTATTCTAAAAGCATCCAGAAATTACGAGGTCCGAGTCGAGAAAAAGACACAGATCCTGGAATGAGGATCCGGGTTTGGGTCATAAAACGTTACAGATAATGCGTATTTATACATTTAGGTTGAATAGGAAACAGCATCGAAGTCTGTGACATTGATAGTCAGGACAACCAATAAGAAACAACATTGGAGTACATGACATTGATATGTAGGACGACCATAAAATTGACGAGTAGAAATCAACCAATAGGAACTGACCAATAATTCTCTTAGGATATTAGATGAATATCCTAACAGAAACATCCAAGTTTAATATAGAACAAAAAGAACAGAGGATCTATCTATGCGATTGATATGAACTGTTAGAAAAGTAGAATAATTGATCAGCAATTGTCCAATATTTCAGGCTGATCAACTAAGTGCATTTGTTAGTGTGGTGACGTTGAAGTTTACAATGGAACTGGAGCCTATTGACTATCACACTTTTAGATAAATCTACTTAATGAATCCTAGAGAGGTTGAAACGTGTATTCTAGATTATATTACTACTAGTCATAATTCGAAAATATTATCAAACTCATCAATACACTTAGTATTTAGATATCCACTTAATGAGTGTCACGTATTTTAACAGAGATTAATGAAAATCCAGCCCAGTATATTGACAACAGGAAAATACGAACACGCTTAAAAATCATAAACTATTTAAATCTTAGTCAACTCTTGATTAAAAGAACAGTAGATCAATATGATTTTACTCATAGTCAAGATAAAAAGCGAATCCACTCGTTTCCAATTCAGTCAGTCAGTCAGTTGCAACGTAGAACTTCGTACGTATGTACATAAGTTCATGTTGCCATATCACATTAGCACAGAGACGAAAATGTCAAATCAAATCCCATAGTGATAAAGAGAGTAGAGGTGTTAATGGTAATGAAGAAGACTAGGGTTTGAAGATATTATTCAAGAAGTATAATTCAGTGAGATAAGGTTAGGAAGACAAAGGTAGAGGTGCTGACAATTCCAGAAGATTAGGATTTGAGAGAGCACAACGAATGGATGCACTTGCGCCATTGCAAACAAATGCTACAACAAGTAGTCTAGAGCGGGGTTTCAGGAGACCAGAAATGACGTTCCGTACATTCGCATCGTTTGCATTAGCTGTGCAGTGTGATAAAGGAATGTGAGAAGAGTTAGTCGTGGAGATAAGAGAGGTATTAGGGGGTGTAGGAAGGATTTGATTTTGACCAATTTGATCTCGTGTGCTGTTACGGGTATGAGGGCGGTTGTCACTTCCCGGTTGCCAACACCGTGGAAGGTTGTTTCTTGAGGAACCTGAAAAGAAAGGCATATTAGCGTTGGTCTGAACGACCTGCGAGCGTGACCGCAGAGTTCAAGATACAACTGCTTGAGGCCGGTCACGCACGGCCTTTTTATGAAACGTTTTTTGAGTGTTAGCTCCGCTCTTGAAAGCCCTTAGTGGGCACCCTTACCGCCGGAGAAAGGAAATCCGTGAGGTAGGGTGAGGTGTGACAGTTTTAGGGTCGACCTTTTCTAACCCTTCCTTCCTTGTGGGAAGGCAGCATCGCTGCAGATGCTGGTTGTTTGAGGGAAACATCTTACTGCTGTCACAGCCCTCTACAGTCAGCAGTACGACTTCGCCCTCAGACCTTGAGTAGCTGCTTTTAGTCTCATCATTCTCCAATCGACCCGTCTGGCATGGTAGAACCTTCAGGAGCATATGTTCCAGCCAGTATAGCTCGGTTGGGTCATCACGATAGGCAAGCCCGACCACCACGTCAAGGTAGCAGCTTCGGTCGGGGGCTGTAATTTCTTGTATGCTGACACTGATATTGACATGTATGTATGTATAGCACCAGCGAGAATTATTTATATTCAGAAATCGAAAACGTGTGTTAATTAATTTTTGAAGTATTTATCATTCACTTCTGGTTTTATTTGAGATTAGATTGTTCTCATTGATTCAACTATTTATTCTATCTCAAAAAAAACCACATCGAATACTGCGAAGATTACAATGTTGATCATTGAAATCGTCTTGCAAAGATAGCAACATCAACTATAACAAACCTACGGTAAACATGGATAATAGTTAGTACTGAGGATCCCACTAGCGTGTAAGACTTAACAACTGAATCTATAATATTTCCTATATAAAACGACAAAATGAACTATTCAGATTCATGAAATTCAAAAAAAAACAAACCTACCTTTACAACTCCAGCTTCTAAAACACGTGTTCTGCATCCAGCAAAACAAGGATTGAAAAAAGTTAATGATTCAATATCATCACAGTCATCATCATCATTATCATTAACATTTGAACTACCAGGATCATTAACGTTACTACCAACAACACTACTATGACATGTCATTTGATTATTTGTCTTTTTTTTACCATTAGAACTTCTACTACGAGCAGCAGTAGTAGTAGTTATAGCAGTCCAACAAACAGGATTATAATGTGTAATTGAACATTGTGATTCATAACGTTGTGAATAATGAGAATGACCAATTTTTTTTAAACGATCAGTAGAAGAATAACAAAATTGATTACATGGTGCTGTTAAATTTGGTGGTATTAAAAAACCTGGACCATTTTTCCAAGGCCAACTAATAAAAAAGCAATAACAATAACAAAAATTATTAAATAATTTTGAATGAAACATTTTCAGAATTCTATCCGCTTATAAAGTGAAAATATTTGAGTTAACTAATTAATATGCTCGTCTCTAGGTATGCTTAAAACTATTACGGGTTCACCTTAGTCGAATAATGTGAACAAAACAATGAACCAGAGTCCGAGTAGGCTACTGTGATCCGATTGTCTCAATTGTACAAGCATAAATGCAAAATAAAGATATTTATCAAGCGAGTTCTGGGGATCTAATTGAAATGGGGATAGAATGTTCGCTTTTGGAGGTTGGTAAAAAAAAACTATTCAATCAAAGACATATTTTGATGAAAAGTTGTTGTAAACAACCAGACACGAATGAAAAGTTGTTTTATGCTATAAATCATTGATAAGACTGGATCATCGTTCGACTAGTTGATGAATTAAAATGTGGACAATTATTGTATTGCAAATCCAGTAGGCTATTAAAAGTAACGCGTTCACCCGCATATGACTAGGAAATACTAATAATGTTATTATTAACATCAAAAATAATAATAACACGGTCAAACCAAAGCGTGACACAATTCCATGAAGTCACTGACAAATGGACTGAGTCATGTTGGTGAGTGTAGTCTACCTGGTTGGGGTCAGCGAGACAAAAGTAACCGATGCTTAGAGACCCTAGGTGACATGGCTCTTAATCGTTTGCAATGGCGCAGGTGCATCCACTATTTGTATTTCCTCAGATTCTAATCTTAAGAGTTACTCATCACCTATATCTTTCGCTTTCTAAAGTTATCTCACTTAATTATACTTCTTCAATAATATCGTGGAACCCTAATCTTCTCCATAACCGCCAATACTTCTACTATCTCTAACACTATAGGATTTCAACTGACAATTGCGTCTGTGTGCTGATGCGGTATGGTAACCTGAACTTATGTACTCATGTACGAAGTTCTACATTGTAACTGACTGACTGACTGGCAATAATAACAACATTAATTACAAATTCCGGCTGTTGACTCAATCAGCCACAGTGTGTGTATGAAGGCTAGTGGTAATAACTGATGGGACAGGACTGGAACTAGTTGCTGGTCAACACCGATAATCAATCGTTTCATATTATTAATCCCAAGGAGAAAACTTATCTACTAATACACTTTTCAAAGCAAAAAGTTAAACATCCCACAAAGAAAACAGTATGATATAATATAATATAAACTTCCGTTAAGTCAAACAAGTTAATGAATTATTAAAATGAAAGATATTATTTGGAAAAACTTATTAGAAGCTTTCTCTTTCTCTCTCTCTCTCTCTCTCTCTCTCTCTCTCTCTATATATATATATATATATATATATATAAATATATCATATAAGGTCATATTCAACAAGGTATAAAGCTGTTGTGCATAAAACATCGTTTATGTATGTGTGTGTGTGTATGTGTATGTATGCAGTTGAATTCCGTTCTATCGGATTAAACTTTATTGAATAAAGAAAGACAAGCGCTAATCTCTCTCTCTCTCTCTCTCTATAGGATACAATATTCAATTTTAAACATGTCAAAATGACCTATGAAAGAAAGAAAACAATCTACGCAGCAATTAAATTTTCTCTCTCTCAAAAAAAAAATCACCTACAGAGTAGAATGGTTACAATAAGAAAAAAAAATTAGTGGGAAGAAACTGTTCCAATTTAATAAAGTGGATTGTTAACACGACTACATTATATACTTACTACAAGGGATTGAATTCAAGACTATCGGTTACGTTACATCGGTGAATGTTTTTTTAACCTGAACAGGTATTGAGTCAATTATTTATACTGTTCAGTTTATTCTTGTGATCAGTCGTTGGTCTAGTTAAAAGATCAGTCAGCCAGTCAGTCAGTCAGCTACAACGTAGAACTTGGTACGTACACACGTACGTACATCATCAGTTCAAGTTTCCAGGTTACATTAGCAAACAGAGATCATTTTATAATGTAAACTATGAAAAATCTTCACTAATCCTTCTGTTAAAACAATAGATGCAATGTTCAAGGCATCACAACACAAGTTGAATGTTTGCGCTTCTTTTTTCGTTCAGATAAACATGATCATTCTTATCAAGAAATAGACAGACAGATGCAACGTAGAACTTGGTACGTAAGTACATCAGTTCATGTTGCCATACCACATCAGCACAGAGAAGTAATTGTCAATTCAAATCCAATAGTAGTAGAGGTAGTAGGGGAATTAGAAGTAATCGGAGAGGTTAGGGTTAGAAAATACTATTCAAGAAGTATGATTCAGAGAGAAAAGTTTAGAGAGTCGAACTAGAGGTGTTGAAGAATCCAGAAGATTAGGAGTTGAGAGAACACAAAGAATAAATGCACCGACGCCATTGCGAACGATTTTGAGCCATGTCATTCAAGGTCTCTAACCCTCGATTATTATCATCTCGCGGACCCCAACCAGGTAATCGACAATTACCGACATGGCTCAGTCCACTAGTCACTGACTTCATGGATTTCTGCCATGTTTTGGTTTGGCCGCCCCTAACTTTCTTCCAACCTACTCCTACACTACAAAACAAAGCTCTTCGAGGCAGTTTCACTACTTCATCTATTGATCTGCCATCCTTACCTAGTACTCGTTTCCTAACGACAGCATTGCTTACTCGGTTGTCCCACGGTATACGAGCAATGCTTCGAAGACACCTATGATCGAAAACCAGTAACCTATCAAGAAATATATATGATTGTTGAATGATTGTGATATAGAATAAGATTTTTAGATAGACTAATTCATTATAAACTAATGTGACACAGAGAGAATGTTAATCAATTTATGTTCAATTATTTCTATGATATCTCGACAACTAATCCGATTAGCTGAGTCGAATAGCATTCACTATATAGGATTGACACAAAACGGATATATATGTGTACATATCTTTATTATTTTGAAGCTTGATGATTTCTAAAATATACATTCGTCAATAATAAAAAAGACTATAATGAAATATTATGGGTGCGATTGTAAGATAAACTATGTCAAAAGAGAAATATAATTTCAACGTGAAAAATACATAAAAAAAATAATGATCAATGCATAGAAAAGTAAGTGAGATTTCTCATTTTAAAAAAAACCAAAGTTTTATGATTCAACAGTAATTTTAGTCAAAACTTAAAAGATATATTTAGAAATTCTAAGCGTTGAAAAAAAAACAAGTAACAACAGACTGGAAAGAAGGGTAGCTCATCAAAATACTAAAGAAAGGCGATCTCAGCAAGTGTGAGAACGACAGAGGCATCACTCTTTTCTCAAAAACCAGGCAAAGTCTTCAACAGGATGTTGTTAAACAGAATGAAGGACTTCGTAGACGCCCAACTTCGATATCATCAGGCTGGATTTCGTAAGGATCGATCGTGTACCGACCAAATTAAAACATTGCGGAACAATCAATTGAATGGAACTCACTACTCTACATCAACTTCATTGACTACGAGAAAGCATTTGAAGAGGGAAACACTATGGAGGCTTCTTGGGCATTATGATGCGCCTGAGAAGATAGTCAACATCATATGGAATTCTTATGATGGATTCAACTGCAAAATCGTGCACGCAGAATAGCTGACAGACTCGTTTGAGGTGAAGACCGGTGTCGGGTAGGGTTACTTACTCTCACCCTTTCTATTTCTTCTGGTGATCGACTGGATTATGAAGACAGAAACATCTGGAGGGAAGTACGGTATACAGTGGACAACCAGGATGCAGCTGAAGGATCTGGACTTCACAGATGATCTGGCTCTTCTATCTCAAACGCAACAACAAATGCAAAGGAAGACGACCAGTGTAGCAGCAGCCTCTGCAGCAACGGGTCTCAACAAACATTAAGGAAAAAAGCAAAATTCTCCGATGCAACAAAGTATGCGTCAACCAAATCACTGTTGATGGAGATGCCTTGGAGGACGTTAACACCTTTACATATCTGGGCAGCATCATCGACAACCAAGGTGGATTCGATGCAGATGTGAAGGCACGGGTCGACAAAGCAAGGACTGCATTTCTAAAATTGCATAACATCTGGAACTCCAAACTACTATCAGCCAACACCAAAATCAGAATTTTCAAAACAGTTCTACTATATGGAGCGGAAACTTAGGGAACTACCAAAGCCATCATCCAAAAGATGCAAGTATTACTTAACAGTTGTCTACGCAAAATACTTCGAATCCGTTGGCCAGATATGATCAGCAACAACCTACTGTGGGAGACAACAAACGAAATTCCAGTGCAGGAGGAAATCAGGAAGAAGCGTTGGAAGTGGATAGGACACATTGTGGAAAGCACCCAACTGCGTTGCAAGACAAGCCCTCACTTGGAACTCTCACGGTTAAAGGAAAAGAGGAATACCAAGGAACACATTACGCCAAGAAATAGAGAATGATATGAGAAGAATGGACAAAAATTGAACAGAAGTGGAAAGGGAAGGCCGGAACAGAGTTGGTCGGAGAACATTGGTCGGGGGCCTATGCTCCATTGAAGAGTGACAAGCGTAGGTAAGTAAGTAGCGTTGAAAATATATTATTTCACTAGTATTGTTAAAATTTGATATTAGTGAAACAAATTGAAATACCAACGTAATAATAAGAATAATAAACATAAAAGTTAATACATCTATCTAGCTTACTTATCATACGCTTGTGAAAATACCTATGATCAAAAATTAATAAATTTCAGAAGTTCTCTCTACCTTTAAAATCTTTACTTCAAAAAAAACGAATTAAGGCAGAACAGACTGCTGCATAATATGATAGGATTTTAAAGTTGTTTGCTTTTAACTAATATTATCTTTTTAACTGAATAGCCTTGAATAATTTCATCTCAAGGAATGAGTGTCTCAGTTAAGATATCTTGATTGATTCGTTACAACTGACAAAGGTGACGAAGATCACACCACAACAAGGTTGAAGCTACGGTGTGGTGTCAAAGAACTAGTGATGAATAAACTGACAACAATCATAACTCAGGGATACATTTGTATTTCACCTCAACTAACCTAACCAATTCAGTACATCATACTACACACACACACACATACAAACTTTATGTCACTTTTGTCTTATAATCATCAGTTAGCAGATTTTCATAATTGTCTATGAATTTAATTACTCTTCTTCTTTATTTAACTAAACACAGTAATGAATACATGAATGTCAGTGAATCATTGAAATTCATTGAACTAATCTGAAAAACAAACGAACGACCAGTTTCAACCGATCGAAACTAGATAAGAAATAAAACAACTTTTATCACTAACAAATAGGGAATACTATTTTGATTGTGAAGTAATGATTATAATGGTTATACTCGTCTCTAGGTATGCTTAAAACTATTACGGGTTCACCTTAGTCGAATAACGAGATCAAAACAATGAACCAGAGTCCACGTAGGCTACTGTGATTCGATTGTCCCAATTGTACCAGCAAGAAGTCTTGATATAGTGTAGAAAGTGTATTCGACAAACACCAAGCCAGCACACAATCAATCCAAGCACACAAATCGCGTTTATTTATACTCCATAGAGACGTCCTTGGGACAGTCACAAAAATAGCACATTAAAATGACACAGTAACCAATCACAGTCAAGGATCTCCCTGGTGGGAAATATGATCTCAAGGTCAACTTATCGGAGCATGAAATAAATCCAAAATAAAGATATTTATCAAGTGAGTTCTGGGGATCTAACATCCCCAACAACAATTCTCCATCGAATTAAAATATCAAGCTACAGTTGACGGTCAATATTATTCTCAATGTTTTCAATGTTCAATAAATGTACTATATCACGCACATTCAGGCATTTTTTTGTTTGTTTCTTCAGTGAGTGAATGCTGCATATTGGGTAGTATAATTTTCAGTAATGAGTTCATTTCAACACTTTAGTATTAGTCAAAACTAACTTATATTGATCAAGTGTTAGTGTATAGCACAACCCAATATGCTGGATAAAAGCCGCAAATATTATAGCGTAGATTAAGAAGTGTAATAAAATCTCTAATGAAAATTGCACTCTAATATGAAACATTCATTAGATGAATGAAAAAAAAAACTGATCTTCATTCAAGTGTTTCATCCATCCTGTTTATTGGACGCGGAAAGCGCTGAAGATAATTTTAGTCATACTTCACTGGTTTATAATAGATTAAAAATATTGTCTACTTAACTCGATTTTGCCAGTAAGTTAGTATTATATTTATATTTTTTTTGTAATCATATTCAAAAATGACTAAGACTAATGGAAGGAAGGATACAATAGCCAAATGAAGTGATCAAAATATAATTACGTAATTGTAAGACAATAAAATGTTGAACAAAAAACACTGATGCGTGAATGTGAGAGACAAATAAACAGTCCAGCACGAACGATAAAGGAGTTAAGATTAGAGTAATACGTTGGTTATATTTAAGGTTACGACTAAGATTAAGGTTGGAATTGAGGTTAAGGACAGGGGCAAAGGTCATGATGAGCACGGGTTAGCTTTTATATGATGATATGCCTATGGAAGATGGATGAACCGAACATGAAAACAACAGTAGACCGGTAATTTTATTTCATGCACACATACACACACGCGCGCGCATTAAACACGAAAATAAACATGTTCAACTTACTTTTCTCCATTATATGTAGCTGTTATACCTGCTACTCGACTAGAATGACAACCAATTGACATTAGACTGATACTTGTTATGACAGTTAACGCTATCATAATACATAAACCAGATAAAGTACGATGTAATGTTGGTCGAAAATGACGCATTAATAAAGCACCAGATAGAACGCCTAATAATGAACTTGGAACTATCACAGCACCTAGAATTTTTTTTTATAGAAGAGAAACATGATGATAAAAAGAGTGAGTATTATTACAATAAGTAATGGTATTAGATAGGACACACAGATGGAGAGAGAGAGATGGGAAATTCAATGATATATAGAGTATAAAGATAAGTTGGAGAAACAATAAATCAATATGATAAGCCAATTGAAATTAGAACTGACATCATCAAACACAACGTTATCATTAGTTTGGCATTAAGTTAGTATACAATAGAGAGAGAGAGAGAATTTTTTTCCTCTCCAATACTCTAAGTTTGAAGTGAATGAAATTTCTGACTATTATCTGAGAAATAATCACTAATCGATTGCAATCTTATGATCTAATTAGTAAAATATGAAAATTACAAGATTTTGTAAAACAACAACCTTACCTGACAATATATACCATCACTTTATCATATCAGAAGATATCGTTAAAATGTACAAGTAAATATATCAGAAATAGATTAAGAAATTATCATTATTTTTATGATTGATAGTAGCGGTATTGTTTATGCCGACTACAATGGTCTAATGGTTAAGTGTGCTCGGTCAAAGTGTAGTGAACGAGAACATAGGTGAGGCAACCGAATTGTATTTAACGAAAATTACAGAGTTACTAAGTAAAATAGGAAAACCATATCGTAAATCGTTCATTTGCAAAATATCAGTTCATCATATCGAACTAGACTGTTCCTGTTGCAAAACATCAATCCATTGTCACTATTCATGCGTTTCATACAAATTCCATTGTGTTCTAACTCTTCCTTTCTTGATCTTCCACCCTCTTCTGCTGCCAGACATTACGTTGACACTCACGTCATATACTACTTATAAGTAGCTCGCACCACAAAAGGACAAGAAAATCAAGGCCTGATCTTCTTTGGTTAAGGTTTTTAATGTTGACTAGGATTGCGAAGTCCCCAATTGAACCTTAACGACTTTCCAATGTTTCTTGGTTTTTATTGGTTAGTCCGTAATGTAAAAATTATAGTTTAACACTTGCCACAAACCCCTTACATTCATAATTATTGTGTCGTTGTACCCCTGAGACTTGACGTCACATGGCTTAGAATCATTCATAATGATGCTGATCTATTTACTCTTTACCTTCTCCGCTTGATATTATGTCTCAGTATTTTTTTTTTCATGATCTACTTTACCAATCTGTCTTTTTTTCTAAACCGAATTTCTGGACTTTAATATTTAGCTTATCATTGTGAAGTATGTTATTTCAATCTTTTCTGACATCATTTATCATCTTCTGTTAATTTTACTCCACCGACGCACATCTGTTCCCTGATAATAACTGGCTGATTGATTGCATCAGTCAGCTAGAGCTTTACCAGTTCATTTTTATTCATATAATCTAGTGAATAATCATATTCACATTGAATCATATGTCGCTGTTATTCAATTCGATTCAGTTTACATCATTGTTATTAGCCTTAACTACTATAAGCTTATTATCAGATAATAATCATAACTATTATTCATAGTGCGTATATGAAAGACAAGAGAGATTTAATCAAAGAGAAGCAAACAAACAAGTTTGCATAAGAAAATGATTACAGCTTTTTGGAAGTTATGTCTTCATTGACGGGGATCATGTTTATAGCTCGAGTAAATCAATCAAAAAAATAAAACAATGACAATTATTACTGACATATCAAAGCATCAGCATATAATATAATATAATAGTACAATGTTTACTCCAAAAATGTGTTAAAAATGTTACAGAATTATACAAAAATGACATAATAAACATAAGTAAATTTTATCGACAATGAACATTTTTTAAACTATCCAACTAGATCGATTGACATTAAATATGCTTGGTAGGCGTAGACAATACAAAATGTGGCCATTTAATCATGACACAAATATCCAATAATCATAATAATAATAACAATAATGACAATGTATATTTGACATTAAACAGAATAAGTAACAGTGAAATTGTAGTTTATAAAATAAAATAGTTTTATTGTATGGTTTGTGATACATGTGTAGTGCTATGTCTGTGTCTATATGATCACTAGCCAATAAAAATTTAATTTGACTAGACAATTTTATTTAAGCCGACTAAGATAAATAAAACTTTTCCTGTTACTGATAGAAATGGAGAGGTAAAAAACTTTGAAACGAAAAATATCGCGTTTGAGTTACAATGTGAATGCCAAACACTGGGAGGGATATGACAGATATATCTAGGTGATGAGCACCTTTATTTGGACAAAGAGTGATTTGTGGATTTCATTACTAAGCCTAATTAACTTATTCTATATTACTTGTTATAAAAATGATCATATATATATATATATATATATATATGGAGGCCATCCTCATAGGATGCATATAAACTAAGAGAAACTGACCAAAATTTAGTTGTGAATATAAGTCAGTCAGTCAGTCAGTCAGTTGCAACGTAGAACTTCGTACGTAAGTACATCAGTTCATGTTGCCATACCACATTAGCACAGAGACGCAAATGTCAAATCAAATCTCATAGTGACAAAGATAGTAGAGGTATTAATGGTAATGAAGAAGACTAGGGTTCGAAGATATTATTCAAGAAGTATAATTCAGTGAGATAAAGTTAGAAAGGCAAAGGTAGAGGTGCTGACGAATCCAGAAGATTAGGAATATAAACAATGGAATAATCCAAAACTTTTATTTTGTATAGAATAGTTTGAAATTCATATCATCAACTTATAATATGTATGTTTGCTAGCTATTCATTTAGGTCCCCCTTAATCATTCAGTCAATCAGTCAAATTAAAAATGTGTTCTTTCTTCATTGGTCACATTTCAAATCAACATAGTGGTAAGGACAAAAAAAAGTAAACGTGATAAGAGTAAACTAATGCAGCGAATAACTAAATTTTATTAAAAGGAAAAACTAAGTCAATTGATTAGTTTAACAGAGGAACACATGAAAAATTGAACGGAGAAAAAGTAAAAGGCGTGAATGAAATTATTGTTTGGTCCCGTAAACTAGGAAGGATGTTCATATCTCCTTTTCTATCATACACACAGACACGCACACGCATACAAACAAATCACACGGTCCAGATAATTAAGTGTACAGTCGACGAAATAATATAATGAACTAACGGCACCATGATATGGCGTTATTGTCAACTTTCAGTAGGCTTACACATTTTTTTACTTACTGTCAACTCTAAGACAAAGTGAAAAGAGCTGTTCAGCTGATGTGATATGAAAGAAAGTTGTGACATCCCTATCTCTTCCGTGGCCGGATATCACGTAAGAAACGATTTAAGATTTAAAAAGATTTTTTTTTCTTTTTTGGTTTCAATTTTATTTAGTTATCATTAGTCTTATTTTCACATCCTGTATTTGTTAGTAATTCTCTGCCTCTTACCGTTGATATTCTTCACTCGCTTCTTATTACGTAATGGTTTTAATGTTTCGTAATGATTATTTTAAGTCTATTTATCATCCATGTTTGACCTACTATTGATAAAACTTTTGTTATCATATTTTATTTTTCTTACTACTATCATTAGTACATCTGTCTTCCTACTACCAACTTGTACTTTTGCCTATTATGTGTAGTGACGTAATCATCTATTTCATTTCATTGTGGTTATTGACTCAAATTGCCTTGATTGGTTAAACATTTTCGTACAGATATTGATTTGAAACCATGAATCGATCAATGTTAGACCACCGTTAGAAACCTGGAAGCACTGGACGGCCGTTTCTTCCTAGTATGGGACTCCTCAGCAGTGCGCATCCACGACTCCTGCACCTCGCAGGATTCGAACTCAGGACCTTCAGTATTGTAGGCGAACGCCTTAGCATCGGATCACTGAGCCGGTATGTAACGGTATTAATGTCTAACTTGGTCAATTCGCGGAGTTGCGCAACCTCATACACAGTCTTCGGTAGTTACTGTCTACACCCGAACAGGATGAACTTCACTGGTCACGTCTTCCCACTAGAACTCTGAGAAGATGCCTCACGATCAAGTTAGACATTAGCACCATTAGATACCGGCTAAGGCGTTCGCCTACAATACCGAAGGTCCTGGGTTCGAATCCTGCGTGGGTGCACACTGTCACTGATGAGTCCCATACCAGGACGAAACGGCCGTCCAGTGCTTCCAGGTTTCTAATGGTGGTCTAACATTGATCGATTCATGGTTTCATAAAATTTGTAACTTAACAATCTTCACAACCCCGTAATGCAGATATTTATTTATTGGGTGATCAGAAAAAAACCTATTTGATTATGATCCTAGAGATGGTGAAAAATTGTGATTGTAGAGAGAGAGCATCTTTCTGCTGCAGTTTTCACTTACATTGTTCATCAATAAAAAGTGTGAAGAACTTTTTTCTTTTTAATGTAAGAAGAATTTCTTTCCAGTCACGTTATTCATTGAACTATTTATTATCTTTCTTATATGATCATAAATTATTCTTGTGTCAATTGTACAAAATTTTTTAATTGAACTCTCTCATTTTTTTCTTTCAACATGTTACCTTTATGATGAATATTAATTTTGTGTATGTTCTAATAAATATAGGAAGAGAGAAAGAAAATCTTTATTTAAGGAGAGCCGTTGTAAACACAAAAATGATCAAACAGTACAAATCTTATTCTATTTTTTTTCTCTGTTATACAAGTTTAACTAACTGGAAAAATTAATGTCAGCTAGGCATGAATAATCCATTCAGATGATGAATCATTAAAATGTAGTTGAACAGAAGAAGAAGTGAAGAAAAACACTACAACACAACACAACACAACACAACACCAACTGACTATATTCAACTACTAGTCCATACACTACACTGATGGGGTCAAAAGTATCTTATTATTAAATCATTATTTACATTGATAGTTCATGCCATGTAAACACAATCGGTTATGATTAATTTGTATTTGTAAAAAAAAAAAAATTTAGTTTATACAGTTTGTTAGAAATTAATCGTTTTCCTCTTTTTTTTTCAACTTCTGAGAATCAATTTATGCAGAATGTTTGAATAAACAAAAGAGAAAAAACATTAGAGTTAAAAGTGTTTTTACCAATAAAGTTTACAGAAACATCTTATTCACATAGAATATTACATTTGATTAATGACTACAGGGTAGTGTGATCAATGTAATGTTTGTTCAGTTGTTTACTGTTGATCGAATTGTAACCGATCCACAACACAGTGTTTATTACTGTTCAGCGATCTCAATCAACAATGAAATTCAGTCTGAGAGGAGTCAGTAGCTAGATGAACTGAGGACTGTTGAAAAGTGGCATATAACTTCATCAAACATAGATTATGCAACTCCAATTTGAACAAACATCTACCACTGTGGATTAATTATTCTTCCAAATAACTTGTATTGTACCGTTGAACCATCAAAAAGTGTGTTTTTTGTCAACATAAGAAGTTTAAATTAGTCGTTATAATTGACAATCAGGTCAACAGAATGATAGTGTTATGGTTTTGTAAAATTAACGACCGAGTTGGCTAACTTAATTAACGATAGAGGTTTAGTGATTGAGAATGAGTAGAAGTCTTATATCGGGTTGATAATCATGAACGATAATTTAATTACTGACTAACTTTATTTAGTTTGACTTGGTTTGCGACTCAACAATCGCCACAAACGCCGTAAACTAATATTAAACCAAATAATTGTTCAGTAAATCATATTATTCTTAATAGTTAAAACCATAGACTAATCTTAATTTGACTACTATCGTAAACACAGAAGCACTGAATAAAACTGGTTCATTCTATTGTGGGACTCTTCAGTAGCGTGTAACCGGGGAGTTGAACCACGAAACTTCTACGTCATATGTGAGCGCCCATCTACGAGGACACAAAGTTTATTTTATGTGAAATAATGGTTTTTTTGAGTCTTGTTTATTTGATCGCAATGTCGTTGTCCCTCAATTCCATATATATGGTAAATTTTTCTAACTCATTAAATTTACACAAACTTTCTCTACTAAGTAATAATGGTCTTATTTATTTGTATTATTAAATAAAGTTGATACAAATAATGACAGTATTGATAACAGTAATTTTTTTTAAAAAAGATTAATTGCAACATTGGTTAAATTAAATAAAACGGAAGAAGAAGTTACACCATTATCTTCCTAAATTCAAAGAAGTTAGATGTTTTTTTGTTCTCTGACTACAGAAATTCACTTGCATGTATGGTATTGAGCGCTAGACATGACAAATCCCTTTTTTGAATATTTCCTAAAAGCAATGCTGCCATTACGAAGCGAGTACTAGGTAAGGATAGCAGATCAATAGACGAAGTAGTGACACTTCATCAGTTGAGGTGTTACGGATGCCCAACCACCCGCTACCTCGACGAGCGATGTTTAGTGGTATAGGAGTAGGTTGGGAGAAAGTTAGGGGCGACCAAAACAAAACATAGTACAAATCCATGAAGTTACTGACAAGTGGACTGAGTCATGTTCGCAGATGTAGACTACCTGGTTGGGGTCCGCGAGACGAATGTCACCGATGGTTAGAGACCTTGAACGATATGGATCAAAATCGTTTGTAGTGGCGCAAGTGCATCCATTCGTTGTGCTCTCTCAATTCCTAATCTGGATTCGTCAACACCTCTAGTTTCGACTCTCTAAACTTTTCTCACTGAATCATACTTCTTGAATAATATCTTCTAATTCTAACCTCTCCGATTACTTCTAATACCTTTACTACCTCTTCTACTATGGGATTTGAATTGGCAGTTGCGTCTCTGTGCTAATAAAGTATGGCAACATGAACCGATGTACTTACGTACGAAGTTCTACGTTGTAACTGACTGATTGACTGACTGAAATAATTTTGTTTTGAATATTATTCTAAGATGGCTACAATAACACATAAAAATGATGTAATAATAATAATACTGATAAAAGTATCATTTCATATCTTCACACTGATAACCCTTGTTTAAAATATCAATTCCTTGTCGATTAAGTTAGTGAGGTATAGTAATATTAACAATAGAATGAAACACAACCTAGAAGTTTTATCAGATTCTTTATTTGGTGAGAAAATATTCAATGTAGACTTACCAGTATGAATACTAGCTAGATAAGCTGGTATATGAAATAAAATTTGTATGTATTTAGCAGCGAATGTTAAAAATGCCGCAACAATTGATTGTTCCACAACAGTACTCAGCGTTACACCTAACCAGATAGGATTTGTTAATACACGACGTACAACAAGATATGAAGCTGAAATGCAGAACAGACAAGACTTTATTAGTATTATAAAACCCTAGTAGATGAAACAATTAATGACAACATTGTCCATGACGGCATAGAATATAAATAAATCATATCCAGTTTTCTGACGGGTAGAATATTGGGAAAAGTAATAGCTTCAGAACTATTTCCCGGATAATTACTATTACGATTATCGCTATTACTATTAATATATATATATAGTATCATTAACAGATAAATGCATGATTGAATTTTATATTACACTTATTGTAAGTTTTCAATGGAACTGTTTATGATTTATTCTTTTCTAATCAAAGCTAATTAATTATGTACTATTTCTCTCGCCTTCTACCATTTATTTTATGCTACTGTTTAAAGTATCATTAATCATTTATTTAGAGGGATGTATATGACTAGCTGTTTAAAGTATATGATTGAAGGCGTATTGAGTGACAAATGAATTGGATAATACAGGAAACCAATCTGTCTCCAATCATGGCCTTCTAACTGACTATTCAGTTAGAAAGCGGCTCGAAAACCAATAAGCATTGGTTGTTGTATATTTGTTAAATAGATCACCAGTCCTACTGGAGATATAGCACGTGGTATCGAACAGTAAGTATGTCAAGCAATAACAAATCAGTGTTACCAAAACCCAACATCTTCAGATATCACAAAGACGAAGGTCCATTTTGGCAGTGTTAATAGAATTCAACTGACCATTGTTGAAATGTAGTCAGTTAAGCTCAATGACTTAACATCATGATACACTATATATATATATATATATATATATATATATATATATATATATATATATATATATATATATGTATCTGGAATCTAGATGAAATTGATATCGCCTATGGGATGCTAACGCACACTATTGAATATGGCATAATCAAAGAAGTTATTTCCTAACTGTTAAACATATCATAGATCATCTGGTTGATGGATTTTGGTCAATGTGACAGGTTAAACAATAAGTAATAGTTATCACATGACGAGCCAACAGTGTGCACATTTCATTATTACGACCGGTCAGTGATTGTCGGAATGACACCATATATTAGGGAACACCAGTTACACCTTGAAATGGTCAGTACTAATCAATATAAAAACCAGATCAAAAACTTTTTATTAATCATTGTCAGCTAATAAGAACGGAAGAAATCCAGTGTTATAAGGATAACTGAATGTTTTTTCCTTAAATATGATCACAATCTGACCGACTTAGTAACATAAAATTTTTCATCTAAGAGTGTCACCAATACTTTTGTTTCCATTTTTTGTTAGTTAAATATGTTACTCTACTTATTGCTGAATTTGTTTTTTCAAAGTGTGAGTTGATGAAAACTGAGGATAAACATTTTCGAAATGGAAATAAGTCTGATTTATTCTACAGATCTTAAGGCTTTTGGTATTTCTACATAGATATGAGACATTTTCAGAGAAATATATTCAACTTGTAGTAGCATGATATCCAACGTAGGTGCCGCAAAACAGTTTACATCATGAACTCATCAAAAATAACTATGATAAACCAGAAAGTACTAGACATATGTTTCGTCGTAGTATAGAACTTTGCATCAGTGGGTATTCATGAGCCCATAAGGTTTAGTGGCGAGCCCATTACCTTCAGACAACTAAGCTAGCACACTCAGTGGTTTGCATGGTTAATATCAATTGACTGGCAATACAATGCTACTATCTATCTTCTCACGAAAAATGTGAGCATCGATTATATAGATAGTACATTTTGATTACGTCTTATTTCATTGGTAGTCCAACATTGTCTGTAGCCCATCTGGGGTTAGAGCCGGTCCCAAGCCTGATAAAGAAGAAAAGTCAACTCGCTAAAAAAACACTAACCAGAACAAATAATCCAAACCGTTTAAACTATGCACTGTCTTCGTTCAGAACAGTTATCATATCTCGTGATGAAAGCCGAGTTTATTCGGAAGTCACCAGGACCATTCACCTCATCACAACTAGACTAACAACTAATATTGGTACATGGAATGTTCACAAAATGTGGGAGACAGGAAGAACCATTCAAGTTGCTGACGAGATGAAAAGATACAGCCTGGTGGTGCTGGAACAAGTGAAACACATCGGACGCAGGTTGGACAAAAAAGACTAGCTTCGGGAGAGATGATATTGTAAAGAAGAAAATGTCTCATACACACATGAGTTGCACTGATGGTGTCCAAAGGAGCACATAAAGTTCTGATAGGATGGGGATCTCAAGACAGAGAGGGAGGGGATTACAACGAATGTCATCCAAATGCCCCCCACTAACAATAGCAATGAACACGATAAGAATCAATCTTATGAGATGCTGCAGTCAGTCATAGAGAAATACCAAGCAAAGGATTTGACTAATCTGATGGGGGATCTAAACGCCAAGGTTGGAATAGGTAACACAGAATACAAAAACATCATGGGATGATATGGATTGGGAAGAAGGAACGAGAGATTCGCAAATCTATATACCTTTAACAAACTGGTCATAGAATACATAAAGCTACACGGGTTTCGCCAGATCAGACTACGGAGATCCAAATCAATCACATCTAAACCAATAAAAATCTTAGAAGGACCATGGGAGATGTAGGAACATAGACGGGAGCTGACATCGCTTCAGATCATCACTTGGTAGTGGCCGAGATAAAGCTGAAACTAAAAAAACACTGGATAACCGGTCAAAGAGCATCACAAAAGCTCAATGCGACCTGTCTTCGGGAGACTGGTGAACTCAACGAATTCAAAAAGTTCCAGGCCTTAAACTTTTTACTCTTTGAAGGGAAAGCTACCATGCAGAACAACTAGGAAGGGATCAAATAAGCAGCACATTCAGTATGTCATGAGGTTCTGGGCCACAAGAAACATCATCACAAGGAATGGATCTCCGTCGATACTCTGGATAAGATTTCAGAAAGGAAGAATATGCAGATGGTAATCATTATAAGCCAAACAAGAGCAGAGAAAACCATGTCACAAGTTGAATACACATAATCAAACAAGATCTAGCAACGATAGCAGGAAAAGCTGCAAGAGAAGGAAGCATGGGACAGCTATACGATACAACGAAGGAGTTCACTGTAAAATTTAGTAAACCATAACGACCAGGCAAGAACAAGGAAGGCAAACAAATCCCCAACATAGAAGAACAGCAAAACAGGTAGATAGAGCACTTTGAAGAACTCTTGAATCGACAAACAAGCAAAGGAGATCTCAGCAAGTGTGAGAACTACAGAGGAATCACTATACTGTCAATAACAGCAAAAGTCTTTAACAGAGTGTTGTCAAACCGAATAAAAGATTCAGTGGGCACTCAACTTCGAGGTCAGCACGTTGGATTAGGTAAGGAGAAGAACTACCGAATACATCATCCAAAAGATAATAAATAATTGACTGATCAAGATACGTCAGACAACATCAGTAACAACCTAATTACAGCTGAAAATGGAATTAGGCAGAAGCTCTGTGGGTGGATCGGATACAATGGGGAGTGTGCCCAACTGTGTCACACGGTAAACCCTAACTATGAATCCTCAAACCCAAAGGAAAAGTTGAAGATCATCGAACATATTACGCCGAGAATTGGAGACAGACATGAAAAGAATAAATAGTGATTGGAAACGACTAAAAAGAAGAGCACAGGACAGAGTTGGCTGGACAATGCTGTAAACATCTTTAAGGCCTCATGTACCAAAATGATAAACAACTACGTATTTTAACATGTGTATAATTATATATCCCATTTGGTGCAATATTCTCCAGCAGGTCTGTAAACACTTAGCAAATGAATTGCTTTCTTGTATATAATAGGAGAACTAACAGTAGTAAGATCTCTTATTACCACTTAAACGCTCATTCCTTCCCTTGATAAACACATATTTAATAGTGGATTTATAAAAAATCAGGATTCACTTATTATCGCATATATCTGAACAAAATAAATCTCTTTTTTTATAAAGGTTTCAATCTGCTCCTTGTGAATAATAAGAACTACAATCGATCAATCTTTTATGGTATAAGTGTATCCCGATCAGATTGTTTCAGGATCGGTATTTCATCGCAAGGTATCAATAAAATTGAATAGTAGCTAAGAATCGAACCAAAGAGTTTCGGTGTGACCATTACCATTAGGAATTCAGGTATACTTAGCTGATGAATAATGCCAAAGACAACGAAACGTACACTCTGCATTTAACTGTTAGTCATTTATTCGACTTTACTAACCAAGGAATATTTATGTACTTTAAGCAGAAAAAGAAAGAGAGAATGTCGCATAAAATTGCTAACCTCAACTTAAAACAAAAACAGTCAATAAATATATCATTAAACTTAAACAACCAATCAAACTTCATGTCACATTTAAAGTAGGAAATATCAATAAATCAACTTGGAAAAAGTGAAGTTCTCTCACAAACTAATTAAGGATAACCATGAAAATTTTACTTCTTAAAATAATGCTTAGGAAATTACTTAGTTTATAATAATAAAGAGGTCATCTCAAAAACAAATTAACTGAAAAAAAGCCTACTTCACTTAACAATGATTATAGTTTTCATACAAACCAACTAACTCTACAATGAGATAGATGCTGAAGAAAATCTGTAGCTCAAACGTTTGTATAAAAGGTAAATATTGTACTATTTTAAGGATATTGAAAAAAAACAACAACAACACACTAAATCTCAAGTGAATTAGTCTGTCATGTTCATCTCGGAAGACTGTTTCTATGGACATTGGATTGATTATTAAGTGGAATTCCTCAAGGTCAGTCAACTAGGCTAGGTAACTACGACTGATTATTTGTCAATGCATGGCGTGAAATCAGTACACTTACAACCACAACTTGCTTATGTGTTACCAATTTAATTCTAAATATGAATCTGTCTGATAAGATTTTATTTGCTCTCTGCCCTGTACTAGGCTAGGGACAACCTGCTCATCTGGTTAGCATTGCGCAGGCTACAGTCGTAAAAGTTGCATAAATAGGTCAATTGTAGAATTTCATTTAACTCTCTTGGGTTGAGATTACTGATTTAAACGACATCAATATAAGACGTATAATGTTGAACCTGGTCTTCAATCTACATTGATCAACTCAGTATGTTCAAAACTGAAAATGTAAAAATGAACACATGCAAGAATTAAATTAATCATTACCTTTTATTTTTGATTTGATTTTAGTTTGATTTTCACAAAATGGATTATTATTATTATTATTATTCAAGGATGTTTTTATGGAGTTTTCTAAATTGCCAGTTTGTTGACCATCACCAACTATACTACTATTGACTACTTTAAAAGTATTACAATTCGATGCATCATAATGACCACCACTAGTATTTGACTGTGAAGAATAAAGGTGTGCATTTGTAGCGGTCACAGTGGTCCCATCACCATTAACTACTACTGAATGACTGATGTAAGGAGATGGTGATTCATGAAGAGGAGGAATAGAAGAAGATTGAGTTGTTGTCTTGCATAAATCAACATTATTTCGTTGTTGTTTAAACTCTTCTAGACTTGGATATTGAACAATGCGATTATTTGATGATGATGATGTTGATGATGTTATATCGATCAAGTGACTTGATGTTGATGTTTTAACATCTGTCACAGTATTAACAACTGGACCAGTAATAGTTGTGGTTACAGTCAATGGTGGTGGCTGGTTAAATTGTTTATTTAAATTAGGCAAATTGTCTGATGATTTTATATAAGATAAATTTACATTATTGTTGTCATTTGTATTTTGATTGTAAATATTATAATTATTATGTTGAATTGTCGAAGAACAATTGGTCTATAATAGTATAACATTGAATCAACAAAAAAAACAAACAAGAGATTAACTTATTGATATAAATAAACATCAATGAAATAAATGTTATCACTGTTGAATATTCATGTTGTACATTTCAGTGTATGCATGACAGTAACGGACAGGATTTGAAGGGTTTAAAAAAAACAAAACGGTTCAAACAAAAAGATGTACACAAATGGTTAAGTTAATTTAATTTACAAATTATTGATTTAATTATTAGGGATTGGAAACAGTTCATCATTAATCATTGGAACGTAGTATATGGTGATAACATTCATCAACTAGAGCATCATATATATGCGTGATTGCATAAAACTGTTAATTAATTTGAATATAAACTATGGTTAGGCGATTTTTTTTTGAAAAAAATCAACAAACTGTATATTTTAGTTCAATCTAGGGTTGTGCAATGAATGATGAAATGACCTCAACTAACTTGAAATCTGATTATTAACATAAATGATATGACATAAGATTGACAGTTTAAACAAAAAAAAACCATAACAGTAATGCGTCAAATGGGAAAGAGGGAATTTTGAACAATTCATCAATAATGCTGCTGCTACTAAATGTGAAAGAGTTGAGAACAATCAAAAATATGTTTAAATGAGTTATATATATACACAAACTTTAAGTTGTAACTCTTCTGACACCTTTGATATTACATCCTAGTGTTGCATAATCATGGATGGTATGGCCATAATGAATTCACTGCATTATTCCACACACACGTACACACAAATATCATCAACAGTAAAGGGCAATAAGTAGATCAGAAGTGACTTGTCCCCTTTAAATAGCTAACAGAGATAAACTAAATTTTACATCCGAAAGCGATGCACATAATGAGCCTACACGAATGATCTTACAGGGATTTAACTCTTCTTAACACAAACGTATCACCGTTTAATTTTCGACTTGAAAACTTCATAGGTTACCGATATGTAATTAGTCATACATTTTAATAACTCAAGAAATTACAGATATTAATTATCATTCAGTCAGCGATGAGTAACGTAAAACTTAGATTCGTCAGTTCAATTTCTCACATCATATCAACACAGTCGAAGTAGTAACAGTATTTGTGGTAGTAGAAAAGATTCAGCACAGACAATATGATTCAAGAAAGCAGGGATTAATAAAATAAGTAAATTTGGAATTCAAAAGTATACATAGAGTGCATGAATAAATATATGCGACATTGACAACGACTCTGTGGCACGCTACTCAACGTCTTCAACCACTGGCTATCAAAATCGTGTGGATACCAATCATATAGTTGCGCCTACCTACATAAATCAGTTCAAAGGCCAATAAATCTTATACACTGAAGTCATGTTTTGGTTTGGCTACCTTTCAGCCTGTTTCTACAATATCAAATATCGAGTGTACAGGAATGAAATGATTGACCATACGTTATACATATCCGAATCATCTCAGTTGATGAACATTTACTATTTCGTCAACCAACTAACTAGCCATGCTGACCTAGTATTCTGTTTTTAATCTTAATTCATTTTACCAAACAGTAACGGTGAGGATGCTGACAAAATGCAGAGTCTTCTGACTACCCTAAGCAACAATGCGAGCATGTTCGGGATGCGGTTTTCCCCCTCGAAATGCAAAATGTTGCTTCAAGACTGGGTTGCATCGGCACCTGAACTAGTGATAGGGAGTGAAGTAGTCGAACGTGTAGACCGCTTCACTTATCTTGGGAGTCTCATCAGTGCCGATGGCCTGGTGACTGACGAAATCTCAGCTCGGATACAGAAGGCTCGATTGGCTCTTGCCAACCTGCGTCACTTATGGCGTAGGCGTGATATCCGTTTTCTAATCAAAGGACGAGTGTACTGTGCAGCAGTTCGCTCCGTTCTCCTATATGGCTGTGAAACATGGCCAGTCAGAGTAGAAGATATTCGTAGGTTACTGGTTTTCGATCATAGGTGTCTTCGAAGCATTGCTCGTATACCGTGGGACAACCGAGTAAGCAATGCTGTCGTTAGGAAACGAGTACTAGGTAAGGATGGCAGATCAATCGATGAAGTGGTGAAACTTCATCAGTTGAGGTGGTTGGGACATGTGTTGCGTATGCCCAACCACCGACTGCCTCGACGAACTTTGTTTTGTAGTGTAGGAGAAGTTGGAAGAAAGTTAGAGGCGGCCAGACCAAAACATGGCAGAAATCCATGAAGTCATTGACTAGTGGACTTAGCCATGTCGGTAATTGTCGACTACCTGGTTGGGGTCCGCGAGATGATAATAACCGATGGTTGGAGACCTTGAATGACATGGCTCAAAATCGTTCGCAATGGCGCTGGTGCATTTATTCTCTGTGTTCTCTCAAACCCTAATCTTCTGGATTCTTCAACACCTCTAGTTTCGACTCTCTAAACTTATCTCATTGAATCATACTTCTTGAAAAGTATCTTCTAACCCTAACCTCTCCGATTACTTCTAATTCCCCTACTACCTCTACTACTATTGGATTTGAATTGACGATTACTTCTCTGTGCTGATGTGGTATGGCAACATGAACTGATGTACTTACGTACCAAGTTCTACGTTGCATCTGACTGACTGAACAGTAACGGAGCAGTGCTTCAAAGATATCTATGATCAGTTACTATTGGCTTACTAATATCACCTATGCAACAGGTGAAACAAGTCAACTGAGCCTTTCGAATCCGCGACGACATAACATTAAATACTAATATATCCACGTTGAAATGGTCAAATCACTTAACTACTTCATTCATTGTCATTAGTTTACGAGTCAATGATGATGATCAGTTTTGAGGTAACATTTTGCATTTAGGAAAGGAATGCAAGCATTGTTACTCAATGCAATGAAAAGATTTAGCATTTTGTCCCGCATCTTCACCAAACAGAACTAGGACCTGTGCGAATTTTATATCAACATCCAATGAAGAAACAAATATTTTTTTCTTGTAAAGGATATTTATGTGACAAGTATTATTCCTAACTGAATCCATGACTTTATAGCCCCGTATATATTTTTAGTAAGATAAAACATTGGTAATGACAAAGAAGTCCGTGTAATTCGACCGATAAAAAAGGGTCATACAGTAGTAGTTATAAAGCATGGTGAAATTATGAACAAAAAAATGAATGAAATTATACTTAATTGACGACCTTGAGCAACGCATTAGCGAATGAGAAAACATTTATTAATAAATGATAATAAACAGTGCTACCATGGTTAATAAACTAAAATGATTCGAGTTAGGGGTAGAACTAAACTAAACTGACAGAGATAAAACGAATGGAAACAATGAAGATGATGATTATTGAATTTATGTGCGATTTTTAAAGCAGAATTACGGATAGCCTGTTATTGGATGACAAGTTTTTAGCTGATTTGGAAGTTGGTATGATTGTTGACTACTTACAGAATTACTCTAGACATAGAGAAGTATCATTTTACGTAACTACGGAGAGTAAACGACATGCATAAAAGATGTGTATTTCAGAGATGAGATTGTTTTACGCTGTACTACATGCAATCCAAAGAATTCTTGTAGAAGTGTCAACTTTTTGTCAAGACCAACAAATGATACATAGTTTTGATAGTTCAGTGGCTTACTGGAACATTTGTAGTCACTGCTGTAACATTGGTAGTTGTCTACACAACCTGCATTCCAATTGTTAATAAGGTTTAAGTACTGCGACTTAAGATGTTAAGAATAAGTTATACAGGTCATGACATTGTAAGATTACTCTCTTAGAGTCTCTCAAGATCACCAGCATAGTTTAATTTTATTGGATTGGAGTCCGGGGAACGAGTGTTAGAGTTAGGATTATAAAAAGTTACGGTTGTAAGCTACGATTAGGATATGAAGTTACAGTAGGAGAATTGTTTTTAATCACAAAAATAGCCTTTATTGCATGCTTTGAATCACATTAGGGGTATACTTACGTACCATCTGCATCAAGAGCATATATTTCTTGTGATTTATTTTATACATTGTGTTGTATTCAATGAGTAGTTGTAAACAAAAGTTTTTCTAGTTTTAAGGATTTCAGGAATTAAACCAAGATAATTTCTACCTATTTTTAACAAGAGGCATACTATTCATTACTGTGATTCAAAATTTTAAACAGAATCCAGCAGGTGTTAATTTAAAGCTCATTGGTCATCTGGTAGAAAACCCTAACCACCAAAAAAAACTAAATAATGATAAATTACAAACATGGGACGAAACTTACCTTATCGTTATCTTCCATTTCATCATTTGAAATTGTATTGTTATCATTGTTTTTAATAACTGTAAGTTGTTTAGGTAAACATATCACAGGTAATGCAACGAAAAAAGTCAATACAGCACAAACAAGCATACCAAGCCACCAAGCACCAAGCCATAATGGATTATTACGATCTAAACCAGTTTCAGGCAGCATAAATGGTGAATCAATGTAAATACTTAAGAAACCTGCACCAGCAAGGAAACCAAATGCAGGACCCAGCCCACCAGCACTATAGAATAAAGCTATAAAAAAATAGAGTGAGTAAAGACAAAAGATAAAAGAGACAAATGACAAAGTTATGAATAATTTAGTCGATTTGAAATTATTTAACCCATGAATTAATTTTTGAATGACATAACATTATGCAAATTTATACATGATGATGCGAATGTTATACTGAATAATTAACTAACTAACTAACTGAACCGAGTTACATACAAAACGTTGAAAAGTGATAATAGACTATATGTCATATCAAATATAATTTTAAATTAAGGCCAAACTATGCAATAGAGTAGTAGTTCAGTTTTGTTTTATTTTGTCCGACTGAAATAATGACAATAACAAAAAATGGCGGAAGTATGCTCTATGAAGCGGCCAATTAAAACTGAATAAAAGATATTTCTGTGTTGGATGCTAAATATGAAAAATGAGTGAGTGTTTTTTTTAAAAAAAGATTTATTTATCTAACAACACATGAAATGAACATTAAGAATGCTCAGAAAAGTTTAAATTGATGAGTAAAAATTACTGTTTTTTTGCATTTGTAGTGTTAAAGTATATCAGTTAGTTAATTCTCATGTATCCTTAACCGAAATAATCAATCTTAACTTTAAATAGATACAATGTGGAGACTGTGAAAAGTTTATTGATTTCTTCGCAGAGATTTCAAGTGGTTAATCTACATCCTAGTCAAAATGTAAACGAATAGTTAGTAGAAATTGTACGGGAGATATCATATATAAAGGATTATATTTGAAATAATCTCAGTAATTGAAATTTGAACAATCCTAACGTCTTTAACAAGTAGTCTTGTTTAGAATTGCTTCAGGTTTATCGAAATTATAAGAAAATATGTCACGCTTTAAAAAAATCAATTTGCGTGGGTGTGAAGCAGTTACCTAAGGAAGACAATGGTAGATTATCGCGCAAGATAGTAAGTACACTGACTGAAGTAAGACATTAATTAATACCTTTGGATGCCGTCACATGGGTCTAGAGGTTAAGCATTCACTCACTTTGATAGAAGGATATATCATTTCAAAAACTGATTATTTAAATGGTTTGTGGAGGGAGATAAAAGCAATTTCACGTCATTTCTTTAACCACCACTTCAAGTTCAAATTTACGTTAGACATTATGGATTTTCTATTTAGTGATCAAATAATACATAGAAAAAGACTCATGTGTTGATTAAAAATAAAATTATCAGTGTATATTAATTAAGACAAAGGGATGAAAAAACAAGATATAAATTTTGTAATGATTTTGAAAATTACAACAACGCTCATTTATGACCCTTGAAATGAATCGACGGAAAATCCCACACAACTCACAGAGACAACTAAACGCGTAGATCATTGAATCAGACAGACTTCAAACACATGCTACCCAACTTCATACTATAGGCACAAATCTACCCAGTGTCATTAATGAAAATGAAATTCGAAACATTCCATTAACACGCTTAACATGAAACTTGAGATTTCCCAGCTCTTGGAGTCACTAACTAGGATGAAATCTAAGGTTTAGAGTTCTTCCCATTTATAGTGGTTTTTCAACTGGTATGAGTCTCATAACGAAATTACCGACAAATATATTTTACAGATTGATTACTTTCAATCGAATTAAATAAAGAGAAAAAAAATATTATTTAAAAGGATTGATAAAAAAAAGGGATGAGAATATTTCGTGAATTTACTTAAGAATAAATAATTTTTATCATATATATATATATATATATATATATATATATATATATATGTCTGTCAGCACTAGGAGAAAGACAACGGAATTATCCGAGACATGTATTTTATATTATTTGGGACTTATCTTCATCTGAATACGCCTGCTGAATACCAGAGTTAATGCTCACGCCAAACTTGAACCCGGCTCAACACGTTGTTCACTAAGCTACTGAGTAATTAGCTTATGTAACGGATATGAATTTCAGTCTGTATGAGACAAAAACATCGCAACATAGACTAATCGACTGAAGCATCTAATCGGCATTATTATCAAAAAAGATTTACATATCCGTAAACGTTAAAACAAAATCAATAGTTGTGAGAAGTACATAGTAAGCTGGTAAGTTGGTAAATTACTAAATTATATGAGAGTTTGTATTTACTTCTGGTATACACAGATACATAAATTTAGTGACGACACGGACAAGATTAAAGTTGGAAAAAAAAATATGAAAGGCAAAAACTAATCCATTACAAGTTGTTGATTTGATAAAAAAATAGTTTAGCGACTAAACACACACATGTTGTTTGCTCAACTATGAGTCACATTATTTATGTTCTAGTTTAGAAATCATATAAAATAAATCGACAGATAACAAGTGACTAATTTTAGAATGGATTAACAAACTTTGTGACTTAAATAGTTCAGCAGTACAGTGTATTAGGGTGTCAAGTGTATTTGAACCGTACGGCTAGCATCTTTGCCTTTGAAATTGTAGGTACGTGCACGAAATCTAGGTCCAAAGTGTCTCTTTGATTTCCTACAAGTTATATAATATTCCCAAAAGCGATAGTAAGACATTATAGCCAGAGAAAACAACAAAGTTGGCAAGAAATAAATCAAAGTGGATAGAAATTATACTAGCACAAATTAATATAAGATCATATGTAAAATCAAGAGCTTCCGATTCAAAACCATGATACAATAACTCAAGATAGTGAGAAGATACTGGCTGATGAGTTCTAGTGAGTCAGTTACAAGTTAAGTAGAGCTTATCATATATACATGTTAATTCGAGATGCTAAACCACTTGAGAATAGATGATAAGTTCCAAACAAGAAAACAACTGGTTAGCACTTTCTACTATTTCCATATGATATTAGTTTAGGATTAAGAATTTCTTTGAAAATTATGACTAATATATTGAACTCTACCGGCGTTACTAGTTTATCATTTAATCAGAGTAATTTCATGAATGAATTAAGGATTCTAAATGGGTTGGTCGGTTGGAAAAAAATAAGTAAGGCTTGGGATTATTTAAAGTAATCGGTGATTTTCAAGGGACCTGTAAAAATTTGTATGGAACTGATACAGAACAACCCTCATATTCTGTATCAGTACACAGCATCTACATCGAAAACGTTTGTCGAATATAGTATTTCTTTTCTTACTTCTGTCAGCTGATAGTAGACATGACTGATCGATCAATGAAATGTTGGATCATTATTACTATAATATGTCTGCTTGTAAACGATATATATATATATATATATATATATATATATTAGAAAACGTGCACCGGAAGAAACGTGCTTATCTTAAAAATTAAGGTCATTCAGCTATTTGGACACTTTGGGAAAGAGAGTAAGATTTTACCGTTAACTTATAATCGTTGCTTTTATTACCTGTAGTATAAATAATGACTGATAATTAAGCAAGAGAAAAAACAAACAAATAAATATGATTCAATTTATTTTGATTTGTAAAGTTTTGAATTTTCTCATATTAAGAATTGAAATTTTGATCAATGTTTCTTTGTTTATGTACAACATCCTAAATGTGGATCATTTTTACATTACCATAGAGTCAAGAAAAAAGTTTAACGAATTGTAATCTGAAATGCCAACAATGAAGAAATTCATACCTTTACAAATAGAAAAAAACAATTATTCTTGTTGTACAATTTGATGACTATCTAGACTCAATATAGTTCCAGTGGATAATCTGTTAGTATTTCATCATCATCATCATCAACAGCAGCGTAGAACTGCGTACGTTAGTACAACAATTCAAGTTGCCATACCACATTAGCACACAGACGTAATTGTCAATTCAAATCCCATAGTAGTAGACGTAGTAAAAGTATTAGAAGTAGTCGGAGAGATTAGGGTTCGAGAATATTATTCAAGAAGTAGAATCTAGTGAAATAAACTGAAAAAGATAAAATTGATGAGGAATTTTGAAGGTTAGGACTCCATAGAACATAAAGAGTCGATTACTATCATCTCGCGGGCCCCGACCAGGTAATCGACATCTACTAACATGACTCAGTCCAATTGTCAGTCACTTTATGGATGCGTCGTGTTTTGGTCTGGCCACCCCCTTAGCTTTCGTCCAAGCTATTTCTATATCGCAAAACATAGCTCGACGAGGCAGTCGGTGGTTAGACATACGTATATGAATTGAAAGGTTTTGGGTTCGAATCTCGGTGTGAATATCACTGAAAGAATGTGGCAGATACATCTACTGAAAGACAGGATGATCGTTTGTAATGGCCAAGGTGCATTTACTCTTTGTGTTCTATGAAATTCTAGTCTTCAGAAATCCTCATCACCCCTAACTTTCTCTTTCCAAATTTACCTCACTGAATTATACTTTTTGAATAACATCTTCGAACCCTAATCTCTCCGATTACTTCGAATACTTTTACTACCTCTACTACTATGGGATTCGAATTGACAATTATAGCTCTGTGCTAATGTGGTATGACAACTTGAACTGATGTACTTACGTACGAAGTTCTACCTTGTAACTGACTGACTGATTGAGCTACTATCTGATTTAACAAAATAATTAGCTTTGTTTTATAGATAGATGTATAAACACAGAATGAAGGTGTTTGAACTTACAAAAAAACTGAGTTAAAACTACTAAGTAAATAAATAGATTAGTGATAATAACAATATCGATTTCGCATCAACAATACACTATAGTACAAACTGACTGAAGTTGTCAGAGTTATATAAAATAAAGACTAAACATTACAATGCAATTATGCGAAAAAAAATGTGAGAGTTTATGTAGCTGAATGTTTAAACTGACAGTCTAAAGTAGCGTCTGTATATGTGGCACCAAAAACATTTTACTTGTAATATTCCCATAAACAGTTTATTAGAAATATTAAAGGGAAAAACAGAGTGAAGAAAACTGAATTGACGGCATCGGTATCGATTCTAGAATTTTAATACAGAAGATTTCAGAATAGGAAAACCATTATAATTGTGATGGTGTTTCGTTCTCTGAGCTGGATATTTTGGTTATGAAACTTTCATTG